CTGGTTCCTTTCCCCTTCCCCCGGAATTTCTCGTCTTCGGCTGGACTTTTTGAAGCTTTCCCTCGTTCCCTCGCTCTTCCCATCTCGACTCTCGTTTCAATCATTCGATATGATTGTCCCCAAACCCCCCGTCGCTCTCGAGGGCCATTGTTCCGTCATTCACAATAACACTCTCTACACCTTTTCGAAATCCGCCTTTCTCTCCATCCCCCTCCAACGCAATGCTACTTGGAACAACGACCTCCCCATGGCTCCTGTCCCTGTCTCCGACGCCGCCTGCGTAAAAGGCGGCCTTGACGGGCAAAACGACCAGGAAGCCCTCTATATCGTCGGTGGAACCAATGCCAAAGGAAACCCTCCCGGACTGCAACGATATTCCTTCCGCGATAATCAGTGGAAGACCATCCACGCCGTCGATCTCAACATGTCCAATCGCACCTCCCATAGAGCCGTCTATCTCGAATCATCCAGCTCCATCCTCGTCTACGGAGGACACCCCGACGGCCAGTCCATTGGTTCCTCCGATACTTTCGTCATCAACACCACCGCTCCCTACGCTATTTCTGCCTATCCCGCCGACAAAGCCTCCCCAGCCTATGTTCCCGTGCTCTTGCCATGGAGTGATCAGAAAGCGGCCCTGGTCGGCGGCCTCACCACGCCAGATAAAGTCCACCTCTTTGATCCCAAGAACGGATGGGAAAGCTCCGCCGTCTCCCTCGCCGACCCCATGTCCGACGACGTCCAGTGCGCCATGATCCGTGCTTCCGATGGGAGCAAAATCCTCCAGTCCTTTGACATGGATGCCGCCCCCAACACCGTCACCAGCATCGCCTTGCTCAACCCCGGTGGAAATCCCGCACGACCAGGGAAAATCGTCGGCCAGTCCTCCCGCAAGAGGAAGAGAGGCATCTCTCTCGACAACTTCCCCACATACGACAACACCTTCGCATCTTCCACCAAACGGCAAGATTACTCCCTCGCCCAGGGCGACAACAACCTAGTTGTCATCTCAAGTGGCGGAGGCACCGACTCCCTGGCCATCTTCAATCAATCCTCCAACAGCTGGGTGAACGCTACCAAACTCTTCTACGGCGACCAGTCGCAACAACAGATTCTCGCAACGGCCACGTCCGCATCCCCCACCGCCACTGCAACGGGCCCCAGCGAAACCACCACCGCGGCCGGTGCGGCCGGCGGAGGCACGAACAACACCGGAACCATCATCGGAGCCACCCTGGGCAGCATTCTCGGCCTGGGTGTCATCCTCGTGCTTATCCTCCTGCTCATCAAGCGGAAGAAGGACAAGCTGAAGCGCGCTGCCCAAGACCAGGACAAGGACCGGCTAAGCTTCCAGGATCAGGGCATGGAACCCCTGACCCAGTCCGCCTATCCCATGGCCAAGAGCACCGCCCCCCTCGCCGCCTCGTCTGTAGACTCCCTTGCCATCTTCTCTGGAAACCTCGGCGACGAGAAGTCGCCTCGATCCGCTGGCGGATTACCCGCATACCACAACAAGCACGCCCCCAAGCCCAGCCCCCTCAGCACCATCCAATCCAGCCGCGACGCCGCCAGCACCCCCGGGGCCCTCGACAAGGCCATTGAAGCCCAGGAGTCCGTCCCCAGCGGCGGTCGTCCCGGCGATCGTCGCACCAACGAAGGCTGGAGCCAGTACTTCCAGGACAACAGCGCCACGAGTCTCGTCGGCCTGCAGCCGCCGCCGACCACAACCGCGACGACCAAATCCGACGATCGCACCAGCGTCTGGCCCACGACAGCCCTTGCCCCGCTAAACTTCTCCTTCCTGGAGGAACCCAAGCCACTAGGCCGGGTCATCAGCGGCAGTCCCACCACCGAGCACGCCGCCTCCCCCAAGGACGGCCGCCACATCGCCATCCCCGAGAGCCAGTCCGCGCGCATCTCCAGCGCCGACTCGGTCAGTGTCGCGTCTGACGACGACTATGACCGGCGTGAGGACCACCCCTCGCGCAGCTGGATCGGCCGGCCCCCCAGCAGCACATACAGTCGCAGCTATTACAACCCGAGTACACGCGATCTGCCGTCGGTGATGCATCCACCGTACGAGTCGGCGCGCGCCAGCACCAACACCCGCGGCTCCAGCGTCGTCATCCCCGACACCCTCGAGCCATTACCCACGCGAAATACCAACATCAATTCCGACATGAGTTGGCTGAACCTGAACGCCGAGCGTTGATTTCTTCTCTCCTTTGCACATACCCACTTATCTTGTTCCATACCCGCTGTCTGTCCTTATCCCTCTTGCTCCATCGCATCCACCTAAAACAGTCTTTGTCGTGATCATTGTCTTTGCATCGTTTGCCGTTCTGATCCCGATCGAGCGTTCAAGCGTTCCTTCCTTGTTCGATTCCATTCTGTTTCTGTTGTTCCATTCGCAGCCGGTCATTGATGAATCCATCCATTTGTTATCTATGTACGGGTACGGATCTGGTGTTATCTTGGTTTTGTATATAGAGTCGGTTTGGGATCCACTACGTGACTTTGCGCTCAGCAGCAAGTTCAGTAACGCTTATTCATTCTGTAAACCTTGGTCCGTGTACTACCGAAGCCACGCAGTCGTCATTGTCATAAGTCATAATCATAATCATGTCCATTCTAGTCCGTGCATCGCCAACATCACAGCATCAAAAAGTTCAAAAAATAGACTCGCGTCGTGCCGGGTTAGACAAATTCTCCTCAACTTCGTCCGGATACCTCGTCCGCGGCACCGCGCCATGACTACTCGCCCTCCGCGGCAGCACTTCCCTCATGCGACGTTCGCGACGCAGCGAGCGCTCTCTCTTGAACGACGCGCGCTCGCGCCGCTTCTCATCCGCGTGCTTCCACGACCCCACGACGCCCTTGACGCCCAGCGCGGCGAGGCCCACGTTGGCCGCATCCGAGAAAATGTTCTTCAGGCGCCGCCTGCGCGCCTCCTCGGGCGACATGTCACCTTCCCGCACCATCTGAGTGTTGCGCTTGTGTTTTTCCATGCTCTCGTGCAGACCGTGCGCGGCGTGGATGGTCGCGACGGTCGCCAGGCCCGTGGCCACGAGCGTATCACGGGTGAGTTTCTTGCGTTGGCGGTCTTCATCGGTACTGTTGTCTTGGTCAGAATCCTGCTCTGTCGCGGGGTGTTTAGGCCCGGATCGAGGCGCGGTGGTGGTGTTCCTGGATATATGTGGTGGTGGTAGACCTACGTCTCTGGGGTGCCTGGTTCTCCGGGAGCCGCCGTAGCGGCCCCGGCCATACTCGCTGTCCCAGTCATCGGCGTCGGAATAGTAGTAGCCATCGGCATCGTCGGCGCCATCGTAGCGCGACGACCGATGTCTGTGTCGCCGGCGCGGCTCCTCCCGCTCCTTTTCTTTGCTACTGTCGAGGCCGAGGGCCTCTAGCCCGCGACTGATGTAGTCCGATACACTGCGACTGCGCTGTCGACGGGGCCGCCGCCCCGGCGAGGACTCGCTGTCGTCGTAGCTGCCGTCGCGCGAGAGCGACCGGCCGCGCCGCGGGCGGGACCAGACCGCTGGTACGGCTCCAGGCTCCTTCCCGCGGCTGCGAGGGCGCCTGTAGCGGCGAGATCGCGCACGCCGGCTGTGACTGCGATGACCGACCGCCCGTGCCTGGAGCGGGACCGCGAGTGCGAGCGGGGACCCTTGACAAAGTGGTTGGCAGCCAGGCCGGCGAGTGTGGACTCGATGATGTGGCGTTTGGAGTGTTTGCCAGGGTCGCGGTCGACGAGGCCGTCTGTACCGCCGGCTGTGAGGGCGGCGGTGAGGATGCGTTTGCCTTTCTCGCCGGTCCACTCGCCTTTATCTTTCCGCAGACGGAAGGCTTCGACGGCGCCCGCGGTCACGGCAGCCTTGACGGCCTGCGCGATGCGCTGCTCACTCTTGTCGCGATGATGGCTGCCGCGGTGGCCCCGCGTTGGCGACGGCGAGTACGAGTACGACCGGCCGTGGTGATCGCGCCGGCCGCGACTACGACTGCGCTCGTGGTGTCGCGAGCCGCTGGCAGCGGCAGAGCCGAGCCCTAGGGCGCTGAGCGCCTGCTCGGAGAGGGACTTGCGCCGGCGACGGGGCGGGGAGCGGCTGCTTGATGGGGAGCGGGAGTATTTGTAGTGGCCGCCTGAAGGGGTCAGCTTCGGCTGGATCTATGCGCACGTCGGAGATTGATACATACGTCGGTCATCGTGGTGTCTGGAGTGTCTGCCTCGACTGGGACGATAGTAGTAGTCGGACTCATCATAGTATGGGCCGCCACGGGCGCCACCACCCAACGAGTGAGAGCGTCGCACGCCTTCCTGGACGGTAGCAACTCTAGAGTGTCGCGGGGGAGGATAGCCGTGACCGTACTCGTAGGCGTAGTCGCCTGGTGGATAGTCGCGCGGAATCTCCTCGATGGACTCGTTACTGAAGTTGGGACGAGGGACGACATCCGTGTGCGACGGATGGCCCCCGTAGTAGTCCTGCGCGTGCCCTGTGGCCGGCCGGGAGTGACGATCACGGGTGGGGGGATAATACTGGCGTTCGTCGTAGTAGGCCATGACGGCGGAAGGTAACTAAGAATGGTGGCTCATGGGATACAAGAGACAGAAGAGGATGAAGAAAAGAAGGAGGTGAGGGAGAGTGAGGGAGTGCAATAAGAAGTGTGGCGAGGGGCGGGGCAGCCTTGTGACGTCTTCCGAAGATGGTGCGACAGGGCGTTTCGGGGCACTTGCAGAGACGAGATCATTCGACGAGGAACAGCCAAGGGGGTCTCGAGCTGACGGGCTGACGGGCTGACGGGTTTGAGGGAGATGAGAGGGAGTGGACTGTAAGAGAGGGAGGAAGTGAGAGATGTTGGAGGTTTGTTTCTTTATATTCCAAGAACAAGAGAAGAGGAGGGCTGACTAACCCATGACATCATTCCAACTTCAACTCCCTTGCAGCGTCCAGTTGGGCCTGAACGTCTGTCATGTCGAGAGAACTTATATCCAAGTCAATTGTTTTCATTGTGGGCATACTTCCAGTGTATACACATTTCCCCATGCGTTCCTGACCATATGCTTACCCGCGTTTCTCCCAATGGTTCAGACGCCCTCGTTCCATGGTTCCTGTCGGGTGGATAGATGAAAATAAAACACAGCAAAATGGTATCATTCATGTGTCTCCATAAGACATCGTCCCCACGGACCGTCAATCCCCGTAGGGATCACTAGATACTGTACATCAAGTTCCATGCAAAAATCACAAAAACGATTGAACGCTCAGAAACCATAACCAAAAAAGACATCAAAACAAGAAAAATGCCAACCATGCCAAATCCAGACAAGAACACCCAAAAAACATTCAAGTTCAATCGATATACATGCTTCCATCCTCTCCTCATCAATTGACACACATATGGAGTGATTCACACCGATCTTCCGGGTTTGTCTAGTCCGTCGTCCGGGAGAACGCATTCTATCCTCACTCTACCCGCCATTCTCAGACGGTAGAAAGAAAAGCCACAAGAGGTGCCGCACAGCAGTCACCCTCCGCGTGGAGACATCCACGCTTGTAAGAAACCGCCGCTTCTCCGGCGGATCAGGCCATAGTCCAAGACACGGCCAGGGGGAAGAGGAAACAGGCAGCGAATATGTCCGGCAATGCATCCGTTCATCAAGGTCGTTCATGACGTCGTGCCGTAAGGCTGCGCACGGCGGCTGCTGCTGGAAGCCATCGAATTACGTCCCGACATGTGGTCATACGCACTCCCGTCCACCTGGGACTGCGACCGGTTGTGGCTGTACGTTGACGACGCACTCCGACGAGTCGTCCAGCCCGCTTGGCCATCACCTTGCATTTCCTCCGAGTGTGTCCGATGCGTCCGGATGTGTTGTTTCATGTTGTCCTTGCGCGTGAACGCCTTGTTGCAGATCGGACAGTGTACACTCTTCTCTCCGGTATGCTTCTTCCCGTGCCGCGCGGCATGTCCGGAAGTCGTAAACGTCGCCGAACAGCCATGACTGGCGGCGAACGGACAAGGGTATTTGTTCTTTCGCGGCTTGGGGGCCAGCGTGTCCTTGGTGCCACCGATCGACGTGGACGGGGACGGAGGGTCGGCCACCGAGTTGGCGCTCAGCCGTTTCCCGGGGTATCCCGCGGTCGATGTCGAATAGGTGTGGGAGTCGGGCCGCCCTGATTGGTAGTAAGAGCTGGTGGTCGTGCTGCTCATATAGTCGTAGGAGCAATCGGACGATCCCGGTGAAGCCGGCTGCGTGGACTCTGAGACAGGATCGAATGTCGGACGAGGGACCATGGGCGATACTGCCCGGGACTCGGAAGTCCGTCCATAGCGAGACTCGGGGGTTGACGATTGGTAATATGTTGATGGATAGGGGTATGATGACGGGGAGTGGTGTCGAGCGGATCTATGAGATGATCGGACGGCAAATGCAGGATTATCATCGTTGTTCAGGATGGAGACAAAGCTCGCCTTGCAGCTTGCCATTTCCCCTGTGGTCCTCGAGAGGGGAGAACTGTACGAAATCAGTCTGGCTACACACATGGATGGGCTGGTTTCGACCACAAGACAGTCCCCTTTGCCTGGTTGATCTTCCCGGAGAATAATGCCGGCATCAGGCAATATCTACTCCAAAAAAAGCCTGTCCAGCCAGGGGACCCGCACGAACGACGAAAAAAGACAGAAGTACCTACCAGTTTTGTCGAGGATGTTTGTCTCTTTTCTTCGTGTAACAGGCACCCGATCTGTTGACAGGCACTCGGGGAGATCTCACGACGACCCCCACCAACGACTCGAGGAGAACCTGGTCGTCGTATTTGTGTTCGGGCGGAACGACTCCCGCGGCGAGCAAGCACCCACGTTCTGGATCAGAAGAGAAGCTGGGAATGACCAATGCCAGCCGGCGGGTCAGACGATTGTCGGACGAGAAAGAGATTCCTTTTTTAACTCGACGCCACCGATCCGAGTTGATAGCGGATGCACGCAACTTTCAACGGCGAGAGGCTGGGGTGATGGTGGTATTGCAGGCAGGAATGAAAGAGACGTGTTTCACACGGAGACAGGCTCGGAACACAGTCTTCCAGAGAAGTGTCGAGCCAGAGAAGAGGAGAGGAAAGTGAAAGAGATAGGGAGACTGAGGGTGAGAAGATATCAGAAATATAGGCGAGTGGTGGGATTCCAGGTCGGGGAATTTGATCGATAGATGTCAAATCGATAGGAGATAAGGAAGCAGGTGGAGAAGAATGGGAGAGGAAAAGGAAGACGAAGGAGAGATAGGATGAAGGGGGAACAGGAGAAGAGAAGAAGAGAATTGAAGTAGAAGTTTGAAGCCGAGAGATGGAAGAATGGAACGGGGGAGGAAGGGGGAGAAGAAGAGAAGAAGAATGAATGGATGGATGGATGGATGGATATCTTGAAACCGGTCCAGGGTCTCTCTTCAGAGAAGCTCTGGCCAGGATGGATGGGTTTAGCCCCGTGAGTTTAGTTGACTTAGTGGCCCTTAGTTCGGTGGAGGCCGGTGGAGCCCTAGGCATCAGTATTTACTTTGGTATCGTCGTATTAATCGCGTTCAATTGCTGGGGAGTTCTTGGGTCGTCTCGGCTGTGATCCTTCCATATGAGCATATGTACTATGTTTCGTCCCCGGTCTTGCGGTAGTAAATCAGTCAACAGTCAACAGATAGAATCATTGAATAGCCTACAGAGCACCCAAAGCTACGATGCTCACTCTCTCGGCAGTCACTACGGAGTAGATCAAATAATACAGGTGGATATCGACCCATAGCAACTTTAATCCCTACAACGAGTATCTCCGAAGTAGAGCCAGCCTATGGTCCACCATCCGCCGGATCCATGGCAGGGAACAGCCACTCGGCGGTGTCGTGGCTTGCCTTGTCGGCATAAAACCCCGTGCCCATAATAATAATGCTCCAGGGGGGCCCCTCGGCGCCAACAACCAAGACAGTTAGTGAGGTCCCTGACTGGTACGTGTCCCTGTCGTCAGCTGAATAACCCATTCTCCATCGACTGCGCCATCAACGGTTGTTCGCCGGTGATTTCGGTGGCCGAGGACCGACTCGAGCTTGTATCCGCATTACCCGGCAGGGGTTCGTACAATACCATACGAAAGACGACGATTCATCCAAGTACCTGCTAGGTATTTAGTATCCTGCACCATGATATCGTCCTGGTGTAAACTGTAAACTGTCTTGTATCATCTGCCTTAATTACTACTTCCATGAAGTAGAGACAAAAATAGATTGATAATGCGCCTCGGTCTCCATATCCCTAAATAGATGCACTATCTGCTCTGTCCACGTCTTGGCTCCAAATCGCCTCGGTGGGAGCCGCGACGTTGATCAATACTCCGGACTATCAGCCCGACTATCCATCACTCGTGCTGGTTCATCGTTACCCGACCCGGTAAAGTGCCCCTGAATTCCACGAAATCCGAGCAAACAGCAAAGGCCGAGCCTTACGGACAAGCTTTTAGCCACAGGGGCCTGAAACCGTCCTTCTTTATCCTGCCTTTCTACTGGTCCAGTTCAGGGATCTGTTCGTGTCCAACTTCCCTTCTTATGAACGGCGCATAAGTGTCCCTTCTGGTGACCAAATTTTCTCCTCGTGGTCAAACGTACCAGATTTCAGAATTACGGAGTAGGGTGGCTTTTTTTTTTTTTCCTTTTTCTTTTTTTCCCTTGATTCCCTTTCATTAGCGCTCTTTGCCCCTCCGAATCCGGAATAGGAATTCTCCTCCGTGCCTCGGGGTTAATGGTCCAAGCGAGCATCATCGAGGGTACACACATACGGAGTGCGCAGATCAGAATTCGTGATATTAGTCACCGGTCAGGTGTCAGTGGTGATAGCACCGGCATACGTAGGTTGCTGACACGGTTCCGCCGGCATCGCGGTGGGGACGCAAATAGGACGCTTGTTCATAGGCTGGGTTCAACAGATACACTCTGGGTCGCTAATTCTTGTTTTCTCTAGTCGCCGTGCTAACGTACTACTATACCATCGCGGACGTATACTATACCCCGATATTCTGTAAGCCAGCTCTCCCATTCGTCCACCTGAAATAGGGATTTACTCCGTATGTTCTTGGGGCAGTGTTTATACCAAGAATATAGTAGACCGCCACAACGAACCGGACAATAGTATTGTTGCATACGTATGTGCGAAACTCAGTGCCGGGACGTGGCGCTAGAAACGGCTGAGGCTGTCAAATCGTAGAGGTATTCCCTTGCATGGGTCAGAGATCTCTATCAAGTATAGTAAATATCATTCGGTGGCCGCTGTCGTCAAGTCAAAGTCGCAAATGTGACTATGCTACCAAGGGACATGACGCACGCCAGAAGTTCCATGTCACTGTCAAGGATACACCTCCACTGGACCCCTCCCCATCTGACCCGTACGCACTAGCGTTCGTACAAACAGACGAGTAGGTCGACTGACCGAGAGACGTCCGAAATGACAAGCCACCGCAAGGCTGGGCTGCGTGCATACGTATTGTGTCAACGTCGTCGAGCAACGCACACCTCCGCAAGTGGGCTGTGCCGACGCACTTTGCCTTCGGCGAGAGGAACGCCGGCGCCAGATCGACAGCCAGATATACCAACTCCCGGATAGTCTCCGTTCTATTCGCCGGAGCTGGCAGGCGCAACGATGGAGCTTTCATCATGAGAAGGCTTGGCACTGATCCTCCTGTCCCAAACGTGTAGATTGATATCGTGGTTCCGCTCCATGGAGATAGTACCCAGCTCGGTAGTCCACGTATGCACTCTATCTTTGACTACTAACTACTAGGAGTAGGGAAAGTGGCTCAGTCCACCGGTCAGACTAGCTGCCCTACCCATGTACATACCACCTACACCTACTGCACTCTAATTAGCATGTGGGCTTTAGTATGCTGTTCCCTCCACCCTCCTCGATCATACGTGTCAGTTCCGGTTTTGCGCCGTCCCTCGATTGGTCGTCGCCGGGCTTTTCTGTAGGCGGATTGCGCTGAGATGCGCGGTCGATGTGATTCCATGCAGGATATATGAGGATGGAGTGGTGGGGACTGCTATCGATGCATAGCATACAGATACAGAAATGCAGCTACCTTGGAGCATACCCATCCATCAGAGCCAAGTCGGAGATAAAGCAGATACAAGCTTTGGATGACACCCGACCCGTGGACAGCGATAATACTCGATACCATACGCGTATGGTAAGGTAAACCGTACAGTAGGGCACGGTCTGACAGCACGGAGACCTATCCGAGAAAGGGCTGAGACACCAAGCGTCAGCGAAGATGCTGATCAGCCAGTCCTGGGCCTGGCCCAGTACGGGGCGATCTGGGCTTGCAGGGCGGGCAAGTGTATACGACGATACCGGGCTTGGATGGGGAAGGGTTCCAAGCGATGGTGGGAAGGCTGAAATCCCCTAGGGCGACGGGGCCGGGGACGTGATGGAGCCAGAACCTGCGCTAGCTCTCTTGGTGCTGTTCCTCCGGATGCATCTGGATAATTATTTTTGTGGATTATTGTGCTCCTGGGAGTAATCCTATCCTCCTCCCCTCTTTCTGACCCAGGTCCGTCTGGGCCGTTCGGCACAGGAGCTCCGTAGTCTGAGACTAAATGTGAGACTACTCCAGGTCCCTACAGTAGCTTGATCCTTCAGGGCCTCCTGCACCCTGTATTTGCAGCCTCGTCGTATCCGTATCTGCGGTGGTTATTATCAGTTTGGCTCTTTGGATTGCAAGTGGAATCTGTACGCTCCACTTGCACGCCGAATCCTCCTTGTTCCCCAGGCTGATGCACTAGCCGCTAATCACGTACTCCGTATATCCGCTGCACCGAACACTCAGGAGAAGCTAAGAGGGGCCATAGGTAGTTTTCACCCAGGGACAGCCTGTGGAGTTCGCTCATGGTGTGGTATCGGCAGATGTCCCCATCCGTATCAGTGATGGTGATCGGGGCTTCGGATGGAACTGGCCGAGACTGGGTTGCTTTGTCAGCGGAGATGACTGACTCCGAAAAAAAAATAAAATTTAATAAAAAAAGTATAAACGTAAAAATAAAGGTAAATAAAAAAATGAACGGTCGTTTTCCTGGTCCAGATCGACGAGAACAGTCCCAACAATACTCTTGAGCTTATATCCTTCTCTGCTATACTCCGTCGAAATTTCGAGATGCTGTTCTCCTACCTCTGGATATCACGGGATTTGCTACCTGACCCGAAATCCCTGACTAGACCCCAATGGCCGGTTGGAGACTAGTAGATCCCTGTCTAGCAACGCCCAAGGAACCCGCGCATGAGACTAGGACAAAATACAGGGAATCCCCAACAAGTTGACGCCAGGGCCTGAAACGCGGAACGTCGAACATGCAGCCAATAGCATAATCTTAATTCTTCTTCGGCCGATTTCTTTGCTTGTTTGGCTCTTACTATGACGCGCACAGGGTCCAGAAATCGTTGAGTCGTGTTTGCAAAGTGCAGACCAACACAAACAAGGCGTTATCGAAGGATCAGCTGCGCATGCATGTTGCTTGTGGACGGACCCTGGTCAAGACACAGCCATGAAACGACAGCTGTGTACGGAGTACTTCGTAAGGGCTGAGCAACGGCCGAACTTCGCCCATACCGGACGTAAAAATCTACTATACGGACTGGGCAACGCACTGGTCGATCCTGCATGGCTACGGAAATATCCCGTGCAGACCTACTTAGTCGTGAAACAGCCACTCCGAGTCCAGACAAAGACGGATAGTGTGTTGCGTTGGGGAGATAGTTGTGATAGTTGTCATGGCTGTGTAGACCATAAAACATGACGGTCGAATTGGCGATAATGTGTGTGCGTATGCGACTCGAAGTCGATACTGACTCAATAATCATGTTCCGTAGTGATACGGAGTAGATCTTCAGGGTCCGAAAAGAAGGTTTTTGGGGCCCGGAAACGGGAACCTTAGGGTACGGAGTACGTCGGTACCATACTTACTTACAGAGGACATACCTCACCCAGCTTACGTACATCATGCCTCGACACAGCTGGGTCGGTACTGTCCATGAGCCGTCTTGCCGGTATTTTTATTTCTGTTTTCCATCCATCTTTACTTGTCCGTTTCGGACGAAGAAAAAAATCTCGTCCGGTAGATTGATAACTCGACCACTCGAATAAGGTGCAGTCCGAGCCCAACTCCTCTGGATAAAATGGCAATTCGCTGTCGCGTGCGTCGTCTATCTTACTCGATGTGGAATAGAGTAAACAACCGTGGGCAGATGATACTCCTACCTAGTAACCATCTCTGCGCATATACCTCTTGATCACTTAACAGACTAACAGACTACCATACGATAAATCTGGTCTACCATCCCATTATCGCAACCGACTCAAATACCAATTTTAAGGCCTCGTCATCCACGACGTATGCAGTGGGGTCTGGCCATGCCCGGGTTAGTATACTAGATCCGTCCGAGATACGACTCCGACGCCACAGGGTTCGTCCTGACGCAGACGGAGACTGCGTACGCCGCCCCAACGCCAACATGCCCAATTCCCCGTCTATCTAGGCTTTTCTTTAGCTCAGGGCTAAGCGTTCGGCTAGCGCTGCCATCCTATCGTACGTAAGCCTGTCCACAGGGCTGTCGCACGCAGCTCAGGGAGCCAGCTAGCTCCATCTTCTCGTGCCCCTCTCCCCTCCGCCCCATTTGCAAGGCAGATTTCTACATTGCGCCCTCATGTGGTCATGGTGTATGAGAAGCTGATTGAGGCGCATTGTATGCCTCGCTGGTCTTCTACCGGTAAGCACGATCAATAAGCGTGATATGATAACTTTCTTGTCGGCTTCCAGGGACTTACGTAGCTGCATACGAATGCTCGCGCGGACGGCCGGTGGGGCCGGCGCCACGGCGCGTGAGGCAGGGTCGTCGACAGGACTGTACACGGCGTAGCTAGGGGACTCGGGCTTAGATGTTGGCCTCGATTCAGTGGCTTCGCTCTGCGATGGACGTGTGTCGCGGCTGCTTGCTCTGCCGACAGAATGATAGATTGACGAACATGTACTGGCACCATGGGCAATTGTTGCCAAGCCGGCATTTCCGCCTCACGAGTGTCGGGTCAACCCTCGCCAATGCTGTTGTATACAGAACCAAGTGTTACGCGAACATTCAGCTGTCAACGCAGACGACAATCCCCCGCGAGTAGCCTGTGGACACGCACGCTTCGGCCAAGATCATCCCGCCGTCTTCCCAACTGGTCACCATCCGACCCGATCTGGAACCATATCGGCACATGCAGTCGAGGACTTTGGCCCTCGTCGTGACGACGACGACGACGCCTGCTGGGAGCGCCATCTCTCTATCATGCACCCCTACGTATGGCTGCAAGGACCGGATTAGGTCTGACGATCTCTTCGCTAAGCTTCAACTGGCAAGGCACTATCCTAGCGTGTGGTAAAAAGGCCTGGCTACCGTCCTTAAAGTCTTGGCTACGCGTAATGCCGGCCACGCATTGTGAAGGATTGGACTCGAATGCTCGCTCTGGATTGCCTCTTTGTTGGGTGATATGTGCTGGGGCGATGACTACCCGCTGAGTCGACCGATGGTCAATTAATCTGCCACCGTCCAGGAGTACTAGGCCTAAGCCACGAGAATATGTTCCCCGGGGAAAGGGGGTCCAAGAGTGGGTGTAGTTAGTTGCTGGAAATGAGGGAGTCCCTTGGCGTTGTCGGGATTTGGGAAGAGGTCCATATCACGCGGCGTCTTCAAACAGCAAAGAAGAGACGCAATAAACGGGGAGACTGAGTTCTTAGAATGTAGTTGTCAATCGGGGATCAAATGGTTTGAATGAGCAGCAAATGATCTTTCATGTATTCATAAGTCATGGCTCGATGACATGCACCTTTGTCGTAAAATAACAATCCACACTTGTCTTCGCACCTGCCCGCGCATCACCGTCAGTCTCCTGTCTCCTGGCATAGTATGCCAGTACATTGGAAAGACTCATATGTCCAATGAAGTATACACAGCTGCATGACCTCCCAGTCCTACGTTCTGTGCCCAGCTAACAGATGGACAATGATAGATATCACCGTGATCTCAAACCAGAACTCGCTTATGTTCCCCCTTCTCCTGCATCTCCCGCAACACCCTCTCCGCAGTTCTCGTCGCTTCCATTCCGGCCGGTGCTCCGCAATATACAGTGGAATGGATAATAGCTTCTCGAATCTCGAGTTCACTCAGGCCATTGTTGATCGCACCACGAATATGCACCGCTAGTTCCGGTGTGCGGTTCAGCGCGGTCAACAGGCCGATGTTGAGGAGACTGCGCTGCTGACGACTGAGACCCTCGCGATTCCAAACGTTGCCCCAGGCCCATTCTGTGACCAGGTCTTGCATTGGGCGAGAGAATGCATTCGAGTTAGAGGACAGGGAGCGTTCAACGTGTTCACTGCCCAGGACCTCTTTGCGGGTCTGAAGGCCTTTGTTGTAGGTCGTGACTTGAGGCACAGCAAGCACTTCCTGTTGTACGGGTTCTTGGGGGCCTTCCAGGTTTTTGGCATTCTGCGCCTTCTTGGCCTTGGCTTTGGCTTTCCGGGCCTTCTTCTTCTTGTTCTTCTTCTTTGTGGAGCCGTCATTAGGAGCCGATGCAGCTTCAACAAGAGAGACCTGGCCCGAATCGGTGTTAGGGTCCTGTGCTCCAGCGTCGTCTCCAATATGAAGGTTCTCGAGGAACTGATTGGCCTGCGCAATTGCGGCTTGATCAGAAACATCCGGCTTCATCGTCTCCTCCAGCTTGTCCTGAGACATGGCATTGGCTAGACACAAGTCAGCAGAAAGTTGGAAGAATCAACAATGAGGCAATTGATCGGTTTATAAAAACATGAGCTGGCGCCAAAGGAAGACCGGTGCGCCCATACTCCCCCGCGACCAGGCAACAAAGAAAGCACCAGAAAAAGGAAAAGAACAAAGTACCAGGTTCATTCTGAGAAGTGGCCTCGGACTCAGCGCCATTGACTTCAGGTTGTATCTGGGCGTTGGTGGGAGGGACCCAGCCCACATGAGTGTCGGGACTGCATGTATGCTCGGGTTTGTACTCGTTGACCTGTGCCTGCACTGTGTCTCGACGCACGTACAGACGCACTCGATAGGGACATCCCCGACCACTAAGACAGCGGGTGAAGAATCTTTTGTGGTCAGATTTGTCGACCCGAAAAGACTGTTGCTGGTCGATGGTGTGCTGGATCAATGCGGCTCGTCCCTCCTCCAACGAGGGGAACTTCAGGCCTCGGCGCCACTTGATATCGGGTTGGGAAGACATCGGAATGATCGATCGAGGTGAGCCCGAGTCAGCGGCTGGCTCAATTGGAGGCGGAAAATGCAGCACGAGGAGAGTTGTGCAGATGGGGAAGTGACGGAATGGATGGAATTATGGCAGGTCGAAGTTGTTCCCTGCCGCCTTCCGATTGGGCCCAACCTCCTCGTTTACACCTTTCCTCATCTGGACTATTTACTCCTTCTACACCTTTCTTCTATCCTACTGTCACTCTTCACGGGGACCACAATCCTATCTACAGGGTCGGTCTACAGGGTCAGTCCTTTCAAGGGAACATATCCGATGAGCGCCGTTGTCTGATCCCTACGGCTGAGCTGCGAGCATCAAGGGTGGTGTACCAGCCCCTGCGCTTTAGGAGATATCCCACATCGACAGGAACATTCCTGGTGGCTTCATCCCGCTTCATTAACCTCCTACATGGCCCTGATAAAGGGTGGCGATAAGAAAGTACGCGACGTGTTAAGCTCGGGCCTGGGGTGACTGGAATGCGGGTGGGATGCGCTCCTTGCTCGCATCCCTATGTCTGCCCTATGTCTTATCTGCTTTGCTCATGACCGCACAAGTGACAGCAGACTCCTAGGGGTGTAATAGGAATGTGATCTTCCATCGCACCGCCTCCCTTGGCTTCAAAATAGGAGCAGCATCTTTTCGCCGTGGTCATAGATCGCACCTGTCAACACACTGCTGTCTTCGCAGATAGAGACTACGGGCCAATAACGAGACCAATCTTTACTGGAATTTCGAGCCAGCCCAAAAAATCCGAGCATTCGAGTATCCAGACCCATGGTACCGCAAGAACTCGGAGATCTGCTGCCGCAACGACCGCTCATTCCACATGGCGGCAGCGCCGCCCTTGGAGATTCCAGGGAGCTATCGAGGGTGTGCATATATAAAGAACACTCCTCTCACGGACAGTCTCATTCATTTTCGATACTGATCATCATATCTATTGAATCTACCTGTATTGAAGCCATTGAACCGAGCACATCGCATCACATCAACAGAGCAGCGATCGCATCCAAGCAGCATGTCTGTTACCAAACCCATATCCCTCATTTGCCTCGTTCTATCACTGCTGGCCCTCTCCTCAGTCAGCAGCGCCTACCCCATTCAGAGATCGAACGAGCCCAATGTTGCATCGCGATCGCTATCTCTACGCTCTCCAAACCCGGTATGTCAATGCGATCGTCGCAGATGCTCCAAGCCCAACTCACTAACCCATTTAAACAGAGGTTGATGCCCGCCGACGACAGTGACAGTGGCCAGAAGTACGATGACGTGCGCGGTGACTTTTTCACCCATCTTCTGAGCGCCCTCGGACTGGAGGAGCTCAGCAACCTCAATCACCTTGAGAACTGGAAGGATGAGACACAGCCCGCCGATCCCAAAAAGAATACCGATCGAAACGACAAGGCCTCGCCTACGGAGAACACCACGACACACGCACCAGATAGCTTTGAACATGACAAAGAGGAAGCCTTGCGCAGCCCGGTAAAAGATCCACTTGGCTACGCCAGCGATTTATTGGACCTGGTGTCGGGAGAGATAAAAGAGGCTATAGATTCTAGCGATGAACGCACCCTGAACTAAAGAGCCTGTCATCTTCTTAGGGAGGAGATCGGTTACTTGTTTCATATTCTAGCCATTCTGTGTGATTACTGCGATTTGGTGTTTTGGCCAGCGGGACATGAGTGACGATGGCAAAATCGAAAGGCGACTGTATGATGAAACTGTTCCAGCATTTATAAGATATGTATAATATTCCAAAAGTTTGGTTCTCCCAGACGGTCGGTCTCCGTGGTAAATCCACCTAAACTCCGGGATATGTTAGGATTTCCGTAGATCGACATCATTCTAAAATCCATTTATCCCCGCGGTGGAGGTCTCCAGTCCGCAACATTGGAAGATGGATGGAATCTGGACGAAAGTGGACAGTCTCCGAAGAGCCGGTGATGGATTATTTAACCACCTCCTGCCGCGGTCTTCCTCTTCCACTTCTATCTCCAACGACACCTTTACCAGCACTCCCTCCCATCCCATATCCTAACAAACGCAACGCATCCAAACACAACCAACATGCCTGCGCTCGTTGATCGCGAAGTCGGCCCAACAGGCTATGGCTTGATGAGTGCGTCCATCCTCCCCGCCGTGGGGCAATCCTCCCTGCGCCGTGATCTGTCTGATGGCTAACATGCACCAGGAATGACCTGGGTTCCGCAGCCTCCTCCGCAGGAACAGTGCTTCGACGCCCTGAACACCGCTCTCAAGCTCGGCGCGAATTTCTGGAACGCCGGCGAGCTCTACGGTACCCCGGAATACAACTCCCTCCACCTGCTCAACAAGTACTTCACGGCGCACCCCGATAAGGCCAACGAGGTCGTTCTCAGCATCAAAGGCGGCCTGAAGGTCGGCCAACTCGCGCCGGACGGCTCGGAGGCAAACATCCGGCGCAGCGTGGACGAGTGTCTGCGGGTGCTGGATGGGAAGAAGACGATTGACATTTTCGAGTGTGCGCGGCAAGACCCCAACACGACCGTCGAGCAGACGGTCACGATTCTTGCGCAGTTGAAGAAGGAGGGTAAGATCGGTGGTATTGGCCTCAGCGAGGTGGATGCGGACACCATCCGGCGAGCGTAAGTGTCTCCCTACATTCTACAGTATCTTCCTACGCAGTGTTCGTTGGGTTCTAACAAAAGGGCGAAAACAGACACAAGGTCCACCCCATCGCAGCAGTCGAAGTCGAGCTCTCCCTCTTCGACACGACCATTCTCAAGAATGACGTCGCAAAGACCTGCGCGGAGCTCAACATCCCCGTTGTCGCGTATTCCCCCTTGGGCCGTGGCGTGTTGGCGGGCGCCTTCACAAGTGCGTCTGAGATCCCCGACGGCGACTTCCGCAAGATCTTGCCCAAGTTCCAGGACGAGGCCATGAAGCAGAACATCAAGCTCGTGGACGAGGTCCGGGACCTGGCGGCGCGCAAGGGCGTCGCGCCGGTCCAGATCGCGCTCGCTTGGATCTTGACCCTCAGCGGTCGGCCGGGAATGCCCACCATCATCCCCATCCCCGGTGGTACTACGTCCGACAAGGTCACGCAGAATTTGCAGGGCGTGCCTCGTCTGACGGATGAGGAGATGGCGGAGATTGATGCTATTTTGGACAAGAACGAGGTCGTGGGTGCGCGGTACTGAAGGCTAGACCATGTGTGGCTTTTTGGTTGCATTATACATTGGGATGGTTGTGATTTAACGATATTTATTAATACTATAACGGATCGAACATAGGACGTCCAAGATATGCTATCGCGGTTGGTATCTAGATTCTATTCAGGTCAGCGATGTTCACCTGAGGATGTGTGGATGGTAGAATAAGAAATAGAAGTCAGATCAAGTGTAGAAGAGTCAACATGCGGTCTCACACAAGAGGAGATCGTCCGAATTGCAGAATTCTTGATAGAATCATCATGCAAGCGAGGGGAAAGAGAGAGGTCGGACTCACTCTGTAGTCAGTAAGTCGTAATATTAGATTAATTTGACCGGATCCATGTCAGAACCGGTATGCATGAATACCCGCCCTCCTCGGTTGAAAGAAGAGCAGTGGAGAGTGCAAGAGAATGAAAGAAAGAAGAAACAAAATCGGCGGAAGAGGAATTATTAAGGATAGCCTCAATCACGTGCCGTGGGCGCATACAGTACTCGACCGCGCATGATTCCCATCCATCAACGCTTCACGCTTGCGCAACCCAGGCCCTCCAGCCCCAATTCACGTCCCTTGTTTCTGAGCCTGCCCCTCTCATCTCCCTCTCCTCCTTGACGTTTCCCCCCAATGGCCGAGTCCCCTGGTTCTCCTCTCTCATCAGTCGCCTCCGACGACATGTCGGACCGCGAGGACCCCAAGCAGGGCTTCTCGCCCTCAGCGTCAAACCTGCCTCCTTCCAAGCGCCGTCGCACCGGAGCCGCATCGTGGGATCGCAATACTCCCGTCTCGACGACCTTCCAGGATGACCTCCCTCCACCCTCCCCCTCCAGCTCCATCTCCTCAGACACCTCCGGCGAAATCCCCAACTCCCCCGTCACCCTGTCTCTGATCGGCGCCGCCATCGACGAGGACTACAGCGGCAAAGGCAGCGATCAAGTCACGACGTGTCAGTGGGATGGCTGCAGCGCCGGCGACTTTGGCAACATGGACGATCTGGTCCAGCACATCCACAATGAGCACATCGGCACCCGACAGAAGAAGTACTCCTGCGAGTGGATGGACTGCAGTCGAAAGGGTCAAACGCACGCCAGCGGCTACGCACTGCGCGCTCACATGAGGAGCCATACTCGAGAGAAACCCTTCTACTGCACGCTACCGGGTGAGCATGGCCTCCTTTCGCCCCAGAAACATGTCTCCGCATGGTGCTCGGCTCTGACCACATATAACTAACCCACATCCCCATCCCCAGAATGCGATCGGAGCTTCACCCGCTCCGACGCCCTCGCCAAACACATGAGAACCGTCCACGAGACCGAAGCCCTCCGCCCGTCCGACCCCGTGCCCAAACATCACAACGCACCCCCTTCCGTCGCGGGTACGCCCGCCGGCACGCCAGCCGGGAAGCTCCAACGCATCAAGCTGAAGCTGTCGCATCCGCCGAAAGACGAGGCCGACCAGTACAGCGAAAGCGCCAACGAGACCGCCGGCACCGATGACCTCGACGAGTTCGAGATCCCCGAGTTCAGCCCCGAGCTGGGCTTCGACGAGCACGAGATGAGGATGCGTCCGCAAGACCTTTACCGGCTGCTACGACGGCAGATCCACTGGGCCGAGAAGGAAGGCCTGGGCCTACGCGACGAATGGAATAAGATCCGACCCAAACGGAAGCAGGCGTGGCTGGAGAAAGAGGCCATATTTGACGACGTGATTGACGCGCAGTTGCGGCTGTTCACCCTCCTCATGGAAAGTGAGTCCGCCCCAGCTAATGCGACCAACGGTGTCGACAAGTCTCAGACACAGCACACCGGGTCCAACGGTGTAGAAACAGATGCGAAACAGACCGCCGTCTCGGCGTCTCCTCCATGAGTCCGGTCTCGTCTTTCCGTCGGTCTCCTATGTCGCTTTCTTTTCTTCGCCTCGCTTCCCATCCATACTATGCCATATATGGTTGCTGGGGCCTTTTCTTCTATTGTTCAGACTGTTTAATAGGGTCTTGTTCTCCCTACTTCTCTATCTTGGCCCCAGGGGTATGATTTGAGTCACGGTTTATGCATTCATCTTTCCAGCAATTTTCTTTCAGCCACATGGGTGTCAGTCTGTTCTACTATTTGTATTCTATGACACGGTAATTCGACTTTTTCTGCACGGTACATAGGCGTAATGTCATCCTTGGTTCATATGAAGCAATTCACCTACGTTCTAGACTACGCGAATTGGTTGTAAGTAGACTCGGATCAAGGACTTTGAATGCCTCGAGCTGCTGCATTGTTTGGAACAAGATATACAGGTTCTCGGCAAAGCAATCCTTTTTTCATGACCAGGCTCCAAGGGAGAACCGCTTAAGCGTCTGGCAGCAAACAACGAAGCGAGGCCCTACACTCCAATATTGGGGGGTCCAAGGGCAGAAATATGGAAACAACAAAAAGCCAAGGCCCATCGTTCCAGGCTCCTGGGAGAAATAAAGCCAAAATATGTCATGCAATCCACTCGTGGTCAACACCCTTTCATAGATCATACCGGACGCCGTCGCCATGCTTTCCCAATGTGATGCACATATTTACCACAGGAAAAAGAAAAATGTTTAAAAGAAATGAAGTATGAACTCCCATAGGCGCAAAAAGGTGAAATCATCAATGCTTCCGCTGTATATGCGACAAATGCCAGATCTAATTCCCATTCGAAGCTGGCTTAGGTTCAGCAGCATCTTTCTTCAGAGCAGCTGATAGCTTTTGGTACATATCTCGGAGTTTTGCTCCTCCTGCTTCCTTGTTCGGCCAGTAATGGACCGAGACATAGTTCCTGTTCACAGGTCAGCGATCAAGCCATCATGTACCTTGCATATTAAACGAACCATAGTCGAGTCTCCAGGGAGGGCGTGCCGTGTTGCTGCAATGTGTCGCTAATAAAGTCGCCAACCGTGTGAAGCAATTTACGTAGCTCAGCTGCTCGTTCAGCCTTATTCGGGATATTTTCCTTGGTGGTGGTCGAGACTTGTTTCAGCTTCTCACGGATCGGCCGGAAGAACTGGCGAGCCATATCTTCCTTGCCAGAATGACCATTCTCGCTGATCTTGCGCCTCCGGATATCTTCACTCGAAACATCTGAAGTTCTATGGCGACTCCGCTCGCCATCGTGCACGGATCTCGGGCGTGAGTCATGGCTCGGCGTGTGATGCCGCTCAACACTGTCACGCGCGCCATGTGTGTGTGAGCGCTGTCGAGAACGTTCGGGTTCACGGTGACCTTTGCGAATCGAAGGCGCTGGTGAAGCAGATACGCTGGCACCAAGGGGCCGAGAACCCTTCCGGTTGTTGCGGTGGTGGTTCTCAACAGCCCTCTTCGCAGTAACATTGGCGCCGTTGGTAACTTTGTCCCTCAAAACGGATAGTAGGTAATCCGCTCGTCGAACAAGGTGAACAGCCCCAGGAGATTTTGTCGCCTTGTCTTCGGCATTCGCTCGCTCCGTCTTGCGTTCCACTCGGTGCTCTTCAAGGAAGAACTTATCCCCAAGTTCGAGATCGGTATCATCTCGGATTTGTGTCCACGCCCCGTAGCCGTGCCGGGCAATTCCGACACAAAGCATTCCGTCTTCTCGTGCTCCCCAAGCACAGCTATAGTCAGCGGCTTTGGTCGCCTCGGGGACGCGGAAGTTTCTGAAGTCAGACACCGCAGCTGTCGCTTCTCTGAGTATGCGCATCTCATTTGGGCGCTCGACAATGGTATAAGCGTTCAGTCGCTTGACACCATGAAGATCAAATAACACGGCCTTCTTCTCTTTCTTCGTTGGCATTTTACCAGCTTGTTCAAGGGCCTCCATCTTTTCGACGTCTGCTCGAACGAGCTCAGCAGCCTTCGTAGTGATCTCCCGCAAGGCAGCACGGACAACCTCCCTGTCACGATCGAGGAGACGTGCCTCGCGAATGACATCCTCTTCGCGGTCGTTGATGTCACCATAACGCAGGAAAGCACGAAGAAGGTGACGATACTCTTTCTCGATAAGAGGTCTTTTAGCGTCCAGTTCTTTTGTATCAGACTCTTCGCCGTCATCCATGCTAACTTGGACCCTCGCCCGTCGCTTAGCCTTTCGCTCTTCTCGAGAATCTCTGTCTTCTCCTGGAACATTTCGTTTGCGCGGCCGATTTTGCTCAATGACTTCAGCGAGGTAGCGCTCATCGGCTTTCTTCTTCTCTTCAGCTTTGATCTCTTCAAGCTGCTCCTTGGGGATGATATCGTCCCAGGTGAGATCGTCGACCTTAATATCAACATATTCGAAAGCCTTCAAGAATTCCTCACCACCGTCGGCTTGGATTTCCTCGGCTTGTTCAGTTTGATGCAGCTCGGCATTTGCAAGCACAGAGTCAATATCGAGCTGTTCCAGTTTCTCTTGGTTGCCGGTCTGCTCGAACATCCTCTGGCCACGACGCTTGAGAATGCGCGAGATATCCTCCGTGGAGTTTGGTTCGCTAACGGAGATACCGCTGCGGGCCATCTTATTCTGGATCTCGGAAGCTTCCTTGTCTGTAACACCACGCTGAATGGTGATAAATTCGAGGAGAAGTTTGTTGCGAGCTCTTTCAATGACTTCTTCTTCCACCGTGTCTTTAGAGACCAGACGGTACACACTGACTGGTTTTGTCTGTCCAATCCGATGTGCTCTGGCCATCGCTTGAAGATCCGCTTGAGGGTTCCAATCAGAATCAAACAGGACAACCGTATCAGCGGTCATAAGGTTGATGCCGAGACCACCGGCACGAGTGGAAAGAATGAAAGCAAAGTCACTGCTGCCAGGAGCGTTGAAATGCTCAATAGCAAGACGACGAGACGCAGCAGCAATGGTTCCGTCGAGACGCTGGTATTGATAACCGCGGAACTCCATGTATTCGCCAAGTAGGTCCAGCATCTTCACCATCTGACTGAAAATCAACACACGATGGCCATCCCTCTTGAGCTTTGCCAGAAGCTGGTCGAGGAGCATCATTTTACCACTGCTAGTGATCATGGCACGAAGAATGTCTTCACGTCGAGTACTACCTTCGAGAATTCTTGCCTCGGCATTGGGGAACATAAAAGGATGGTTGCTGGCCTTTTTCAGTTCCATCATGATGTTCAGGAGGGATTGCTTCTGGCCCTTGGTGCCCTCATTCAATGCAGCGTAGTTCTTGGTAAGAATGTTTTTGTAATACTCAAGCTGGATATCAGACAGCTCCACTCTGATAATCTTCTCGGTTTTAGGAGGAAGATCCGACTCAACCTTGGACTTCGTTCGGCGCAGCATGAAAGGCTGGATGGCCTTCGTCAATTCTGCAAGTTTCTGAGAAGCGGCCTCGGCGTTCAGGTCCATATCGACATCGATGTCAACCAGTCCAGGATTGAGGAAATCCAGGAGGGCGGAAAGTTCGGCGAGGTTGTTCTGGATTGGGGTGCCAGTGATGAGAAGTCGGGCAGGAGATCTGAATTCGAGGAGCTTCTGGTAAAGCTGAGACTCCCGATTCTTAAGACGATGGGCTTCGTCAACGGCCATAAACTGCCACTTGAATTGGCTCAGAAAAGACGAGTCCAACAAAACATATTCGTAGGTCGTAAGAAGGACGTTAAACTTGGGACGCTTTGGGTTGCCATCAATCATTAACTCATGCTCCCGAAGAACATTGCGAGCAGCTTCGTTGCCATTGTAGACGATGTAATTAAGATCAGGTGTCCAGTTGTCAAAGGTGTCAGCCCAAGACGGCATGGTTGAGAGGGGAACGACAACGACGAAGGGGCCTTGCTGACGTCTAACATGGCGAAGCCAGCTGATGAAGGCAACCGTTTGGACGGTTTTGCCCAGGCCCATTTCGTCGGCAAGAACGACATTACGGTTCTTGACCCAGTTGAAAGCCATGAAGTTGACTCCTTTGACTTGGAACTCTTTCAGCTCACCATTCTGCACAAAGGTAGGAGTGCCCTTGATCGGTTCGAATGGCTTTCGTGTGGCAGGGTTGGACTCCGTCTTGTCGGAAATAGGGGGGCGTGAAGACCGGTCTAGATAGCGATCTATTTCGCGCTGGGCGATTTCACTAACAAGGTCTTCCGTCTCCCACGTACACGAGTCGTAGAAGAGGCGTTTCCATTTGACGAGGTATTCGGTGCCCTCATCACCTTCGCGCATCGCAATCACTCTCTCCACATGCTTATAGTCCTCGATAGCTTCTACATCTCTTTCGCGATCAAGGTTCCACTTCTCCTTGTCCTCTGGGGCTACATCATCTTCCAGCCTCAGACGGATCTCTTCGTACAGGACTTTGCGGACGTAATTGTCCAGCCGGCGCGTGCTGCGACAGTTGGCAAGCGTCTCGCTGGTTTCCCAGGTTGCATGATAGTGGGATTTCCCTTGCCATTTGATGTAGTATTCAAAGTCGTGACGGCCGAGCTCGGGACTACTGGGATCTACACCAGCTTTGAGGCGATGGTTGAGCACAACATCAACGGCAGGGCGATCATCTTCCACGGTATTCACCCAGTAGTTCTGCGTCAGTTCTTCCGCATCATCCTCAAACATAGAGTCATCGTCGTCCTCGTTGTAATTGGAGACTCTAGAAGCGTTCCGGGTGGAGAAGCGGACCTCGGCATGCGAAGGAGGGTTGTTGAGGGATGTCTGCAGCAGTCGTCGCCGTTTCGCCTTGCTCGAACGAGCACGGCTAGGTCCATATTCATCGCTATCTGATTCATCGGAGAACGATTGGGAGAACGAGCGGGTCGCCGAGCGGGATGGACGTTTGGAGGATTGTTGAGAGACCGCCGCGCGTCGTCGCTTAGCGCGAGGCGCAACAGCGTCGGATTCAGAATCGGAATCAGATTCTGCTAGGTGACGCGTAGTGCGAGCACGAGTACTGCGCCGAAGTCCATACAAGTCGGGGTTCTGTCTAATAAAGTCCGATTCATTCACCGAGGGCGATTTTCGCTTCGTGCCTCGCGACGGTGGGGAGGATGAAGAATTTTCACCACTGGAGGGACTCGTGTGATTCACATCGTTCTCCATCACAGAATCATCGTCCTCGCCCTCCGCATCGGGAGAGCCAGCATCATATGATTCATCCGCGGCATCTGGCTCCGGAGAGGAATCGGAAGCGACGTGATTCTCGGGGGATACAGACTGAGGGCTCCCAGCGTCGCTAGCACCGGCTTCATCCTTAATGCTAGGGGCATGGGAGGCAGGAGACGCCGTATAGCCATTTGTCAAGGTCATTGTGGCCGAGGGTTCGGAGGTAGATGGGATCACCATGCTAGTAGCTGCGGAGAAAGAGGTGGCATCAGCATTGAAGCTTCATACGAGGCCGGGGCGGGATGGAAAGCACAGGAGAATGAAATGCACCAGTACGCGACTCGTTTGGCAGTAAATGGAAGCTCAGGAGCCGCGGCAATGAGGTAGGAGATGAGGTCTGATGCATGGGGGTGTTTTGATGATGGGTTTGATGAAACGCGACGGAGAGGATGGATGGCAGGACAGCAGTAACAGAAGTAGTTTCAGACCCAAAACCAGATCCAGAAGACGTGAAAGACTCCGGTAGAGGCTCCAACAAGTGATATAGCCTCGTCACGAAGTATGAGAAGGGTATCTTGGTATTCTTCGGTGGGTCGAGCCCGTGGAGCAGTACCCAGCGAACAGAGCGAGAACATGTCCTGGAAGAGCACACTAAAAGAAAAATTTACTCACCATTCATAGCTTGGTGACCCCGAAAGAGGGAAGAACGAGGAAATCAATGGTGGAAAAGAGGAAAGAAAAGGTGGGGGTGGAGGGGGGAAGATGAAGTGGTGGAGAGGAACAGCGAGGAGCGATGGGAGAATCGGTATGATGAGGGTGGTTTGGGAAGAGAGTTGGCCGGGAAGGTTGAGTCGCCGTGAAGGATTGGTTGGTCGGCCTGACCCTTCAGGCTGCCACCACGGGTCTTACCCAGTTAGGATTAGTGTTCAGTCAAGCGAGACCACAACAGGTTTAGTGTGGCTTGTGCATCACGTGCTATCGAGCAGTCCGGAGCTCCGGCGTTACTATTCCTCCGGCAGAGATTTCGGGAGTGACACTACCGGCCAATCAGCGGCGGGGGAAATAATGCTTGCTGCCTTGGTGCCTGAGGCTGTCCAGGCGGGCTGCCCACAATGGCGCCGGGCCATAATAGTTTTCGCTGGAGCCCCTCTTCCAACTCGACCGTCCTTCTTTCTACTCCCGTTTGGCGCAAGAGACATCTATCTGGCTTCACGTCTTCCTCCTAGCCAGTGCCACTGTCGCCGTGTCAATACTCCCGTCGGGTCCGTCATTTCTCGTCCCCCGCAGTCCGTCTTCCATTCATTCAAAGTCTGATCTAAACATCTAGACACCGATTTCCTCGTTGCGCGCGTGTTCGTACCCAACTGAACAGGCACCATGTCTGACAAGCTCACTCGGTATGAACGGCCTCTCTCACTCTTTGATTGACTTCTTTGACTGAGTATCCTTCTCTCTTCTCAGTGTCGCAATTGTCAACAGTGACAAGGTGAGTTCCATCAGCCCCGCATCAGGCCTCCTTGCCACGATATCCTCTCAGGCGCGTTAGCTGACATTCTATCCGTTATATTAGTGCAAACCGAAGGTGTGTGATACCTGCTACGCCACTCTACTCGTCCTCCCGCATACGCTCATACTCATATTTTGCAGAAATGTCGCCAGGAATGTAAGAAGTCTTGCCCCGTCGTCCGGACGGGTAAGCTCTGTATCGAAGTGACTCCCGAGTCCAAGATCGCCTTCATCTCCGAGCGTCTCTGTATCGGTTGCGGTATCTGTCCCAAGAAATGTCCATTCGGAGCCATCCATATCATCAACTTGCCTACCAACTTGGAAACCGAGGTCACGCATCGTTACTCCGCCAACAGCTTCAAGCTCCACCGTCTTCCTATGCCCCGTCCTGGTCAGGTGCTCGGTCTCGTCGGTACCAACGGTATTGGAAAGAGTACTGCATTGAAGATTCTGAGCGGCAAGCTGAAGCCCAACCTTGGACGTTATGATAACCCTCCGGACTGGGAAGAGATCCTACGGTACTTCCGTGGTTCCGAATTGCAGAGTATGTATAATCATAACTTGTGCCTGGTTGGTCCGGTGAATAGGATCGTTGTCTGACCGGTGTTCTAGACTACTTCACCAAAGTGCTCGAGGATAACTTGAAGGCTGTCGTGAAGCCTCAGTACGTCGACCAGATTCCCCGCGCTGTCAAGGGTCCCGTCAAGAATGTCGGAGATCTTATCAAGGCTCGTGCCCAGATGGACAACATGGAGCACATCCTGGACACTCTCGGTATGCAATTCGTCTCAAATGAAACCCAGCGTCCCCTAACCAAGGACAGAACTTCGCCAGGTCCAGAACCGTGATATTGACCACCTCTCTGGTGGTGAGCTCCAGCGTTTCGCTATTGGTCTTGTTTGCGTTCAGCAGGCCGATGTGTAAGCAACCCAACTATAATCACATCCAACGGCTTCTAATTCCCTACAGTTACATGTTTGACGAGCCGTCTTCTTATCTTGATGTCAAGCAGCGTCTGGCTGCTGCCCGTCAGATCCGAGAGCTTCTGCGCCCTGATGACTACGTTATCGTTGTTGAGCACGATCTGTCTGTTCTTGACTATCTGTCCGACTTCGTTTGCGTGCTTTACGGAAGACCTGCCCTCTATGGTGTGGTTACTATGCCTTCTTCCGTCCGTGAAGGTATCAACATTTTCTTGGATGGCCACATCCCCACGGAGAACCTTCGGTTCAGAGAGGAATCTCTTACCTTCCGTATTGCTGAGGCTGGTGACGACTTCATGGTCGACAAGGCCCGTGCTTTCAGCTACCCTAAGATGACCAAGACCCTAGGTGGCTTCCGCCTGAGCATCGAGCCTGGCCGCTTTACCGACTCCGAAATCATTGTCATGATGGGAGAGAACGGAACTGGAAAGACTACTTTCTGTAAGATGCTTGCTGGTGCTGAGAAGCCCGACGGCGAAGTCAACATGCCCCGCATGAACATCAGCATGAAGCCCCAGAAGATCACGCCCAAGTTCCAGGGTACCGTCCGTCAGCTGTTCTTCAAGCGTATCAAGGCTGCCTTTCTGTCTCCTCAGTTCCAGACCGACGTGTACAAGCCCCTCAAGATCGACGACTTCATCGACCAGGAGGTCCAGAACCTGTCTGGTGGTGAATTGCAGCGTGTTGCCATCGTTCTGGCCCTCGGTCTGCCTGCCGATATCTACCTCATTGACGAGCCTAGTGCCTACCTGGATTCCGAGCAGCGTATCGTGGCAGCCAGAGTCATCAAGCGTTTCATCATGCACACCAAGAAGACCGCCTTCATCGTCGAGCACGATTTCATCATGGCCACTTATCTGGCTGATCGGGTCATTGTTTTCGACGGTAAGCCGTCTGTTGATGCCCACGCCAACACTCCCGAGTCACTGGTCACTGGTTGCAACACTTTCTTGAGGAACCTGGACGTCACCTTCCGTCGTGACCCCAACAGTTACCGTCCTCGTATCAACAAGCACCAGTCCCAGATGGACCAGGAGCAGAAACTAAGCGGCAACTACGTAAGTCCCCTAATACCATAACCTTCCTTTAACATACCACTAACATGGGCACAGTACTTCCTGGAGGAAGAGAGTTGAAAAGGTTGTCCCCGGCAACCATGACCGCGATCGTCATCGACGTGATGGTCGCGACTCCGACCGGCGCCAACAAGGCCGACGTCGTGGTAAATGGAGAATCCTTCGGTTAGTGGCGTTCTTCGGCGTTACCAAGGCATCGACGCGTGTTCGGCGACCTCGTCGCCGTGGTGTGCGCCTTCTGGGTGATATGGAGTGTGCGTCGGATGAGGAGGAGGATGAGGATGAGGATGGCGGTGTTGACTAGCGGCAGTGGTTTCATCTGTCCCAGTCAAGCGCTTCACTGCGTTCCAAATACCGTCACCCATCTGTCCTCCGTTCCGAATCGCTCACACCCCCCGCACCATCTAGCTGCTTTGAAGTTGCGCTTTGCGTAATCTGAGATGGAAACATGGGACTCTGCTTCGTATGGGTCTTACTTGGGTTATGGGTTATTCTTTTTGGTTGGCGTGATCATGCCGGAGTTGAGCCTGTCAAAAGTTTCCAATGATTTTATGATATAGATGCTCCATCGACTAGCATGAGATGACGGTTTCAGTGAAGATAGCTGGGATTTGGTCAAGTTAGATGACCACTGTTTCATAGATATCGCTGTCTGTTGCTGCTGCTTAATTGAGATTCCGTTATTTTGAAGGTTTTCCTACGTATAGGCGATCTGGATGTCGATGACTGTAGTTGCCTCTTAAATATATATAGTGTACCAAGTGGTACCTTTGCGGTCAACACAATCTGCTTCATGAGACAATTCCGTTGGAGTACACCTCTTTCGCTTCCAGTGTTGATTTTGTTTATTTCTTTGAGCTGTGTGTAGAAGTAATTGATTCCAAGTCCTAAGAGTTCCAATGTGTATTAAGTCAGAACCACAGCCCAACACAGACCCAAGTTCACCAACGACAAAAGGAGTAAGAATAGACATAGCTCACTATTGATCACTAAGAAACTCAGAGCTCATGTTATCGCTATATAAAACATCCTTGCCAAATTGGATTGCGTATCGCGCTCGTGGACTACCTCCGCAAGCCAGCTTTACTCCTCTTCGATTTCGCCCTCCTCGCTGCCAGAATGCACGGCCTTTTCCTTCTTCGTTTCTTCAGCCGCAGGCGTCCGCTCCCGACGGTCTCGTTCTCTTCTGGCGCCTCGGCTGCGATCTCTCTCGCGACTGTCGCGTCGATACCGCTTGGCGGACCGGCTGGCAACACTCTCGGCATCACTGTCGCGCCGGCGGCGGCGGTCGTTGCTGACGGTGCTACGCGTGTCGGCGCCGTAGTCGAGTTCGTCCCGACTGCCACGAGGATCACCACGAGTGCGGTAGAGGCGCTCGCGCTCCTCCTCACGATCACGACGGTCGCGGTCATAGTGGCTGAGAGAACGAGAGCTGCGTTCGCGATCCCAATCCCGATCACGATCACGTTCGCGATAGCGCTCTCTGTCACGGTCGCGATCCTCCCGCCTTTCACGGACAGGCGATAGACCGCTAGTCTTTCGGTAAGACCGCTCCCGGTCAGCTTGAGCTTTGCGGCGATCGGCCTCGTAGGCATCGGGCTCAGGAGTGCGGCTCATGCGACTGGAAGCGCCCCTTCGCTCGCCTCTGTAGCTACGGTACTCTCGGTCACTGCGGTCGTAATGTTCTCGCCGGCTGCCACGGTCTCTGTCACGATCACGATCCGCGTCTTCTTCCTTTTCTTTCAACCGGCGGATCACCTTGTCGAAAGCGGCCTGCCGGAGCTCATCGCTCTCCAGGGCTTTATATTCCTCGAATTTCTCCACTCTGGAACGTACCTGATCCCAGCTGTCGGTGGGCCGAACAGGGGGTTCCAGACGCTTGATGCGAGATCGCAAAGCATCAATCGCACGGCGCTGGTGGCGATCAGCCGCATGCTTCTCCTCTTCGTTTCGTCGCACAGCCTTCTCCTGGATACGCTGGAACAGAAGCTGGAGAATTTCCGGGTCGAGATTGGCCGTGCGGCGGTCACCAAGCACGAGAGAGTGGAACTCTTCAAAAGTGGTCTTGGGAGTGACCTCGAATCGTTTGTCCTGTTATGAGATATCAGAAAAGAACCTTCACAAGAGAATGTTGGGAAGAGCCTTACATCAAGAACATCCAAGACATCATTGCGTGGGCCGCGTAAGGAGCGTTCCTCTTCTTCAACCACGTCCCAGAAGAGCTCCATAGGCGAAGATCCCGAGTTGCCCAAGATGCCAAGATACCGGGGATCTGTATTAATCATAGGGTAGATATTCATCCACTTACTACCAGCCTTGATCTTGCCCTGGGATCTGAGCTCTTTCAGTAGATCAATGAATTGTTCACGCGCATGGCGCTCTTTCCGTGCCTTCGCAGCCTTTTGTTGCTGGCGTGCGTCGTTGAAAGCGCGCTCCAGCGACTTGATATGATTCTCGAACGCGGTCAGAATATCAGACTTGCTTAAGGACTTGAACTTTTCGTCGTTCTGGACCTTGTCATTAGACTGGATGATGGCTTGGGCCTCAGACCAACGCGTGTAAGGTTCGAGATCCAAGGATTTGAGAATAGTGGCGAGCTCATCCATAGCAGCCTTGCGCTTGGCAGCCTCCTCTTCCATATGTTCTTTCTTGAGCTCGAGGATGTACTCCTCAAAAAGCTGACGCCTCTCATCCTCGTCATCTGTGGACCGGAAGATCGTTTCGCCCTCGATGATCGGTCGGATGGTCTTCCAGCGACTGTAATGTTTGATCTCAGGATGGCGTTTCAGCATGGTGTTGAAATCTGCTCTGAGCTTAGCGAATCTCTCTTTCGCCCGATCCTTTTCCTGCATGCGAACCTCGACCGCATATTTCTCAAAGGCTGCCTTGCGGTCTCTGGGGTCTTTCAAAGATCGATATTGAGGATCTTTGATGGTTGCGCGAATGGTCTGCTCCCAGGACCAGTCGGGCTGCACATTGTGGCGCTTGAGCATCTTCATAAATGCACCTTCGGCCTCCTCGAGCGAGTTATACTCGGGCTCCACTTGCTGCACCCCAGGAACTGCATTCAATGCAAGACCATTCGTATCCATCGAGCCATATCCACCGCGTCGATCACCATAGCCGCGATCGTAGTCATCGCGCTCACGCTGCTGCGGGTATGAGGAAAAGGAGCTGACTCCACCGGCGACGAAAGTCGGGGCCCTAAGAGAAACACGTTAACAAAATCGGAATGTGAACCCGGGCACAGGACTTACGCTACGGGCGGAGCTTGGGGAGCTGGAGCCTGCGCCAACGCATTCTTATAAACATCTGGCATCTCCCAAGTGCTTTGCTTGGTCTCAGTGTTGTACCAGTATTTGCGCCCTCCTTCCGCCGTATACTCCTTCCATGGCTGATTCGACAAAGCGCGCTGTTAAGAGAATGAATCATGTTAGCGCAGTCAAACGATTGGTTGCGATGGATTCGGACTTGCCTCGATGGGGGTCATTAATTCCTCGGGCTTCGCCCATTGCGTGGCTTTGGTTTGGACATTGTAGTAATAAACCCGCCCATCCGCATTGCGGGCCTCCTGCCAGAGAGAAGGGGCCGGATTCATTGGATTCATCTCGAGGCTGCACAGACTCGTGGAAGAGCGATGTCCGAAGGAGAGAAGCCGTTCGTTGATCGGGAAAAAGTAGCAGGCGGCGGCTGGTGAATGGCCAGGGATGTTTGCAGTGTTTGCAAGGGATCTTTCCCCACTGACAACATCGCGCGTGGGCATCCTCTCCTGGCTCACGGTTCACCATAATTGTCATTGTTTCTTTGCATTGAAGTGCGCAACTGCCCTACCTTTTACTGGTAGGTTGGCATGCGACTGCGACGATAATCATGCCCGGCCTCGAGGTTCCTGGGGAGTTCCTTCGGCATGCGGTGCTGGATACCGTGGTGCCGCATGCTTCAGATATAGACTTGGAGGCCGCCTTAACATCGGCCTTGGAAGGAGGGGCGGAGGATTTGACGTCCGTCCTCTCATATATCCCACAGCGGTCTCTACTGTTCTTTGGTAGGCGATACCTGGATTTCCTCTCCGCGACCTTATCTCTTACTTATCTATAGCTGTCTACAGATGAGTTCTGCACTGTTCGGGTCGTGTTGAGGCTTTCCAATTGCTCGCCAATAAGCCTAAAACAGCACCTCCAGAACCTCGAAGTCAGACTCGATGCATTTGCTATTGATCCAGCCGAGACGGTGGGAGAGAACCCCACACCCACTCGAGACCTGATCTTCTCCGGCGCTGTAAATGCCGAGGAAGAACCCCTGGTGGTGGTGAATGAATTCGAGGGAGATACGGGGAAAGGAAACCATGTGTATGTGATTTGGAGTGTTGAAACATTCATTAGTAAGACATTCACGGTTTGGATATGATTTCGATCCTTGGCTGACCCTTTCAGAACGTCCTCGGATTCGCATCCAGCATCCTTCCCTCCTTTTCATTGCCTCCGCTACCCTCAACCCATCTGAAAGCCGACAGCACGAGACCCGCGATGATGACTATCTTCCACCGTTAATCCCGGCATCTACAAACGTTCTACAACCTCTGTCGTCGGACAAGAACTTCCCCCAGAAGGACCCGTTTCTCCCAGCGTCCCGCCTTCTGCGAGTTGTGCCCGCGAAGTACAGTGAGGATCCCATTTATAGCGTTCAGCAGCCATCTGGACATCCGGTCCGTGTAGTTCCGGCGGCAAGTGCTAGGATACGCTACTCTCGCCTGAACTCTTACTCTGGACGACCAACGACTGTCGCAAGCCTTGATTTCGAAGTGACACCGTTTCTAAATTGCGATGTAGTATTCGACAAGGCTGAACTTGCTATGACAGATGGGACAATCGAACCATTGACAGATAACTCTGGGCTTGAGTTGCCCATCAGATGTCGCCCACGGGATGATGTTACATTAATCTACAAGTTGACACCGGAATATGGACCGGACCCTAATCCCTCGACGACCGTGATGGTGAGCACGTTGGACATTCTGCTGGAAGCTACGATTCAATTGTCGGATAACTGCCACCCGCGCGTTCGGATGCAATGGCGGACCAATGTGGATTTCTCCATGGCCCTCAACCCAACATTTGGTGGGCCGAGCCAGGCTCTGCAACGGAGCAATCGCCCCTCGAGCCTCCCTATGGCGGGGAATCAGACGAACAGCACAGCCGGAGGCCCTCCTCCTAGCAGAGGGTCCCTCCGTGAGAGGGCCTATTCGGTCACAGACATGGGGGTGACGATCTCCTTTTCAGGCCCGCCCAGTGTGGAGGTAGGCAAACCATTCTCCTGGGACGTCTTTATTGTCAATCGCTCCACAACTCCGCGCAAATTTGCCATGATTGGCATTCCACGCAGGAAGCGGCCCGATCCTCGGGGGCATATGGTACGGCCGTCTTCCTCATCAATGTCTGGCCGGAAAGTCAGAGTCGACCAGGTTGCCGAGGCTGTGACGGATGATAACATCGTCCATGCCATGCAGAAAAATGTCAGCGGACAAGAAGCTGAACTGGTGTGTTTGACACCGGATGTGCGCGTTGGGTAAGTATCTTCTCCCTGTACATCTTCTGAGAGTTGGTAGGGTCTAATTAGCCTCTGACAGCCCTCTCCTACCGGGGACGTGTTTTGCGACTGAGTTGAAGCTGCTGTCGCTGTCGGTGGGGTGTCTCCACCTGGAGGCAGTGCGTCTTGTCGATGTCAATACGAACGAGACTACGGATATCAGAGACCTTCCGGATATTCTTGTGTATGATCGGAACGGGATCCCGCCCGAGACGGCAGATTGAAGGTTAGGTGGAGGTGAAGTTGATACCTGATAACGAAACGATACATAATGGCTGTACAGGGATTCGGTAACATAAAACGAAAACAATAAAGTAAAATCAATCACATCACCTTCTGTAAAAAGAAAAGTAAGGTGGTACTCGGTCCTTTGATGACGCACTATCCAGCGTAGCGGCAGTACTCCGTAGTATGTAAAAGCGGCGGGGAAGGATGGCGGGTGGATCACGGGAACGTTAATCTGGACAGGTTGGTTGGAGCCTGCCGGACGAACTGCCTCATCATCATTTATTGCGGTGATCTCCTTTTCCCCCGCTACATCATCCTGATCGAACCTGGTTGATTATCCAAACAGGGCATCTCGACATTCCTCCAGTCGCTGGGGAATCGGTTTCACAGTCATTCTCCCATTCGGTGTGTGGGTGGACTCTTGCCAAGTCGCCTTCATTCCCTTCATTATCGTTCACTGCCTTGCTTTGCGTCATACTGTCGCTCCATACCGCCGAGCGGAATCTCAGTTCGCCTTCGATTTTCTTCCATCTTCTATAAGTACTCATTCCCACCGGGTCCGTCCTTCATGATGTTCTCCGCCGCGCGTCGACGAATTTTGGATGGACTCAACCGCCGATACATCTACGGTCGTTTCGTATGTCCTCCATCCCTTCTACACCTTGCTCTCGTCCCCCAGCAATCCTTTTTGGCTGTCCTGTAGGAGCCAGGGAATCCGAAGGGGCTATAGCTTTCTTCTGTTGCAAAAGACAAGTCACTGACGGATGCCTCTCGATTCGTTCGATACTCTAGCCCTTACTTCATAGCATCATCTTCCTCATAGAAATGGCAGCGGCCATGCGGCTGGCTGCCAAATTCAACTCCTACTATGCGGAAAAGCCGGGTAGGTCGAACTGTTGGCGTACATGGTGATAGCCCAGCTTGCTAACATAACACGCTTGGTCCAGTACTGACTACTATGGTCACCAACGCGGTACGCGCCTCCACTGGTTTCCACTCTTTTTCGACCGCAAATAACTGACGGGAATCGTGCTAGATCCTGGGTGGTATCGCAGACACGGTTGCGCAGCTTATCACAGCCTTCAAAGCTCGTCCTAGCCGCCACGGTACCGGTGGAGATGACTTCATTTCGATCGAGATTCACGATTTGGACAAGGAGAAACCACCGGCGCTTGGGGAATTGGGACACGCCAGGAACCTACCGCCCCCGTTTGATTTTGAGCGGTTGACCCGTTTCATGTCGTACGGTTTCTTCATGGCCCCGGTGCAGTTCCAGTGGTTCGGGTTCCTATCGAGGACCTTCCCTCTCACCAAGAAGAACCCGACCATCCCGGCTCTGAAGCGGGTGGCGGTTGATCAGCTTATGTTCGCTCCGTTCGGTATGGACCTGATGTTGTGCCACGAGAAAAAGGATATCCCGCTAATAGAAATGAATATAGGTCTGGTCTGTTTCTTCACCTTCATGACAATTGCTGAGGGTGGCGGACGGAGAGCCTTGACTCGCAAGTTCCAGGATGTGTACCTGCCGACACTCAAGGCGAACTTTGTGCTCTGGCCTGCGGTGCAAATCCTGAACTTCCGGGTGGTTCCCATCCAATTCCAGATTGTGAGTTTGCTCTTCTCCCGTGACCCGACGCGTTTTCATTAGTTATTGTATACTGATTGCTTTTTCTTTCACAGCCATTTGTGTCGTCGGTGGGTATCGCATGGACCGCATACCTGTCTCTGACCAACTCTTCCGAGGAGGAGTAAGGTAAGGTACGGGTTTTCTCGTTGCATTGGATGGTTATCACTTGATACCTATGTTTACCTGGTCGGCCCTTGGCTTTGGAAATCTTCTTTGTGGATTCTTTCTTCTTTCCTTGTGTTGCGTGGGGTATGTTTACGGCGTTTTCAATGCTGTTTTGGGGGGTTCTGTTTCTCATTGGTGGTGTCCGGTCTGTCACAGGGTACTCTCAAAGGTTTCTTCGTTAGGTATTCAAAAGGCGCACAAATGCTGGATTTAGATCATCAACCCAAGCGGAAGAGACTATTCAAAGGAGTCTCCATTCGCAGGGATATGGAACTGCCATTCTATGACGCTTTCGGGAGAAATTTCCAGGATTTTCGTAGGTCGAGACACCCACAGAGGCACATGTAGGGACCGCGGGGGACGATGATCCTATGAATGCCCGTACGACGAGAATTCCGAAGCGGCTGTTTCCAATTCCCGCGAGAGATCCGAGGCTATCGAGAACGCATAGGGACAATGTTCACCCCTGAGAGCCCGGACCCTTCCGTCATCGATCGCGGTGGACTGACATCAGTCCCGCATCAGCCCGATGCGTCAGCGAATCTCTCACCGGACGCCCCACCAAACACTGCTGCTACCCCGCCGCTGGGCCGAAGTTATCATATGGGCTCACCGTGAACGGATTGAGCATTTTTCCCTCCTTCTTCCAATTCACCTCACCATCTCTCCTGCGAGGTACTGCTCCCTATTTCTATCCCTCTAGACCCCTGTGGTATCGCTGACCCGACGCCAGCTCCTCCCTCTCCAACTTCTTCACCATGTCTCTTAGCAACAAGCTTGCCATCACTGACGTCGACCTCAAGGACAAGCGTGTCTTGATCCGGGTATGTCACCTCCAATGGCTGTGGTATGATCGGTCAATGCTAACCACGCTCACCTCCCAGGTCGACTTCAACGTCCCTCTCGATGACAACAAGAACGTCACCAACCCCCAGCGTATCGTTGGTGCTCTCCCCACCATCAAGTACGCTGTCGAGAATGGCGCCAAGGCCGTTGTCCTCATGTCCCACCTCGGTCGTCCTGACGGCAAGAAGAACCCCAAGTACAGCCTGAAGCCCGTCGTGCCCGTCCTGGAGAAGCTCATCGGCAAGAGCGTCATCTTCACTGAGGACTGCGTCGGCAAGGAAGTTGAGGAGACCGTCAACAAGGCCTCCGGTGGCCAGATCATCCTCCTGGAGAACCTGCGTTTCCACGCCGAGGAGGAGGGCAGCTCCAAGGACGCCGAGGGCAAGAAGGTCAAGGCCGACAAGGCCGCCGTCGAGGAGTTCCGCAAGGGACTGACCGCTCTTGGTGACATCTACATCAGTAAGTCTATTTCCCCTTTGGCCCATGGACCGTAATTGGGTTTGTCCATACTAACGATACCATCCAGACGATGCCTTTGGAACCGCCCACCGTGCCCACAGCTCCATGGTCGGCGTCGACCTCCCTCAGAAGGCTTCCGGCTTCCTGGTGAAGAAGGAGCTTGACTACTTCGCCAAGGCCCTCGAGAACCCCTCTCGTCCCTTCCTGGCCATCCTCGGTGGCGCTAAGGTCTCCGACAAGATCCAGCTGATTGATAACCTCCTCCCCAAGGTCAACAGTCTGATCATCACCGGAGCCATGGCCTTTACCTTCAAGAAGACCCTGGAGAACGTCAAGATCGGCAAGAGTCTTTTCGACGAGGCCGGCAGCAAGATCGTCCCCGAGATCGTCGAGAAGGCTAAGAAGAACAACGTGAAGATCGTCCTTCCTGTCGACTACGTCACTGCCGACAATTTCGCTGCCGACGCCAAGACCGGCTACGCTACCGATGCCGACGGCATCCCTGACGGCTTCATGGGTCTGGATGTCGGCGAGAAGAGTGTCGAGCTGTACAAGCAGACTATCGCCGAGGCCAAGACGATCCTCTGGAACGGCCCCTGCGGTGTCTTCGAGATGGAGCCCTTCGCCAACGGCACCAAGAAGACCCTCGACAACGTCGTTGCCGCCGCTCAGTCCGGCTCCATTGTCATCATCGGTGGTGGTGACACTGCTACCGTGGCCGCCAAGTACAACGCCGAGGACAAGCTCAGCCACGTCTCCACTGGCGGTGGTGCCTCTCTGGAGCTTCTGGAGGGCAAGGAGCTGCCTGGTGTCACTGCTCTGTCAAGTAAGTAAACTTTTACGACCATGTAATGTGTTGGAGGGACGAGTTGCAGAATGAGATCGTGCTTGTCCATGTGTATTGGGCGAGCCATGGCTGCATCAGGCCGTGTTTTTTTAGCGTCCCTCTCCATCCCGTCGAGGGATGGCCTTTTCTATGATGTAATGTACAGGCATTAAAATTAATCAAAATAAGCGAAATGATTTTGTTTCTCGATTCAAGAAGGGTTCTGATGAAGTAATGGCTACTAGTGACGGGATCTAAACTGTGAGATCAGACGCTTGTCGTTCCCATTGAAATGGATATTCTTATTGCGTAGAGCTTCTCTTATCTTTTCTATCAAACAATTGTTTTCATAGGATGTCCGGGAGCCATACACCGCCAGCGTCCGTCACGATCATATATGCCTGGTAGATCTGGGCCAAGGACCCCGGTCGCTTCTCCAGTGGGCTGGGCGCCGTTCCCCTTGACGAACGAACGGCCATGACGATCCCAGGTGAACGCAAGGCCGGGCGAACTACCACCATAGAACGGACATGATGTCCTAATAAAGAAGAATGTAGCATCTTGATGATATAGCTTGTGTTCCATCATGGAAAAAGAGGGCAAAAATAGATAATTCTTATCGTTCGTTCATTCGCGTTCGGGATATTCAGAGTACCACATGTCCATCCGTCCATTAGTGAGATGCCTCGACCTTTTCCAGTTCCTCTCTGTAGCACGAAGAGAAATACGTTAGTGTTGCGTAGGCGTCAGAGGAAGAAGGGGAGCAACCGCACTTTAGCTGTTTCGAAAAGTCCTCCGCCGCATCGTCGTCGTCCCAGCTCTCCTCCCACAGGTGAACATTCGTGCCGTTCGCGGCTTGCTCGGTTTCTTCTTGGGGCCAGTCTGGTACCGGGAGTCGTTAGTACCGTGGTTGGTTGTCTGGTCGTGGTGACGGTGGTGATGGCCCCTTCGCTGGGGTCTTCATCGGGGGGGGGGGGGGGGGGGAAACGTAGAGAAAGACGATGGCTCAATCACGAACCTTCAACAGGGAAGTCCTCAAATTCGTCGTCTTCCTCCAATACGGGGGGCTTTTGTTGTTGTGGCTGTTGGGTGGGCTCGGCCTTGTCCTGAGCTTGTGTCGACATGATGGGGGGATGGAGAGGCGGGAGGATTGTCGGTGACAGGCGACTAAATGGAGAGAACCGGGGAGAATGGGGAGGAGCGGATGGAGCGATCAGAATGGGTGGTGGGTTGGGGGTGAATGATGTTGGTGCGGAGAAGGAGATGAAGGCCGTGATGAGAACAGAGAGTGAGAGCGCTTCTTGGCGTAGGCGGAGAGAGAAAGTGACGCAGACCAACCCAAACGGGTAACTGGAGAGCCGCTCGGGTAGGCCGGAGCAGTCATTTTACATTCCATGCATGGTATATCGACATGTTTGTTCTTCTCTAGCTGAGGAACAATATATAGAAGTTTCTCCGAGTGGAGGACAGCTGTAGAGGGTCGTTGAGTAGGGATTTCTCCTAGTACAAGAGGAACCCTGCGCATTCGTGTGTCGCAAGATGATTCCTCTGGTGCTCCGCCTCCGACGCCTGCGCCGCCGCGGAGTGGACCATGGTCCATCCTGGTTCCCTTTTATTTATGCTCCCTCATCATTCACTTGTGAGAGTCGCTCGTTTATATCTCGCCCTTCCTCCCCGCTCGTCGCTTTCCTTTCCTTTCCTTTTCTTTCCTTCCTTGCCTCTCCGCCCCCCTATGGTTATGTTTCCGGAAGCCGCCCACGTTCTCACTCCAGATCTCATGGGAACGTCCACATTCTTCCTGATCCGTCCGTTGCTTGATTCGGGGTTCGGACCCCTCCGTCTTATCGTCTGACGTAGGCCACAATTACTTTCTTACGCTCCTTCGGACTCGTCTGCGCCGATTGTCACATCTTTTTCTTTTCTTTTTCTTCCTTTTCTTCCTTCTACCTCGTGTAAGCCGTGAGCAAACAACACCATGTTCAAGGTGGGTTCGTGGCTCTATGGCAAAAAGCCGGGGACGGCTTCGACTCAGTCGTTGGACTCCTTGACGGAATTGCGGGACTGTGAGTATCCTGAGAGCGGTACGCTGTGGTGGTTAGCTGGAGACTCTGCTAATTGTCTGCTCTCTTGCGTTCAATAGTGGAGGATGCGTTGAGGGGTACGTTCCCAATCACACTCCTCGCATTACTTATTAATAATAGAAGAACTGACTCGTGTTGAATAACACAGCTGCAACCCTTATCCTCAACGACGACGTCGATGGTGCCGAAGATGGACTCTCAGAGGGAATCTCGTCCTTCCATAATGTGTGTACCACCCGCGATAAGCTCGCCCATCGCCACTCGTTGGACCGACACTAACGACGACTCGGTGATATATAGTTGGGAAGAGGTGTCGTGGCGTTCATCCGTGCAACGCTCGGCTTTGAACAGGAGATCATGCGCCAGGGTTCGTCTGCCATCACGAAGGATCCATCCTTCGTCACTGACCATCGGTAGCATCGGAACGGTTAAACATTGCGGAGACCAGCGCTGCCAGTGATCAACATAAAGCACAACATAACTCGCACGCGCCCAATACCTACCATTCGCAGATCTATGTCCCCGGCACCGAGTTCGCCCTTTGTCAAGCAATGGCACAGCTGATGAGCGCTGTCGTCGGGGTGCTCAACGAAAGTCTCACGGAGAGCATCAAGGGGTTCTATAAGATGAGAAAAGCGTATATCACACTGGATGGTATCTTGAAGATGGAGCAGAAGTTCATGCAGATGAAGAGATCTGGGGAGCTGTCTCCTCCAGAACTCGCCCAGTCATCCAGCCGAAGCTCCGGACAGGGCGCAGATGCGAAATCCAACCCAACCACTCCTGTAGAGGCAGGAGGTTTGTCTCAGAAGCTTTCTGAGCTCAACGTCTCCCGCGAGCCTACGGATTCCGACATGTCTGTGGAGACCTCTAGCGAAATGCTCAGCCATGACCCTGATTCGGACATCTTCAGAAACCAGATCGATGTGTTCGTGCATTCGGGAGCCAACTTCTGCTTCGGCATTCTTCTTCTCCTCATCTCGATGGTGCCCCCGGCGTTCAGCAAACTGCTGGGTATTATCGGCTTCCATGGCGACAAGGAACGCGGACTGAAGATGCTGTGGCAAGCTAGTAAATTCCACAATTTGATCGGCGCTATTGCTGCATTCGCGATGTTAGGTTATTACAACGGGTTCGTCCGTTACTGCGACATCATGCCAGATCCGGTTTCCAGAGAAGAAGGGGATGTGCAGGCCTACCCTCAGGAGAGGCTCGAAGCTCTCTTGGCGAAGATGAGAAAACAGTTCCCCAAGAGTCAGCTGTGGCTGCTCGAGGAATCTCGCATGGAGGGTGCCAACAAAAATCTCGAACGGGCGTTGGAGCTTCTGTGTGGAGAAGAGCGCAGCCCGCTTAAGCAGGTCGAAGCTCTGAGGGTGTTTGAGCGGAGTCTAAACGCAATGTACCTGCATCGATACCAACTGTGCTCGGAATCGTTCATCGAGTGCGTCGACTTGAATTCCTGGTCTCGGTCGCTATACTACTACATTGCGGGAGCGGCCCACGTCTCCTTATATCGGTCCGCTCTTGGCAAGGATGCTAGTGAAGCGACCAAGCATGCGGAACAGGCAACCGAGTATTTCCGGACAGCTCCTCCATTGGCTGGAAAGAAACGCTTTATGGCCCGACAGCTCCCATTTGATGTTTTTGTTGCCCGAAAGATCGCCAAGTGGGAGGCACGGGCCAAGGAGTGGAAAGTGCCGCTCGTCGACGCCGTTGGAGTGGACCCGATTGAGGAAATGATTTTCTTCTGGAACGGCCATAGTCGCATGACGCAGGCGCATCTGGAGGAGTCGTTGCAGCACCTCGCCTGGTCAGAAAGCGACGCCAACAAGCACTGGTCTCGCGAAGGGCCCGAGGAGAAGGCCATTCTCCAGCTCGTTCGTGCGGCGGTGCTGCGCTCCATGCGCAAGCATAGCGAGGCCAAAGATCTCCTTCAACGGGGTATTTTAGACCATGACAAGAGCCTGTTCGTCGGCCACCTCAAGGATAACTGGATTGGACCGGCGGCTCATTTCGAAATGGCCGCTAACCTTTGGATGGAGCGTCCGACCTACATTGAGATCCACGGTGGCCCAGATGAAGAGAATCCCGGGGAGGATGCACATCAGCTGGAGAGGAATAAGGTCCGCCAATGCAAGGAGTATCTCGAAAAGGCGGCTCGGTGGGAGAGCTATGAGCTCGATGCTCGAATTGGCCTGAAGGTGACGGCTGCGTTGGAGGCAGTCCATAAGTGGGAGACCGCACATTCTGCTACTAGTTGATGATTTGATGTATTATGATTGACTTTTGTAAAATTGTTCCTGTGGTTTGTTTAGACGCATTGCTGTTCTACGGGCATATAGAGGTTATTACGATGTATATATCAGAGGGCAGCAATTAGGGCTAGACAGGCATGTGACCACCACTTCCTTTCTTCTCATTTCTCCCTCACGTATCCTCCATTCTTTACATCCACCACGCGTTCACAGGGCCCTCGGATCGACGAAAAAGCTTACCTGCGAGCCATCGGAGAATTATGGGTACCTTGCACCACCTCGACAGTGGCGATCGCCACCCAACGTGGTTCGGATAAAATTCCGGCTGACGTTTGGCATGTCGAGGTACGGTCGGAGGGATCACAGCAGGTTCATTGCCTTCTGCTGTGAGTATCGAGTCACGATTGCTATGCGACATCTATGGACATCTCGGAGGTCCGTCACAATTGTCTGTACAAGAAAAACACCTTTCCAAGGTTGTGTCGGCAATCACAAACCTCGGATGCAACCGACCATCCATATATTTGACAACCCCCACACCCCGACGGCAAGCCAATGGAGCTCTCCACCAGCCTGGCTTATCGGACGTCCGATTCTGGCTGGGCCCGGTTAAGACGGCTTCCCTTCGGTCGGTTGCCGACGCGCAGAACCTGAAGACTCGAGCCTTTATAAGCCATGGTTCCTGGTCCTGATCGGTGGGAGGGGAGAAAAAAAAAGGGTTTGGAGATGCCCAGACTTCTATTCGAAATCAGTGACGTCTTTGCTTCCGACAGTTAAAGTCAGTTCCGCTTATCGCCTCTGCTCGGCCGACTGCCCCTCGGCCTTTCTTGTACTATACATAACAAAAAATTTATTCTTGCACGTCTTGTTCAACTTGAATTCCCTGGTTGTCCCCGGAGACAGCCTATCGCGATCATCCTGACGCCTTTTGTGTGTCATGACGAGAGACGAGCACGATGCTACTTCCTCGCGGACCCTCCAGCGACGAAGATGTGATCTCCTTGGGAGGAGCAGCCAACGCGCGACGACCATGGCCAATGGAGCGCTGGAAAAGCAGAGCACGGTCGCCTCCGGGCTGTCGAGGTTGGAGAGTCGCGCGCAGTCTGTAATTTCGCGCATCCGCAGCCGCGAGCCTGGTCAAACGGCCCGCTTTACGCATCCGCTTTCGCATACCAAAACGTCTCCCGACGTGATTGTGGATTTTGACGGGCCGGACGATCCGTATCGGCCTATGAAACTGGACTTTCAGGAAAAAGGCCGTGACAACTGTGTTGTATGGCTTGACGACAATGGGCGCCACTTGGGCAAGTTCCATGTATGTCTAGTCCCCTCTCTCCCCCACCATTCGCGAATTGCGACTCGAGTATACTCCGTACTAACGATGCGCAGTTTCTCTACAGGCACGCAGCAAGTGAGTAAACAGTACCATGTCGGCGAGGAGGTTGGCACTCTCGGCACCACTCTACTTCTACTCGGCTTCGGTAAGTCATCCCATGTCTTCGGCGCATATGCGGACCTATCACTCACCTCTCGTCTTCCGATACAGGTCTGGGTCCGCTGGTCTGGGCCCCATTGTCCGAGGTCTACGGCCGCAAACCGGCCGTCTTAGCGCCCTACTTTATCGCCGCGATATTCTCGTTCGGAACCGCAACCGCTAAAGATATCCAAACTATTATGATCACTCGTTTCTTCACCGGATTCTTCGGCTCAGCCCCCGTCACCAACACCGGTGGTGTGCTGGGCGATATCTGGTCCGCCGAGGAACGGGGCGCCGCCATTGTTGGATACGCCATGGCTGTCGTGGGCGGGCCAGTCCTGGGGCCCATTGTTGGTGGCGCCATTGTACAAAGCTACCTGCGATGGCGATGGACAGAATACGTGCGTACTTCGAATTCCCCCGCGAACACACGCCACCCTGGTCATCAGATACTAACTTCGCCCCCCGTACACAGATCACCGGCATCATGATGTTCTTCTTCCTGCTCATGGACGTCGTGTTCCTCGACGAAAGCTACCCGCCCGTCCTCCTCGTGTACAAAGCGCGGCGCCTGCGGTATGACACAGGCAACTGGGCCCTGCACGCGAAGCACGAAGAATGGGACGTCACCTTCAAGGAGCTCGGCAACAAGTACCTCATCCGCCCCTTCGCCCTCCTCGCCACGCCCATCTGCTTCCTCGTCGCCCTGTACGCCTCCTTCGTCTACGGCATCCTCTACCTCAGTCTGGCCTCCTTCCCCGTCGAGTTCCAGGAAGTCCGCGGCTGGAACCCGGTCGTCGGCGCCCTCCCCTTCCTCGCCTACCTCGTCGGCATCCTCTTCGGCGCCTGCGTCAATCTCTTCAACCAGAAGTTCTACATCAAGCGCTTCAAGGCGAACAACAACTTCCCCGTTCCCGAGGCCCGCCTGCCCCCCATGATGCTCGGCTCTGTCCTCTTCGCCGCGGGTCTCTTCGTCTTCGGCTGGACCGGCCGCCCGGATATTCACTGGATCGGCCCCATCATCGGCGCCGTCTCCATGGGCTTCGGCTTCTTCACAATTTTTCAGGCCGCCCTGAACTATCTCATCGATACCTTCCAGAAGGTCGCGGCCAGCGCTGTGGCCGCCAACACTTTCCTCCGCAGCGTTTTCGCCGGGTGCTTCCCGCTGTTCGCGACGATCATGTTCCGCAGACTCGGTGTCGACTGGGCCTCGAGTGTGTTGGGGTTCAGTCGCCGTCGCGTTGATCCCGATCCCGTACCTGTTCTATATCTTCGGGAAGCGGATCAGAGCGAGAGGGAAGTGGTCGCGCGCTTCTGTTTACGGCTACTGATTGGGATTTGCAGAGAGCATGCTGAATGTTGCCTGCCTGGAATGCCCACGAAAAGTTGTCTTTATCTTTTGGTTTTATTATACCCTTTAGCATATGCTGGCCAAATGATTTGGTTTTATGATACCACATAATGATTGCATGTGCATAGAGTCTCTTTGATATGGCTTCACGTTTTTCTTCTAAGTAGCATAATTAATCAAGATTCTATATTAAACACTAAGAAAAACGTATCGATATGTGCGTGGACAGAATATACAACAATAGATACAATAATACACAAAATCATACAACAATTATAACACATACAACAAAAGGAAATCAATAAAGACAGTGCTACTGCCCCAATGACTGTTGCCCCAATGACTGCAAGCTCTGTCGGCTCTTCGAGGCCAGATTCCATTTACTGAGCTTCCGCGCAAGCGTGACAGCTTTGCCCAGGGGGTTCCATGTTCCGCCTTTGGTTTCGGGACCAGAAGGCATCGAAGGGAGCGATGAGGAGGGAGTTTCTGAAGAGCGAGTCTCAGCCCGCTGTTGTTGCTTTCCATCATGCAACGCCAACACGGCCATGTGGCCCAGGAAGGTGGGATGCTCGAGTAGATCTTCGAGATGAACCCGGAGGCCTTCTTGTTCCAACAGCCACACCACCTGGGCCATGTTGAGGATGTCGCCGCCCAGTTCGAAAAAGGACGAGGTCAGCTGGAACGGAGGACGGGGGAGTTCCGGATTCTTGTTGGGGAGGACTTGTTGCCAGATGCGGTTGACCATGTCCGAATGGACCAAGATCTCCGAGATACTGCGTGTGTTGAGATTTGAGGAAAGGAACTGCTCGTCGGACTGTCGGGGCACGTCGTTGATGACCTGGCTGGGGAGGGAGCGGAGGGTTGTCGGGGATGGGAGGGTGATGCTGGGATTGGCGAGCAGCGTTTGGGCAGTCTCGCAGACCATGTCGAGGACTTTGGCGGCATACACCGGCTGAACGGGGCCTTTGAGCGAGTAGCCGAGGGAGACGAGGAGGTGCTGTGTACTGGTTTGCTTGGAGAACACCGTGAGGTCCACGAAGTTGTCGACGATGCCCACGCCGCCCATTCTGTATGTATGGTCATCCAGTTTCATTTCGCCCTCGTACTCCAAGCTCTGGTGGAAGAGCGTGGTGGTGAAGTACGTGGACTCAGGCCAGCTGGTGCATTGACGGATGATCTCGCGGAATCCCAGGATTTCATAGGCCATGTTGGCCACCTGCTGGTCCTGGAGGTAGCGGATGAGATCGAGTCCCGTCCAGTGTTCTCCAAACTTGACGCGGACGGGGGTGATGTTGAGACACGGGCCCACCGTGCTTTCGATGCCGGGGAGCGGGGCATTTCGTCCGCTGTTTGTGAGCCCGAATACGACATCTGACTGCGAGGACAGCTTCGCCAGCGTCAGAGCCCATGCGGATTGCATGACTGTCGCGATGGTGACATTGTCGAGGGCTGTCGCTGGGATATCGATAGTTCTCTTCTGCTCGGCATACGCACCGATGTGCTGGAATGAATTCGGGCTGTGGCGTCTGATAACGTCGGTCATCTTGCTGCCATGGAGGACTTTCCTCCAATGTTGGTAATGCTCTGGAGTGATTACCCCAGGGAGCATGCGAATGTAGTTCGAGAAAGACGGCGCGGGCGGGATGGTGCAGCCCTCATATCCCATCTTGATGGCGGACATGATGCGCGGTAGGCAAACCCCGTCATACTGGGCATGCGACATTCGAATCAATATGCGATGATGCGCCGTCCCTTTCTGCTTCACGATGTAGAACTGGACATATTGCTCTCCCTGAGAGGGCACTTGCTCCCGGTCTCGCTGCTGCAGAGATGCAGTGTACTCCTCCAGGCTCCTCTCTGTTTCATGGATGAAGATGTCGGGTTGCAGCTTTCTTAAGATCACCTGGAAGCATTGGCCATGGAAGCAAACGAACACTGTGCGAAGGATATCGAACGCATCAACCACCCGCTCAAAGCTTTCCGTCATCCTCCGAATATCCAGCGGCCCGTTACCCTCAAGGAAAAAGTAATTCAGCATCCATCTCGATTTGAAAAGAGAAGCCGTGAGAGATAACGCCTGGAAATCGGTCACCGGGAGGACATCTGAAATTCCGCCCTTGAACAAGCCAATCCTAGGGCAGATTCCAGCCTGTAACGAAGCCTCGTCGAGCTCAACTGGCCTCACGATAGTCACCTCTTGGGGAGAAACGGTCCGCGATAACATCTGGAAAGAATCTTGCGAGTCCTCTGGAGTGGACGCATTCGAGCTGGCTGTGGTGGAAGATGGGTTGCTTGATCTGGAACAGATCGTAGCGAGCATATCTTCAAAGACTGGGTTGCCAAAAACATCGGCCACAGACAACATCAATCCCTCCTGGCGTGCTGCACCGACCATCTTCATTGCCGATATACTGTCGCCCCCGAGCTTGAAGAAGCTCGCGTGGCGTATGACAGTGTCGGCCGGAAGACTCAACGCCTCGCTCCAAAGTCTCCAAAGACGCTTCTCCAGGTCGCCTGGTTCTTTGATATCTTCAGTGAGAGTTGGTACGGAATCGGATGATACAATGCCTTTTGGTATCACTGTTTCCCGGAAAGGACGGTCATGCATCTTGAGAGCTGGCTTGTCCTCGCAGACACTCTTCCCCTGGAAGGGAGGAATGGCCAACACCCCATCCTCGAGCATCTGATAAATGACTTCTTTCACACGGGCGTCGACCAGGGACCGTATGTAGTCCTCATCAACCTCCGAGATCCGTCGGCTGGGAAGATCTGAACCGACCCTATCTGGGCCCTGGTTGCGGATGGTCGTCTCCGTCACTGATGTATGAGGGTTTTCAACAAAGAGGGTGAATATATGGGCAATCGCATCGGTCAAGCCCTTCGCTTGGCTGTCAGACACAGCATCAGACCAGTATCTAATCAGCACTCCCTCTCTACCCCTGCCGGTTTCAACGTTGACAGTCACCGGGTACTGTGGATAACATTAGCGCATACCCCCTTCCAAGACGCATATTAGCATGACTTACCTCTGTTGGATCATGGACTCGTTGTATTTCAAGTGAGATGGTGCTGTCTGTCGTTGGCTTTGAGATGGAGTGATTCTGTATAGAAAGGGCCGTGTTGAAAAGCATCTGTCCGTCACGGCCAAGCTCATGTTGGATCTGAGCAAGAGAGCAATTCTGATAGGGGAGATTTCCCAAGAAGTCTTCCTGCACTGTCTTGGATATATCGAGAAGGCTATGTCTCTGTCCAAACTTGACTCTGCAGCACAGCATGTTGATGAAAATCCCAACAGCATTTTGGATGTCTGGAACAGGGGAGTCACGTCCAGCCGTCAGGTATCCGAAGCACACATCGTCTGACCCAGTGAAACTCCTGAGGACCATTGCCCAAGCAGTAAGAGTAAGGTTCGCAAGAGTAACCGAATTCTCCTCGCAGAATCTTTGCAGCTCAGGGAATCTGTCGAACTGCATCAGGACAGAACCCAGTCGCTTCTCACCACCAGTTGTAGGAGACACTCTTAAGTGGCAGGGATGGGCTCCAGATAGATACCTCACCCAATGATCCAACGCTTGGTGGTGATCCTTGGCTTTGATGAACTTGATGTATTCGGCAAAGAGGGGTCCAGGTGCAGAAGGAAGTCTGTTATCATATGCCAATTGCAGATCCCTTATGAGAAGGTCAATCGATCCTCCGTCGATAATGACATGGTTGAGCTCGATTTTCAGGAGGACTCGCCCACCCGTTGTGGTACATATGGTAAGCTGATGTGGAAGCTTCTTGAGCCGCTTAGCGTTGATGTTTGCAAGCTTGATGTTGTCGAGCGTCTGGAAGGCGATATTCTCGTCACACTCAAACTCAAGGATCTCGTCTTCCAGTTCTTTCACCACGAGCTGATCAAAGGCGCCGCCTTTGCTGTAACTGTCAACGAACAAAGTCCTCAGAATTTGGTGTCGCGCCACGACCATTGACCAAGCTTTCTTCAACCTGCTTGCTTCGGCCTTGAGGGCTTTGTCGGAACAGCGGACCTCGAAAATAGCGTGAAACATGTACCCATAAGGATCCCGAAGTTGGCTGAGCAAGATACCTTCCTGCACTGGCGAGCAGGGGTAGATGTCCTCAACGCATTCCCAGCTATCTATTTCCGCCTTCGGTAAGGTGTATCTCATGAAGTTCTCCAGTCCCTCGTAAGTGATAGGCAGCAATGGATAGTCACTGAGAGTAGGCTGGGGCGCCCGGTCTTTAAGAAGAGGGATATCTTCTTCAAGGATGCGTCTGCATTCCGATGCCCATCTTTGGATGTCTTTCATGTGTTTCATATGACGGTTGTATGTAAAGCCCATGTGAAGCTGTTCCTTGATGATTATGGCGGAAACCTCGAAGAGAGCAAATCGAGGCGTCTCAGGGCCCATGTCCGATGTGGACCCAAAGGCATTGGCACCATCAACTTCAAAATGTTGGAACAGGGAGCCGTCACGCTCTAGCTGCTGGAGCTGTCCGAGATAGTTGAAAATCACTTCAAGAGGAATGGGGAAATGAGTTGAGCCACACATTCCTCCAGAAAGGAGGTCTTGTGCGAAGAAAGTTCTGGCGTTGTATGAGGTCGATCGTCTCAAGTCCTTCACACGTTTCAAGGTGTCCACGAGATCTGCTGTTGCTTGTCAGTTTTAGTAAATTTTCATCGTAGCTGTGAAGTTGGCGTACCTCTTTCTCCACTAACATCCATCGGCGCGAGAGTCGTAAACCATCCCACTGTTCTGGATAGATCCATGCTCGAATCCCATGCCTCACGTCCGTGACCTTCATTGTATATTGTCGGAACCTCTCGATCAGCGAAAACTCGCCTGAATGAGCTAATCACGGCTGCAAGCAGCACCTCAACTGTCTCAGTCCGGAAAACATGATGGCAGTCGCGGAGAACAAAGGACGTGGCTTCCTGATTGACAGTGAAAACCTCTATCTTGGCATCGCCATAGCGATTTCGCACATTCTCCATTCCCCAGTACCCTAAGTCTGGTTGTTGAACATTGAACGGAAGCCGAACGGGGTCACTTTCTTTGGCGTGGGTAGTCTGCAACTCGCACCAGTTCTGGAATGACAACGTCTTGTCGAGGGACAGAGATCCGGATTCAATGAACTCCTGAAGATCTTGCAAGACTATACGCCATGACACCATGTCAACACAAAGGTGATGAGCGACTAGCGCAAGGATCTGTCTATGACTCGGGAGTTCGAATACGTCGGCAGCAAACACTGGCCCGTGGTGGATGTCGAGGGACCGTTGGCTCTCAGACGTTCGAGAACTTATCTCATGCTCATTCGTTATGTAGTGGGTCTGCAGCCGATATGAGGAAGCAGACTCCTGTTAGAAAATAAAGGTCAGTAGATTGGACTCCAGCGGGTTTGAGAAACCTACATCAAGAATTCGCTGCTGCCATTCGCCATCTTGAGATTGGACAAAGCGTGCTCTGAACATGGAATGCCGGTCTACAAGCGCTTCAACTGCACGCTTGATAGTATCCACCGGTATGTACCTGGTGGTCCGAACAGTGACGCCTTGGTTGAAGTGAGACGATTGTCCAAACTCAGTAGCCGTCTTGAAGTATAGACTCTGAATTGGAGAGAGGCCGAATGGCTCATCAAGTCTTTCCTTGACCTGGACTGTTTGCACCTTTTTCTCGGATTTCAAGGCAAGTTCCACTACCGATTTGCTTTGAAGGATACTGTGGAGCGTCAGGCTAAGACCGTGCTTGCGAGCTTTCGATATAACGGCCATTCCAGTAATGCTGTCACCTCCTGCGGGAAGCACGTTAGATTTCTCCTTTCACGAGTTCGTTGCGCTTCTTACCTAGGCTAACAAAGGACCGATTACTATCGACCTTGTGGGATGGGATGTTGAGAACTTCAACAAAGATTGCCCGCAGAGTATCCACGACTGAACCTTCATCATTGTCCTTCTTATCTACAAGGCCTGCTCGTTTGATGTTGTCATAATCTTGCATGATGCGATCGTACGTCGCCTCGTCGGTATTTTCGATCCAGCTCGTAATTCGCTTCCGGTCCATCTTTCCAGAAACAAGCATTGGAAGAGCCTTGACAACAGCCCATGTCTGAGGAACCATGTAAACGGGCAATTGGTCCTCCAAAGCTTTTTGAATCTGGGTAAGCTCACGGTATGCGAGTTTCATCGTGTCATGCTCCACAAGCTCGCATGCGCCATTCGAAATGACACTCTTGTCCATGGTCAAAGACTCTAAGGACAAAACCGTCACCAAGCGTTGCTGGAGGCGCCCAGTTTTAGGCATTATCACGACAGCATGGCGCACACGAGGATCCTCGTGCAGTCGATGCTCAATTTCCCCAAGCTCCATGCGCTGTCCATGAAGCTTCACCTGGTGGTCCTTTCGCCCTATACAGTTTATCGAGCCGTCAGGGTTGTACTTCACAAGGTCTCCTGTTTTGTATATTCTTCGTAGAGACTGCTGAGAGTTCTGGAAGTGCTTCATCCATGCGAGATTGCTAACGAATGCATCAGCTGTCTTCTCCGGATTCTTGAGATATTCTCTCGCAAGCGCAGGGCCCTCCAAAACGAGCTCTCCAACAGCGCCCAACGGGGACAATCGATCATGATTGTCAGGGTCAACAATCCATGTCAATGTGCAAGGTATTCCAAATCCGATGCAGGATGGCTCAGGGTTCGCAGAAGCATCATTCAAGACGGCGAATATGGTTGTTTCAGTGGGCCCATATCCGTTCATCAACTGGACACGATGAGCCCACTTTGTTACCACCTCTTTGGACAACTTTTCTCCTCCACATACAAGCACTTTGAGAGATGGGACTGTGGAAGGCTCAAGAATGCTTGCTATTGATGGGGTCAAGAATGACCAGGAGACATTCATCCGCTGGATTGCACCAGCAACGTCATTCAGACGCTCGTCTTCGCTTGGGATACAGATGCAGCCACCGTGCATCAACGTTGCGAGGACCTCCATTACCGCGGCATCGAAAGTGAGGGATGCAAATTGGAATACCCGAGAGGAATTGTTCATTTGCACGATTGGCCCCCACGCCATGGCGCTGCTAGCAAGTGACTGGTGGTCGATGACGATGCCTTTTGGACGGCCGGTACTTCCAGATGTGAAAATAGCGAAAGCCATGTTCGATGGCTTGACAGCCACATTGCGTTTGACGCTCTTTGAAATTGACCCATATGCCTTCACTGTTTCTTTGCTGACAGGGATGATGGATTTCACGAGGCCAGCGTAGCGATTTTGGTAATGGGGAGAACAGAGAATCACCCGGGCATCAACTTCTTCAAGGATTTCCTTGTGTCTCGAGGTCGGATGAGAAGGATCCATTGGGACGAACGCGCCCCCAGCCATGAGAATACCCAATATGCTGATCACCGCCCAGAGAGACTTGTCCAGGCAGAACGGGACCAAAGTTTCTGGTCCAACTCCACGAGAACCCAAGTATTTTGCAAACGATGAAGCGAGGTCCATCGTCGCTGCGTAAGATAGCTGGCCATCCCAGGCGCATATAGCTGGGGCATTGGGATGTTTCGACATCTCCTCATGGATAATATCGTGCACACATTTCTCGAGATTGAACGGAATGCGCTTGTTCCATGCCGCTATACTTTCCTTGTCGATGCGGCTGGACAGGTCAAGGTCGCCGACTTTCTTCACGTCGCCTGCCGGAAGTGCGAGGAGCTGTTCCAGAATGAACATGAACTGATGCAGCACCTTTTCAGTCGTCCAGCTATCCAGCACTATCTCATCATGATGCACGGTGATATCAAGCTTTGGACCCGCGATCTTACATTCGACCGTCAGTGGGTGGGCAAAAAAGTCCCTGCTGTTCCTGTTGCCTTCAGGGACCCAAAGATCCTCGTTAAGCTTTCCCTCGTCCGATTGTATAACGAGGATGTTTTGAAATTCGCAAGCAAGAGACGTGTCACTGTTGAGCGTCCTTATCCGCTGTAGCCCAGCATGTTGGTGTGGCAACATGTTCACGGTCAATTGATGGATGTTCTGCAAGTACTGAGTAATCGACGTCTCGTTGTCGACTTGAATGCGAGTAGGGACTGTTGTAAGAATTGGTCCTGCAATGTCTGTGATGCCATCTAGGCCGATGTTCCTCCCCATGAGTGTCTCCCCAAAGCAGACATCACTTGATCCGGTATGAGCTGACACCACGATTGCCCACGCAGCACGGATCATTTCCGGAAGAGTTACACCGCTATAGCCAGAGAATTCTGAGATTTGCATGCTGCTTTCGTGTGTATTTCCCACCCGAACTGAGCCTGGTGAAGTCGACTTGTTCTGCGGGAATGGGGAAGAATCCAGGCTGGAGAGGTATGACTTCCAAAACTCATCGGACTCGGATGTCTGCTGTCCAGTTAAGTAGTCCACGAACAACTTGTACTGAAGCATTGTGTTGTCCCTCGAAATCCCAGAATAGATCTCCTCGACCCTCCGAAAGATACCTGGTAGCATCCACCCATCGTAGAGCGCGTGATGTACGGTCCAAACGAAGAATGTTGCTGAAGAGGCATTGTCCTTCACGATTGCATATCCCGTCAAGGGACCTCCAGCATAGTTTGAATGTTCAAAGTTCCCTTCAATCAAATCATCGAATGTTGTCAGGATTCTCCATGAGATCGGATCCTCTTTCAGCACAGCTTGCAGGAAATTCAACGAATCTGTATGAATGATACGAGTTCGCAGAATGTCTAGCTCATTAACAAGTGTTTGCCATGCTGCCATGAATCTCTCAAGATCAACATGTTCCGATAGCCGAAATACCGGCTGAGCAACATAGGCACCTTGCTCCTTGACGGACAATGTCAAAAGGCCTTCTTGTACTGGACTGCACGGGTAGATATCGGAGATCGACTCCTTAGACACGCAACATTGGTCAGAAACCTCCTCCAGGATCCAGTCACGATCTGCCGAAGTAGGGAGAAGGCTGAATGGCTCAACGTCTCGCTTCTTCTGTGCTGGCTTTGCAGGCTCGCATTTTCTCGCCATATCCATGAAAACGGGATGGGCGTATATATCAACAACCTTAATCGATATCCCGTGGGAGTTAGCTGCGCTAACGAGCTTCATAGCAGAGAACGAATCGCCTCCGATTTCAAAGAAGTTGTCCTCAACACCAATGGAACCGGACTCAAGGCCTATGACATCTTCCCAGATTTCTCGGAGCGTTGCCGTCGCTTCTGTTTCGGAAATTTGCCCTGGGCCCGCGTTGGATACTCCATAGGCTCTCAAGCGATCCTTGGGCAACGGCTCAACGGCAGATCGAAGCTTTTTCCTGTCCAGTTTCCCGGATACTGTAATCGGTAGGTGTCGTACTGGTACAAATAGCTTTGGTATAAGACCCATGGGTAAAGATTCACGCAACGAAGCATGTAAGCTTCTCGTGGTCTCTCTGATCCTGTCATTCATCTGAAAAAGGACGACTGACGATAAATCATGCTCCAGGTCGTTCTCTTCGTCTGTCTCCTTCGTAACGGTGAAGAATGCTGCAAGGCATCTAGCCACTGTTCTAACCTCCGGAGATACAAGCTCGACGGCCACCTTTGTGGATGGTGGCAGAAAACGAAGGCATTGCTGCTCGATCTCCTCCAACTCAACCCGCTGACCGTTCAGTTTGATCTGTGTATCTTTGCGGGAGATGAAAGAGATTGTCCCATCATGATTGTAGTATACGAGGTCACCAGTGCGGTACATTCGCTCCTTGCATTGAAGGACGCTTGAAACGCCATGGTGCTGCATCCAACGGGCGCTTGTGATGAAGGCTTCCTTAGTCTTCTCTTCGTTATTTAGGTAGCCTCTCGCGACATTGCAACCTTCAAGGACCAGCTCTCCCACTGCGCCAACGGGAAGAAGACGATGGTAATTATGGAGATCCACGATCCATGCTCTGCAGCCTACCGGAGTGCCAATTGAGTTATAGTTGCTAGTGAGGCGTCTTCCTTGTTTGTCCACAATGGTGCAGGACGTGGCCAATATGGTTGCTTCAGTAGGTCCGTAGGCGTTGATCACGCATCGATCTGCCCATCGTTCAATGTGGCTTGCTGTTATTTTCTCACCTATTGCAATCACTGTTCGCAGGGTTGGGACTGTCTTTGGGTCGAGAATGTTTGCTACCGATGGAGGGCCGCTCAGGACATTGGCTTGCATTCGATTGATAGCCCCAGCCAAGTCATTCATGCGCTCATCTTCGCTGGGTACACAGACACAACCACCGTTCATGAGAACCATGATTGTTTCCAGTATGCTGACATCAAATGTGTAGCTTGAGAACTGCGTGGCCCTGGTTCCGGGGCCAATCCCGTATTCCTCAGCAATTGATAACGACAGTAGGCTGAGCCCAACGTTCTCAACAACAGTGGCTTTTGGCTTCCCTGTAGTCCCAGACGTGAAGATCGCATACGCTGGATGATCGATCCTGGCATGCTCTGTAGGGACACCGGATGTAAGGGTTGTGAGCTCTCGGATCGTCGTTTCGCATACAGAAAATGTCACATCGTAAATCCGAGAAGCCTTTTCGTGGTGTTTGGATGAGCACAAGACGACTAGAGCATCGATATCCTCGATCATCCCTTTCAATCGTTCCTCCGGATGTGCAGGGTCAAGAGAAACAAACGCTCCACCTGCCCGGAGCACTGCAACTTGTGAAATAACTGCCCATGCAGACTTCTCGAAGCAAAGGGCCACAAATGTTTCGGGTTTGACCCCGATCTCTCGCAAATGCTGTGCCAGTCGTGCCGAATAAAAATCAACATCTGCGTAAGTAAAGTCTCCGTCCCATGAGCTAATCGCTGGCTCTAATGGAAGCGCCAGGACATGATCCTGTATCATCTCATATGGGCATTTCGTTGGCCGATCAGGAAGCGCTCTGTTCCACTCCCGTATCTGCTCGCAAGACCGTTCCATAATGAACTCAATGTCACCGATGCGACAAGCAGGGGAATTAATGGACGAATCCAAGATTTTCTCAAAGCATTCAATGATATCTGCAACATGCTCCCCAGACAGATGATCAGTTGCATAGGCACAGGTTACCTCAACTGAGGATCCCATGTCCCTCACACTGACACAAAGCATGCAGTTGTTTGGATTGTCGCCGCTCAATTCGAATGGGGCGCTTTCTGCACCTGTGCTGGCGCTGTGTTGGAAGGAAGTGTTGAAGAAAGCGCCAGTCAGGTCAAGCTCCTGCTGGATATCGAGGGACAAGGGTCGGTGCTGAGAGATCTGAGCGAAATCCCTCGTCAATTTCCAGATGACATCTTCAAGCATCATGTCGTCCTTCAGGCATAATCTAATAGGCAAGACCTCCATGGCTGCCTTCCCTTCTATCTGCTCTTGGTCTGATGGACCACAGCCGAAACAGACGTCCTCTGACCCAGTGTAACAGCGAAGGACCAAGCCCCAAGCAACCCGTAAGAGAGACCCAACATCAACTCCAAGACTTTGACAGAGCGAACGAATCCCCTCTGCATTTTTGATTGTAGTCTTAAATGGAGAGAAAGCCCTCTGTGTTGGTTCAAGTTGCATGCGCGGAAAAAGACAAGCCTCAACATCGGCTAGGTATTTCCTCCACCAATCCACGTGGACTGCAGCCTGGCGGTCTTTCTTTCCCATGTACACCAATTGGCCGCGAGAATTGTAACGTGCCAGCTCTCCGGTCTTGAACCACTGCAGTTGGCGTGAGTCCTGGCTATCAACCTCGTCCAGCAAAGTATGAGCCCATTTCGGCTCCTGGATAAAGTTCTGTTTCGTAGATTCCTCATCGTTCCAGTAGCCACGAGAGACAACGGGGCCTTCTACCACCAATTCGCCAATACATCCTATGGGCACCAGGAGGTCGTGATCTTGTGCATTGACGAGCCACGATCTGCCACCCATGACAGATCCAGAGCTTGCCGTTTCGACAGAAGTGCCAGGGGAAGAGGCGTGTACCCAAGTTGAGGAGTATTCAGGGGCACCGTAGAATGTGTGAAGCATCACGTTTCCGGACCACAATTTGTTGACTTTGGCGTTAGGTGTCCCGCCATACAGCACAAGAGCCTTGACTTCAGGCAGGTCTGATGGTTGTAACTTGAGGGCCATAGATGGCGTCGTGCTGACCATATTCGCATGCAGGCCATTTATCGATGAAGATAGATTCTCGAGCTCAGTATCAGCCGGAATGCATACACAGGCACCGCGTGACCAGGCACCGAAGAGTTCCTGAAGGAAAACGTCGGATTTGTACTCAGAAGTCTGGAATATCCTCGCCGTGGAGTCCAAATCAAGCGCCGCTGAGAAACTCTCCGCTCTCATCAGAATATCCTGGTGATCAAGCATAATCGCTTTCGAAGTACTGCGATCGGATGTGAACACGAGGTAGGCATCATTCTGAGGCTGCAGGCTAGGTAAGAAGCTTTCCTTGCTAGCCGGGAGGCACTCCAAGAGAGATCTGTCAATTGAAATGACAAAAGGGATTGATACTTCCAGCGAAGGGGCTCTGGAGGGCGAGGCAAGCGCAACTTGTACTTCGTTGCAGAGCTCCTCGTTCAAGACCTCATGCAGGCGGCCATGGGTGATTGGGATACACACCGCTCCTAGCTTTAGCACTGCTAGTATGGCAACAACTGCCCAGACAGATCTGTCGAGCTCAATGGGGATCAGAGAGCCCGATACCACGCCGAGCTGCTCCAAGTACACTGCCAATGCGGAGGACAGCTCGTTGAGCTTCGAATATGACAGGTCCCCATCCCAAGCGACAACGGCATGGTCATCTGCATGAGTTGTGGCTTTCTCGCTCACCACTTCATGCGCACACTTGTCAGCGGCCACAGGGTATGAGGCATTCCAGGTCTTGATTTGTTGAGTATGCCAGTCACTCATTCCCGTGATCAGCTCCAGCTTCCCATCAGGGACATGTGCAATGTCTTTCAGGTGCTGCAAGAACGTGTTGGCGACGCTCTCGGCCTGGAGAGCCGACAGCGTTGTGGTCCAGTAGTTGAAGTCGACATTAGCACCGGTGTCCGAGACCTCAACGTTAACGAAAATGGGAAATTCCACGGGATCGTAAATTGATCCAAGCTCGACAAATTGGATGTTTCCATCCGTCTGCGTGTCAGTCGGGGGTAGTCTTCGGTAGGATAGCCCAGTATTGAACAGCATCTCGGACAGCTTCAGGGCATGCTGAATGTCGATCAGCGAAGTATGCCTGTAAGGCAAATGCTCCATGTAGTCATGCTGTACTTGCAACATAACGTCCCTGAGCAAAGAAGTATCGGACATTCTCATCCGGCATGTTAGAATGTTGATAACAGGGCCAACGACTGCTTCGATATCCTCGACTGGCACGTCTCTGAGGGAAGCCATATAGCAAAAGTTGACGTCGTTGGATGCACAGAAGGAGCGGAGGGTGAGACCCCATGCAGTGCTGAATGCTGTTGAGAGAGTGAATCCATTCCCTTCGCAGATTTGCTTGAGTTCCTCGTAGAACTCAAGATCCAAATGCATAGTTTGGAGTCTCTTGCGCAAGACTTGGCCATCGTTGAGGGTAGGGAAATGGCACGGCTCAGCATCCGACAAATACGTCCGCCAATACTCGATACCCGGGGCTTGGGGAGTGTCTTGTAGGTACTGTACAAAGCCCTTGAAAGTTGGTGTCCGAGCCACCTCATAGTTGTCGTAAGCGAGCTGTAAGTCGCGAAGTATGATGGAAATGGAAGACCCGTCCATGATGGCATGGCTAAGTTCAATTCTGCAGAAGGTCTTTCCAGAAGCTGTCTCACAGATGGTGAATCGGTGAGGAGGTCTGTTTTGACTGAGCTCGATTGAGCCCTGCCCATCAAGAGCTTCCAACACTCCATCATCGCTCGAACATCTCACATAGGCGGGATGTGCATCAAAAGACTTGAGAACGACTTGGGAAAAACCATCTCCATCACCGAGGCTCTCGACGAACACCGTCCGCAGCAATGGGTGCTTGGAGACAACCGCTTTCCAAGCGTCTGTCAGTCGAGCTATATCGGTCTTTCCATTCACAGTCCGAACCTCAAAGGTGTTGTGGACAGCATAAAGTGCTTCATCCCGTAGCCGACTAAGCAAGATACCCTGTTGCATCCGCGTACAAGGGTAGATATCCTCGACCATGTCAAAGGAATCAACCCCGATACTAGGCAGAACAGTTGACACCATGCTCTCGAGCTTTTCGTAGGTAAGCGAGAGCATTGGAAAGGTACTCAAGGTTGGTCTAACTGCCATGGCTTGCAGCTTCGCGCCAACCTCCTTCAATACATCACAGCAACAAGATATCCAGTCTCGGATGGACCCTTGGTGGCTCATATATCTATTGAAAGAAAAGGTGAAGCGCAGATTCCCCAGAGCAGCCATGGCGGAAATCTCGAAGAGTGCAAAGCGCGGCGTATCTTCGCCAAAATCTGCAGACCCTCCACCTCGACCAGCCTCGCCAGCCATCTGGTTCATTAATTCGAAGAGACCATCTCGTCGCTGGAGGTCTCGATGTTGCCCAACATAGTTGAAGGACATCTCCATCGGACAAGGGTGCTCGCGATTTTCAGCGCCCCCTCCAACCAACATGCGCTGTGCGAATTCTTGTCGACCGTTATCCAAAGCACGACGGCGCAGGTCCTTGACATGCACGACAGTCTCGACTATGTCGTTCGCGACCGGGTCCGATACCAGAATCGGATATAGCGTGGTGAACCAGCCAACGGTGCGTGAAACATCTATGGATTGATCCCATACTTCGCGACCATGTCCTTCGTTGTATATCACAGGCAAAGCTCGGTCAGTGAAGGTCCGTCGAAACGAATGTAGCAGGGCCGCAAGGAAGACATCGATGGGTTCTGTCTGCAAAGCCTGGTGACAATCCTTGAGTAGACGTGAAGTGCTGTCTTGGTCGAGCTCGAATCCTTCACAGTCCACGTCACCGTAGGTTATCGTGCGGTCTTCCATTCCCCAGTAATTTAATTCTGGGGCTGGAACATCCTTCAAGCTGGCTTTATCGTCCGTCGTCAGAGCCTGGCACCGTTCGCTCTGTAGAGCACACCATGTCTGGAAAGGCAAAGAGCTGTTCGACCGCGCGGTTTCGTGCCCATTCAACAGCAGGTCTTCTAGATCTTCCAGAATTATCCGCCACGATACAATGTCAACCACCAAGTGGTGAGCCACAATTGACATTATCAATACTTGTCCGTCCTCGCAGAAAAGGTCCACTGCAAGTACAGGCCCAACAAGAGCATTGATCGACGATTGGCTTTTTTCGACGGACTGTTCAATTTTCTCGGGACTGGTGGTCTCATGTACATTCCAGCGGTACGAACCGACGATGTCGGTGGTGATGAGTTGTTGGAAACCCCTTTCAGACCCTAAGTCAATGAGTCGCGCTCGCAGCATAGAGTGTCGATCGATTAGAATCTCGATACTGCGGCGAATATCCGTCTCGCTGATACGCTGATGAAGACGAGTTCGGACGCTCTGGTTGAAATGTCCCTGCCCTTCCAGACGGGCCATGAAATGGAGCTTCTGGATAGGCGAGAGGTCGAATGGTTTTTCGATCGTTTCCTCATAAACGGCCGGCTGTTCGATGTCTTTAGCCCGTGTTGCTAGTTCCTTGATCGACTTGGTTCGGAGAATTTCCTGCACCGTGACGCCAACCCCCTGCTTCTTGCAGAGTCCCATGCATGTAATCGCTGCAATAGAATCACCGCCTAAACTCAGGAAGCTCTCATTAAGCGAGATATGAGACTTCGGGATGTTAAGGACGCGGCTCCAGATCGCTGCTATTTGATCCTCCATGGCATTACCTGAGCGAGAGACACTTCCATCCAACCCAGGTTCTGATGAGATGCATCGTACTTCGGGGTCATCCATAATACCTCCGACCCAGCTCGCTGTTGCCTTTCGATCAAGCTTGCGCGACGGAAGAATGGGTATACTTTCAACACACAGCCATACTGCTGGAACCATGTATGCCGGTAAACGCGCGGATAGTCGATTGCGGATCTCTGATATGATTGGCAGCTTCCTTGGATCCTCGACTAGTTTCAGAGGCACGGGCTGTGTCTCGCAATTGTCGGTAAAAGGAACTGCGAAAGACATCACGGCGACCAGCCTTCCCTCCGCGAACCCTGTTTTCGGAAGAAGGACCAGACAGTGCTTGATGTTCGAGTCGGAATTGAGATTATCTTCGATTTCTCCCAGCTCGACTCTCTGTCCGTGAACCTTGATCTGCGTGTCTTTCCTTCCTAGATACGTCAGCGACCCATTTTCAGAGTTGTATCTTACCAAATCGCCGGTCTTGTAGAACCTGCGTCGAGAGCCTCCAGAAGCGTCATGTTTTGTCCAAGCGGGGTCGTAGATAAAGGATTCGGCGGTCTTCTCTGGGTTGTTGAGATAGCACCGGGCCAGGGTCGGCCCCTCAAGAAGCATTTCGCCGGCACATCCGACAGGAACAAGCTGATCGTGGTTCTCCGGGTCAACGATCCAACAGCGCGCACCCGTTGGAAAGCCGATATCCCTACTGTCCGAGCCGATGGTGACGTTGGAGTTGATGGCAGCTGTGACAGCAGCCTCAGTAGGTCCGAATCCATTCAGAAGGTTGATCTTTGACCAGGTCTCGATATGCGACTGAGACATCGCCTCTCCGACCAATGCCAGGGTCTCCAGCACCGGAACGTCGGCTATGTTGATGAAATCGATGAATGACGGTGTCAACGAAGCATGGTTGACCCGCATCCTGTTGATCGCTTTGACTATGTCGTTCAGACGCTCATCCTCGCTCGGTATACAAATGCAGGCACCGATCATCAACACAGTCAGTATATCCACCAGACTCGCGTCGAACGTATGTGCCGCAAACTGCAAAAGGCGAGACTCCGGGTAGATGCGCAAACGGGGAGCGTGGGCTACCGAGCTAGCCACATAGCTCTTATGTTCCATCAGAGTCCCCTGAAGGAATGTTAGAATCTCTGGAATATAGCACTGGAATATCACCAACCTTGGGTTCGCCGGTCGATCCGGAAGTAAATATTACATAGGCGGCATTGCAGCCCTTGACTTCGGGGGGTGGCATGGGTTCTCCCGAAGTCTGCGCAAATTCGGCGATGGTCTCATCGTCAAGCGGTACAAGGTGTTCTGCAATGTCCCCCAGTTTGTCTACTCTGTTTCGAGAGCAGAGCATGATGGGGGCCTGTACAGACTTCACCAGCGACTGCAGACGAGAAGTCGGATGGGTTGGATCCAGGGGTACGAAAGCACCGCCAGCTTTCAAGACCCCCAGAACCGCCACGATGTACCATTTCTAGACATCATCAGTATCCGACAGAGATAGGAAACAAGCTACCCACCGACTTATCGAAGCAGAGCGCAACTTTTGATTCCGGTTTTACACCGTGTCTTTGGAGGTAGACCGCCACTTGCGAGGCCATAACGTCCAATTCCTGATAGGTGAAACTCCCATCCCAGGCGCATACTGCCTCCTTCTCGGGATGGAGCAGCGTCTTCTCATGAACAATGTCATGAATGCAGCGATCAGGACTCGCGGGGGGGACAGAGTTAAACTTGCGAATGCGACACCAATCCTGCTCCGAGAGGACATTCAATTCGCTCACTTGAACATCCTCCTCAGAGAGTAGACGGTGCAGTGTCCGCTCGAAATAATTAGATATACTTTTTGCCTGCTCCGAAGACAGGTCACAGTTCCACCATTCCAAGAAAATGCCCACATCTTGCTCCAGAATCTTCACATGAAGACGAACGCGGCACTGGGGACTCGTCTTTAGCAGTCCGTTTCCAAACCCATGTTGCACAAGACATACCTCCTCTGGGAGTGTAATCGCCGGGGCGGGTTGCACAAGCGAATCGCGTGCACTTCTGGCCGAGTCGCTGCAGACCCGGATCATCAAGGTCGTGTTAAAGAGACTGTAGTCGCTAGGCGCACCCCCTGATGAGGCCCCCTTTTCGGGGCTGTCGGCATGGCTCTCCGTGCGCACCACCTTCTCCAGGACTTGCTGTACAGTGTCCTGCTCCCTGACGGTGAGGTGGAAGATTGATGGGCTGGCCAAGTCAGCGGAGGCGGCGCCATGACTGCCTTCACCCCCAAGGCTCTGATAACCGAAGCAGACCTCCTCTGACCCGGTATATCGGTGGAGGAGTAAAGCCCATGCAGTTTGCAGAAGCGAATTCAGGTGGCCTTGCTCCCAGGACGAGAGTAATTGGAGGGTTTGCGAGGGATCCGACTTTGTTCTCATCGACACCGGCCGCTTGGGGCCATCAACGGACAACGGACTGAACCTGGGAAGACAACACGCGGTTGATCGGGCCATGATTAGGTAGATGTCGTTCCGAATATCCTCTATGTACAATCAAAGGGGGCGAGGGGCGTGTAAAGAGCATGAGGGGAGCAAAGACGAAGCACACTTTCTACTTTTAAATGAAGAGCCCGAACAGGTCAACGCGGCTTCTTCCGAAATTGGCTGAAGGATCTATTTTCATTTTGCCTCCTAAGCAGGGTCCTCCACTGGTTCACAAATAGAATACCCAAGAGCCCTTCCTCTGCCAATGACAAAACTCCTGTAGGGGGGCCATAGACGACAGGGTTATCGTTAACTAACTTCATCCACTGCGAACACTACTCCATGGGGTCAACGCCACGGTCCTTACTCGTTACGGAACAAACCCAATGGGAGCAGACCTGTCTGCATGGCTTCTCAGCTGGCGTAGAGGCTTAAGGAGCTGGTGAGGACGGAGTGGAGCTGAATACAAGGAAAGTGGCTAGAGGCATACGGAGGGCTCTGTGAGGCAGCAGTCGGGTAATAGTTCTCGGGCTGTATGCAGAATCCCGGTTCTGAGCAGACAGTTTGTAATAGAACTGGCCACTGTAAGAAAAGTAAATACAGAATAAAGAGAAATAAATAGAAGAAATAAATAGAAATATGGGGCTGGACCAAAACCGGTTGGAAGATCAGGTCCATCCACCATACTCCGTCGAACACGCCGTAGTGCGCCTCCACCTACTCCGTACTCCGTACAGATGATCCATTAAAACAGAGCCTGGCCGAGCTGATGAAGACTCTGGCAGTCATAAAGCCGGCCTTTACGCTCAAAATGGTATAACAGCATGACGGTGGCGTTTTCAATTGGCTGTCCATGGGCCATGGGGGATGATGCTCGCAACGCATTAGACAGGCGGTTTCGAAAGTTTTCCCTATTGAAGTCACGCTACAAAGAGGTATCCATGTCAGGCAAACATCCCAGTTCGTGGTAGCCGTGATGTCTTTTTAGCCAGCTGATCTGTAGTCTCTTTAGCCGTCCTGGTGGTGGCTGTTGTGGTTGTCGTTGCTGTGCTCCCGCTGTTCTGGTCAGGAGGAACTATACAGACTACCTCTTCTTGAAAGTTCATCTTTCCCATATCGTAACCATGACTTAATGCATCACAACTCCGTGAGGGTCCGGCACAATTCTCCATCAACCGGATTCCAGAGAAAAAAGTAAACATGGCCAGTTGTTGGCCATGTCTCAGAAGACTCTCAGCATCCAACTTTTGCTCCCCCCACAGCTTTCTCCTGTGCTGTCCACTTCACTCTCAATAATCATACTCCGTACATAATTCCCGATAGGAATACTATGCCAGATGAATTCAACCCAATTCTTAGAACAGAATTGGGTCTGGGAGGTGATCGCTGCAAGGGCGCCAGGCGCCAATGACACTAGTGCGCTCGGGTATGGTTTCCTCAGCAGGATCGGTTCTTGTTTCTGGTGCAATCAATTGACTTGGTTAAGCGAGAAGATGACCTCCGTGAAGTGTGTCACAAACATACGACCTGTCACTTCACTTAGGTGAATAGATTAGTTCCCGTCTATTGATCAACCGATCTACATCCTCCCGTAGTGCACGCGATGGCTCGTCTAGCGACATGTCGACTCGGACGATATTTTGGACCGTTTACTGTCGGATCAGCTGTGGTTATGATAGGAGCATACTCCGTATGAATACTTTAACTAGGTACTCGTGGGAATGCCCCGTCCAGCATGATACATATCCGGAGTACTCCGTACCAAGTCCAAAAGACCAGGTCTAAAAAACATAGCGCCGGTTCATCCGTAGCCTTCCCGCGGAGACTAAGATCTTCTTTAATTAAATGATCCTCCTTGTTGAGATCGAATTTGCCAAGGGGCGCTCGGAGGGCGTCTTGGGTGGACTCGGGTGGACTGGTAGTGTGGCCCTAACGCAGCCACCACCAAGGCATCACCCATCCCTATATTAATTACACCACTATTACCAAAAGCGAGCTTAATGCATCGGCTAACTACTGCACCTTGATCGATCGCCGCGAGCCATGATTCACTGGCACTGCCGCCTTACCTCCGAGAGTCACCCAAAGTCCGCCCAAGGGGCCCATTTCGCCCCTCCCCATCAACGTTCCAGACGGTCGACGCGGCAGCATGGCAGTGGAGTACCTATAATAGTACACCCACCGTGACAAAGGTACTGTACGCTCGCTGGGGCGGTGGAGACGACATGGTCGGGCAACGGCATCAGTCCGTATGATTGTGCGATCTGCCGTGTCCTTGCGATCTCGAGAAATGGTATGATACAGTTTATGAGCTGTTCAAGAATGATATATAGATTGCCTGATGCTCTGATTCCTCCCTTCAAAAGAGCTCGGGCTCAAGCAAACGACATCCAAACACCGACAGCCGCAGGTACCCATTCGAACCATCGGTGTCGTGTCACTCAGCTTGCAAGTGAGACGCATGCAATGACTCTTGAGTGCGTCTGCCAGGCACTTGCCCGTAAACCCTCTGTCGCCGCGATGGCCGTTCTCGCCAAGTGGAAATGCACTCACGGCTTCTGCCAGTGGAGCTATAACACCATGACTTACTGACCAGGGCATCCTGCAGCTAGACAAATGGTTGCGTAAGGTATTCCTGTCAGACCCAGGCCGCCGATGGGGCGTGACTCGACATGATGCGAATCTAGATGCTGATGGGTTGTTTGCCTTGTTACACCACATCGGCCTCGTGTTGGTCGGACATTTCCTCCACCGAGTCATCTCCGCTCTGCATGCTTGGGCAGTGGTTCGGAGAATACGAAGGCCACAAAAGAAGAGAATGTCCTGAGTGTTGCATTGGTGGCGTTCAGCCATGGCTCGATCACGCTAGAACGGCTACTTGTAGGTGTCCAGGTGTCCAGGTGTCCGTCCATCAAGCTGGTCTATATATGCCTATTGGCTAGGTCTTTATTGATCCCTTCGTCAGAGGTTTCCATCTATGCAGAATTCAGGATATCGCCTTGTCCAGACGCTGAGGAAGCAGGATTGTCAACTCACTCCTCTCCTTCCTTCCGGCGAATATCCCTGCATCTCGGTGAGAGCAGCAAGACCAATCGCTTGAACGTCGTCCCTCCTAGTACTAGTAGCTACTCATTCAATCTCTGCGCAGCAGGAATATACCTCGCCCCAGCTACAGGAAAAGCCTTCAGAGTCTCCTCGTCAACCTAACATCCCACACATTCAACAGCACCCGTGCCTCCGACCGAGCGCCCGGAATCAGCACAATCGCCGGCATGCCAGAATCCAGCAGTTCGCCAACCAGGGCATCATGCAGCCCTTCGCCTGCGCGGGCGCCTGCTCCAGATTATCCGGCTGAAAAACTGGGAAGCGGCGATGATGGCTCTGCACCGGCAGATCAGCGACGCTCCTGATGGCGCCAGCCACCGACGCCCGCATCGATCGGCGTATGCGCCACCAGCACAATCCTCCCACGCCCACAGAACTCGCCTTCGCCTCGACGACATTGATCATCAGCACCACCTTCATCTGCGTTTTTGGGGTACGCGGTGAAATGGGCGGCAGGTCCTAGAAGCCAGCGCCGTTCCCGATGTTGGCGCCCGCGTTCAAGGCTGTCTTTAGCATGCGGAATGCCTGTTCGTCTGGGTCTTGTCCGTTGGTGAGCCAGCCAAGGCCTATGTCTGCGATGCCTTTGGCGAGCAGTCGGGTCGAGTCACTTACGCATCAAGCCCAGGCCGTTCTGGCTGATTTCTTTCCCTACGATAGACGACGGCATGGTAGTTTGTGATTCGGCGTACGAACACTGTAGTCGAAAAGCTTCTCAAGGTATATTCGCAAATAGCCCACTACTTACACTAAGGCCTTGCCCTCATCGCATGTCCAGATCTACGGAAGATCATGTCCATCCAAAGACAAAAGATAGTTGGCTCTTCAAATCAAACCAATGCTGCTCGATCAATCCAATTCTCCTTTTCTTGCACCACCAGGAAACTAGAAAACAACCCCTAGCCTAGCCTAAAATACAAATGCGGTCCAGAAACTGCAACATAGCGTAGATGGAAACTGACAAACCAACAAAATCGTAGATGCGACACTGTTCAGAGCTTAGAGTAGCATCGTATCATCATTATCCGCCTGGTCAGGGTCCAAGATCCCAAATTCCCAATCGCCCCGTTCAATCCGGCTGACGCGGTCCAATTCGGCCTGGTATTCCCGTCGCAGATGGTCCAAGGTGACTATGACCCGTCGACAAGGCTGGCTATTCGCTGCGGTGGAGGACGACTTGCTGCCGCGGCGCACATTCGGCTTCATAGCACTAGTGCTCGAGCTGAACCTACGCTTCGACCCTTGTACTGTGGGCGATGCGTCCGCATCGTCCATAAAGACGTTTCCATCGTCTTCCTGCACGCTGCGACGTCGATCGAGAGACTGGCCCGGCACTGATGGCTCGTCCTTCTCGACGAGGATATAGGCCTCGCTCTTGTCCACACAACGAAGAAGGTTGATCAATGACAGAAGCTCGTGTCGGATCTCCTTGCTCTCCGGGTCGTCCTCCTCTGTGGCTTGCGCGCCATCGGCCTCACGACCCTTAGCAAGGACAAGATGCGAGGATGGACTATCCCGAGCCATGCGAAGCCGCTGAACATTCCGGTAGGCGATCTCCGCGGCGCCACGATAATCATTACGAGCGATTCGATAAGCCTGGAGCACTCGCTGATAATCCGGCGTGCTGTCGGTCCACTTGTTCCCATGGTCCATGGTAGAGTGGAAAGACGTCTGCTTCCGAGCAAGCGAAACCAAAACTTCGTCCACGTGAGATGCAATGTTTGGAACAAGAGATGTGGGGAAATGAAGGATCTGGCGAAGGCCAGAAGTATCCGGACCCGAAGCCACCAGTATACTCGTGATCAGAGAACTGAGCGCCGACTTCTGGAGGGCGAGATCCTTGTACCGAGCGAGCGTAGAGTAGGCCTGGTCGAACTGGCAGGTCTGGAGGGATGCGTAGAACAATCGCGAGAGCAGATCCGTACGCAGGATGTTGTACTCTGGGTCTTTGTCGTCCCGGTATTCACTTGCAAGGGCCTGGAGTGCAAGGCTGGCAAAGTCGGCAACATGCGAGAATGACCTGGCCTTCTCGAATATAGTCAAGATGTGTTGGAAATACTTGGGCAGACCGTTGTGGAAACAGTCCACGGAAACGATGTCAAGAAGCGTGGATGACATTTCATGCAGATTGCCGAGTGGTTTGCCGCAGGCTAGACAAGGGTTAGACATTCACATTCCGACCACGATCAAAGACAGCAACAAAGGAAGACTTACACAGAAGGTACGCAGCTTTCCGGAAATACAACGCTGCAGTGTCGAATTCGGACATGGCGACGTATAGACGCCCCTTGACGTATGTCGCCCAAGACGTACTTGCTTGGAAGCGCAAGAAGTCCCAGGCAAGATCAATGTTGTTCTTCGCAATCAGATCACATTGGATGTACACCAACGCATTGGGGTATGCCACTTCTCCTTGTCGAGTCACCCATGATAGAACATCGCGAATTCCCAGAGATAGTGTATAGCTCTGCGGTAACCCGGTGGTCTGACGGGGCTTAATATCAGTAGCGAACAGATCTTCTAGGATCGTCGCCATTCTCGGGGCGTCCTTCTTTCTGGACGATTCTTTCAGGGAAAAGGTAGATGCGTTGTCATCAGTCGCACTTGTAGATCTACCTGAGCATTTCCGACAGTTGGAGCTCAGCCAGGCCATCATTTCGTATTCTCTCAGAAGGGTGATCAGCGAAGCAAAGAGGTCGACCGCATCGAAGTTTGAGTCTTCTTCCTGCTGTACCTCCCCATCCACGAATAGAACAAGAAGTAGGAGGTCGGTCAGAACACGTCGGGTGAATAAAATGGTCTCTTGCACTCCATTCACCGTCACTCTCACGCCAAAGTGGGTAGGCAGAAGATCAGAATCCTTGCCCGGGAATCCAAGAGGTATCGTGTCGATAATGGTGTAGAACACCTCGTTCTGCAAATTGTAGATATTCAACTGCTCGTTCATCGCGCCGATCAGACCTTCGTAGACCTTATTGGAAATCTGTTCACCAAAATCACACCGCTCGCGGAAAGCGTCCATTCTGTCTTGGATGGAGGACGACGGTTCGGTGAACAATTCGGCTTCCAGGGCTCTTTGGCAATCTGCTTCAAGCTCGGCTGGGAATCTACGCCTGAAGCCTGAAGCAACTTTGATGAGATGAGATGACTGTTCAAAAAGGTCCCCAATCTCCGAGCTCAGATTCCTGTGTCTCCAGCGATCGACGATTTTAGGTCCTTCAGCGCGGAGCTCAGCTCCCGAGTTATGCAGAATTAATTCTGTAGAGCTGCACTCGCGGATAACAGCGCAACTGTCTGTCAAAAGAAGCCACGGTATTTCGTAATATGCGTCGTAAACAAGAGAGACGGGCTCAAATCTTCTCTTATTGATGTCCTCCACGATTTGCCAGAACTGACGCCATTTGGAATCAGTGTCCGTCCGGTAACGAGTGAAGTCCATATCCTCATCAGCGTACTTGCGAAGGGACACGGTAGCAGCGATCGTGGAGCAGAGCCGTTCTGAAAGCGATGCACCCTTTTTGGACGCATTTTGCGAAGACAATGGCCGGACGGCTTCCTGATAAATGGACAGTGCAGTCTCAAGAGCCTCGGGGGAGAATCTGTTCGGCTGTAGAAGGAACTTCAGCCATCTCTCTGTCGGGTCCACGACATCTGACAATGCCATGGGAGGTGGGGGCTCCTGGGAACGAGAATCCATCATCGTGGATACCCAGTTATTGTTCCAATCAGTAGCCAAAGTCTCGAAATTGAAATGAAGTGTGTACAGTTGGTACAGGCTGCTGTTTCGCCACAGAACCCACAACTCCATGCGCCTCCCTTCCTCCGCGGGCTTTATGTCGAAATCGGCAATGCTCCAAAACATGTTTCCAGTCGTATCCGGGTCCAAAGGCCTCAATGGGGTGTCTGGATAGAGGTCCTCGATGATCAGCGGCGATGTCAGGCCTCCCTTCACAGCCCAAAACTTGAAGCGGCCGTCTTCGAAAGGCGAGTAGGTGATAACATAGTACCGGTATTCGCCGTCCATAGCCCTCTCGACATTGAAGACGCGGATAAATGCTGATTCGGCGGGGTTTAACGAGTAGGCTGGCACGTCAGGATTTTGAATCTCACGGCCCAACAGATCCTTCGTAGCGGCCAGCTTGTTCGTCGCGAGATTCCATATCTTCAATGTATGGTTGAGGCAAACGGCAAAAACGTAGGTCTGATCGGACGTAGTCGCAATCGCATTCGCCAGGTTCAGATCGAGGGTGCGTCCCTTGTACTTGACGGAGGGCTGCGCGTTCCATCGAACTAGGCCGCGAATCGAGGAGCCCCATGTTCTCTCGTCGAAGGTGAGAGGTGACCAGCTGGAACCTAAACAAAGACGCAATTAGAAATTGGCTCTTAACAGTTAGAATCGCAAATTTAGAATTACCATCATCGCCAGATCTCCTGGTCAGGCGCAAAAGCGACCCGTTGTCGAGGGAAATGAACAACTCCAGCGGGCTGCTGGCATGCAGTCGGTGAGGGTAGGAAAAGGACAGAGGAGCCGGAACGCAAGATTTGCACCAATCTGTTATAGTTTCATCTATCGAGGCGGTCCTGCGGAAGAATTCCGGTCGCAGGGTCAAGGTGTGCAGCTGTTTTGAAGCAGTGATCACAAAGACGCTTAAGATCTCGTGATCCTCCACATCGGCGAGGTCGACGCCCGAAGGAAGGATCTCTTCCTGAAAATCCAGGCGCAGAGTGTTGTTGTACTCGTGATGCTCAACGCCTCCCTTAGTCAAATCGACGCATTGTATCTCAAGCACCTTATTGTCGTTGACCACCCTCCACAGGAATGTCCGGGGATACACGCTGCGCTTGCGGAAGTAGATTGAGCCCTGAGTGGCCAGATATTGCCTCGTAAACTCTTCTTCATCTTTTGCGACCGTCTCGCTTTGGCCTGTGAGGGAGGAAATCGAGAATCGGGCGCGGCTGTTTGGGTTCGATTGAGATGGGATCGGGATGTTGACGACAGTGCTCGGCGAGTACGGCCGAAGATCGACCCGGGTATCCTTGTAAATTCTCGCCATGTCGGATTGAACAGAAGACCACCTTCCACGGATCAGAGAACGAGGTCAATCAAGCCTCCATGGTTGGTTGTCGCAGAGGGGGTGGAGTGTCCAAGCCAGCGGAGTTGAAAGAAGCTGGAGCTCTTCCGCTGCTCAGAAAAAACAAGGTCTTGGCACAAAACGCGCATCACCGCCTGATCTCCTGCTCCTGCTTTCAGAAGATACGGCCCTACAAACAGTCCAACGCGCCATCGATCTACGAGTCAATCATAGCTTGATCATTTCATACTTTTCATGGTATATAATTTGATCGTCAAAAGCATTATCTTTAAGCCGTCCCCGAGGGAATCTACGGCGCAATACTCGAACATAGCTGCGACATGCGATCGCAACAGAAAACACTATGTCCTAAATAAGGCGGATAAAACAGACTATAGCTATCGTATCATGCGTAGTAAGTACAAATGCTTCGTGATGTTTCCGTCTTTCAATCGTTCTCCAAGTCCTTCGGGCTAGGATCTCCAATTCCATCTTCATTGATGGCGAAGAGACAGTCACTCTCCGGCAGACAGGGACTGTCGTAGATCTTGCATACTCTGGTCTCTCCCCGGCCCTTCTTCAGGCTTAATCTGGTTGTGCTTGCGTGGGCGATAATGTTACCGCCAATGGGCTTCTTAGGGTCCGGGTTGAACATCGCACTCGGGCCACCGTCCACCTGAGCGACCACCTGGTTCGTAATGACCACAGCGATACCAAATTCATCCGCTAAGCGCTGGAGGGTGCGCAAAAACTTCGCCAGGTGAGTCTGTCGACTTGACAGCTCACCTCGTCCATTGAAATCCGTACGGTACAGCGACGTGGCGGAATCAACCACCAACAGGGAGAATCGAGTCTCGCACATCATCTGCGAGGCCTGGTTCAACAGTTGAAGTTGGTGGTCCGAGTTGTAGGCACGAGCATAAGCCACATTGTCAAGAACTTCCTCGCCGACAAGCCCATATCGCTGCGCAACAGCCAGCAATCGCACTGGCCGGAATGTACCCTCCGTGTCAATGTAGAGGCATTTGCCTTCCCCGCCGCCCATATCAAAGGGCAACTGGCAAGTTACGGCAAGTGTATGACATATCTGACTTTTGCCCGTCCGGAATTCTCCAAAGATCTCGGTAATCGAGCCGGTCTCTATGCCACCTCCAAGGAGCGTGTCCAATTGTTTGGACCCGGTGGTGATTGATATGAGCTCACTTCGTCGAGCGTGCATCTCCGTGGCCGTGGTAAACCCCATCGGAACGAGTTTTGCCGCTACAAATGACATTCTTTAGAAAATCCGTCCTACAAAGACTGATCTAGATCTGGGATTGACTCACCTTCAACCAAGACCTTTGTGGCTTTCTGTTCGGAGATTCCTTTGATCTGCTCCAGTTGACGCTTTGGCCTGTTGTCCCGGGGCAAAGTCAGTACTCGGATACGTTATGGAGTCCAGTGTCAAGAGCCAGCCGGGAAGACATACGTATAAGCAACTGACTCGACCGTGTAATAACCGGCTTCGACGAACAACTTGATGTCTCTTGCGGTGAGTCCCGCGACACCCTATCGCCATGTTAGATGGAATCATTCGAACTCAGGCGGAATATCGCGTCAACGCGGCCCGCCACGCTCATAGTGCCAATTTCCATAGGGAAATGTTGACTCACCTCCAAAGCTGAGAGCGGCGTGGGTGCTCCAGGTCCTGGAAGACCGCTATCGTCGTATTCATTCTGGGTCTCCATGTCGGCAGTCATCCTTGATTTCTGTTTGTATTTCTCTTAATCAACTCCGAATATGAATTTAATCGCCTGAGGTTTGCCACCAGTTGAGCGAGGACAACAAGACGTGCACGACGCGGTAGGACGCGTTCCAGCTGAATGAGTGTGCTGCTAAGACTCCTCTGGTCTTGAGTTCAATTTTTCTGAAAGAAGTTTGCTTGTGGGGATAAATACACCACCGAAGTCTTTTAAATATGGACAGCACAACTTGTTGGGTGGCAAATCGTCTGGTCTCTGCTCAGCATATTGTCGACGTCGAAGTTGTGGACGCGTCGAGGGAGTCACGAGGTCACGTGCGGTCCCGTTGTTGCCTTATGGGCGCCTAGATTTGTATGCATCCAAATCCACCACGAAAAAAAGATCTAATTCTAGTGGCTAGGCACGGATGGATGTATTATGGTAGAATTGGTTTGCAATCCCGTTTGTACATTAATTGCACTGGCTGTGTTGCCCAACGTCCCATCTATCAGAGGCGGTCTAAAATGTAAAGTACCTGAAGCCGCTGTGATTGTGGGCAGAATGGCAGGAAATGAATAACTACCATTAAACAGGCTAACTTTGTTACTCAAAACAATGGCAATGATTGTGGCTAAAAGATGGGCTTTCCCGGGGACATTCCCATCATCAGGAACAGTGGTGGTCTGTGAAAGATAGAAAAGAACCAAGCAACATTAGATACAGGACAGTCTCTGGGTCACTGTTTCTCGTTAAAAAGTCATGGATAATTCTGGGGACGTCGTGCACTAGGATATGGGCGTATGTAACAGCCCAATCGGATGTGTTCACATACCACACTCCGTCGTTCAACCATCTATCCGTTTGCTCTTGCATGGACCGGAACAAATCCGGCTCTTTGCGCCTCCCTTGGTTCATTGTTTGCATAGCTCAAACGAAGAGTTTCGGTAGGCTGCGGCTGAAAATTCTCGTCGAATAGCTCGCTCATCTGGTGTCTGAATTGTTGCTCCGAGGGAGTTCGTGGGTATCCTAAAGAGAGATTAGTCGGCGTTCCCATGAATGTAGTAGACACGCGATAACTTGCCTTCCGGCCTTGAAAACCTCTTAAGCCCCTCAAACGGCTTGGAAATCCATGAGCTTCGCTGGCCCAGCAACCCTGATAAGGGACGGTTTGAGCCCACAGTGGCACGTTTGCTCGACCGGTCATCATCTTTCGATGGTCGCTTAAAGGGTTGGTCTTCAGGAGCATCTTCGTAGTCGGAGGACTCGGATCGTTGGTTCTGTGTTGGATCTCCACCTGTTGATTTGGAGTGTCTTTTAGACTGGTGCTTGCTTCGTGGCTCTGCTGCTTTGTGTGCTTGTAGAGGTCGCTGGACTTCCCCGGTTGAGATTGCTTGACTGTTCACATCATCACGCCGCGCTGGCACGTCGCACTTGGGGACCCATATTCCTTCGACATGGACACCTTTCTGTAGAGCTTTGGCCCCGAATGGCACTTCGTGTTGTTCTGTCAGCATCGGATACGCCTCCGCATCTTGTTCGGATTGTCGACGAGCTTCTGCGGCTGCGTGCTTCTTCAGCGCCCTTTTATTGTAGGCAAGAACACAGAAAGAATATGCGAGGACGAGTATCTGGCACCGTTAGGGATGGCTCGATGTTTCTAGGATGATGGACTGTTACCAAGACACATGCGAGCACCTGTAAATACTGTTAATAGCTGCAATAGAAAATGGGGTTCGATGCTTGCAGCTTACAAAACTCAACTTTTGCCAAAGGGCCCAACCTGTCCAGAATGCCATAGCTCTACGCAGCCAGGGCGAGGGCGTAAGGTGGGCTTGGATATGGCGCTTCGTGGGACTTTTGCGTTCTCGGGGTAGCTTCAGTGTTGCACGTCTTTGTCCTGGGTGAGGAAGGATGTAACAAAGAACACTAGGTATCATAAAAGTGTCGTGGGATGGGTCATCTTCAGGGACCGGGGTCGCGATCAATACGAAAATGACCATGTCAAGGAAGTCGCGAAGAAGGTGTCCATGTTCGTTTGGCGAGGTCAATAGAGGCAAGCACCTGGCTAGGTAGGCACCTATGTCTGCATCAAGATTGCTTCGTTTTGAGTCGACACCCACTGGACTGCCGTGGCGCAACCAGGTGACAGGGTGGTGAGGTGACACTGCATGGCCATCGCGGCAGGGTACAATAATTTCCCTCAATTATGTCGGTGAGGGTACTTTGATTCGGTGTTATTGTGCATAGTCATGGACGCATGGATGGTAGGTAGTAGTTAGATGGTGACAAAAAAAAAAAAAAGCAGATAGGGTAAAAATAACAAAAAGAAGAGAGATGTAGTTGTCCAACCAAGCAGCCAACGTCCCTGTAACAGGACGGTGTAATCCGGCGACGCCATCCCAGGGTGGAAATGTCTCTGCAGAATTGCTTCCCTCAAGGGTCATTTCCATTGCTTAGCGCGTCATAGCGATCGTGGACTACTCGCACGAGTATAACGACGACCCCAGGATTCGTACCGGGCACCAGTCCTGCTGGCATAAGCCGAAGCAAGGCCACTGGCTTGGCGGCTGACCTCCCACTAGGTTATCCGTGACAGATTAGAGGAAAACATCTGAAATTGCCCTCCATAACTTGCAACGTCAACACCATTGTAGAGTATCATACTTGTTTATTTTTTTTCTTTTTTTTTTATCCCTATGTCTTTGTTGATGCGGGTTTCTGATTTCCTATATCGTGTTTCCAGGTAAGTTGCGCATTCACCTGTTCAACACACACCCTACCCGCATATATATATTGCATCGGCTGCTTGCGACTACAACTACCACAGCACCAACAGCCATGGATAACACAGGACCGTGTTTATCGACTCATCATGTTAAAGAAGCTAGAAAACCAGTACATTCTCGGAAAATCCCACAGAGTCCAAATGACACCAGACACAGACGACAGGAAACAAAAGTAAGACAATCTGCCGGTCAGCATCACTCATCTTCCTCGCCCGTGTTCTCACCATCAGCGTTGTCGCCGTCTGGATCCTCAGTAATCCCTTCCTCTTCGTCCTCATCATTGTCCTCGCCGTCTTTATCCGACCGTGCATCCTCATAGTCATTGCCGCCTCTCGCAGTCCCATTATCCCCAACCTTACACACCGCACCCCCATCCTTTCTGAGGTCTGCAAGGCCCTTTCGCGGCTTCCAGCCACCAAGGGGTCTGGTAGCATTGGTTCCGTTGCTCTTCGGCTCGTCCAGCTTTAGACGTAAACTCCACGACTCTTCTGCGCCCACGACACGACGGTGGACAGGGGCACCGTAGTTGTAAACGCCGTGCCTGAAGGGAAAGGCGAGGGGCGCTCCTCTGACACCGGTATAGGCGACTTCTTCTTGTTCCTCTGTCGGACGAGGAATAGGATATGGCGCGACCAGTGTAGACATGCTGAGGACGGCAGCGGCCGCAATCATCATGTCCTTCACAGCGACCATGTTGAAAGGTGTCCGAGAGATGTGTTCCTCCAAGGCCGAGTGCTTGACCTTCTCTCAGTAATGCCGCAGGGAATGTCTTCCAGAGATTAAGGGGGTTCCGCCCACCTAGCGATACTAAAGCAAAGCAGTCCTGATGCGGGAGTGGTATCACGATAGTCTTGCGTAGATGGCCGAGAGACGAGGTGCGCGAGAAAACAAGAGTTATAGGTATTCAGAACTGACACATGGTACTGGACACCTTGAGGAAAGAAAAACGAAAAGTGCCGTAATTAGATGGCGAACATGACAAAATAATAAAGTAAAGGTCGGGTTGGCCTGTGGATGATGCAAGAAAACCGTGGTATCCCAGCAGAAATGAGAGTTAGGTTGTGTTCCTCCTATGGTTCACCTCGAATGGCTGTGTAGGCTTTCCCTTATTGACCACAAATATCGAAGAATGCGCCCTGAATCATTTTCTCTGACGGGCCTTTAGAACCAAATGTACTTATATATCGTGCATACCTATTGCATAGAACGAGACCGACGACACCAACATCACATTCACAACTGCGCAGCACAAAAGACCAAGAAGGAGGAGTCTAGAGCTATAGAATGTTTATGATATTGTCTCCTGTAAGTGTAAGTGTGCAAGTATAGTCGAAGAAAGTGATCTGGCTAGCCACACTGCTATCTGTATACGAGTTAGTACCTGTTCCATATGCAGCAATGAACCTTTTCTTTTCCCCCTTTTCTTTTCTTTTTTTTCTCTTTTTCTTGTTGCCGAGAAAGGCAGAGCAAAGTGCCAATCTTTCCCGGTCGACAATGGCGCATTTAGGTCAAAAAGAAAGTTAGTCTGATGTTACTCAGATGATGTCGTGTTGAGGTAGGGATAAGTCCACAACCTTTGTTCATATCAAGCGCATGACACAGATGGGAGTCATAGATATACGAGTGACTAATTCATGATACCAAGAAGACATGGATCTAGGTAACGACCAAGGCTGCAGAAGGGGAAGGCTCCTGGTACGACATTTGTTTTCTATACCATCAAAGCTTACAGGAATTGGCGATAATTTTGAATGCTGTCTACGCATGCGCCTCATGGACATCAACTTATCACACCGACCTGTTTGTTTCAGGTGTTCCTGGGAATTTAGGTTATGATTTTATCCAAAGCTAACAGATGTACGCTCTGCATCTGTATACATCGGGTGACTCGGCTTCCAAGACTAACGACTACCCATACACACCGAGATTCAGAATAATGAGAAAGTCTACTGGCAGCAGTTATCATACCACCGGGAGTAATCCCTGACACGATACCCGAGTGGTTTGTGAGTAGCAACAGTCATTCGTTGCGTCCACTCCATGTGATCCGACGTAGGTACTCACCACGGCAAGAGAGACCACCCATTCCTGCCACGACAAACATACAGGTTTTGCTAACATAAGTAAGGTACCCTACGAGAGCCGAATGGCCATGCGCGAAAGCAAAGACGGCCAATTGTCACTCTCCCAACGCTCAGCGCGGCGAGCGCAGCATAACGGAGTATGGCCCCGGAGGTAGCGGAGGCAGTGGGGCATCAATCTCAGTCCCATAATTATGCATTATTATCTGCGTAATATGCCGCGGCTTTCTTCGAAATTAATACACCATATAGACAGGCGGAGAACCCACCACTTCGTAACTACTGGACCCGACGCCGAAGTGCCCCCGATCATGTGAGGGAGCGCAGGTGGTCTTGACGATTCATCCTACCACAACGGAACGCAACTCGCAATTGACTTTTCATCTCTCTTCCCATACCCCATACTCATCTTGTCCTTAGCAAGGGATCCTATGTTCTATTTCTCCCCCCTACTTTGAATACCGTTCACCCTTAACCCTCCAAACATGGTACCGACCCCCTTCCGCAACTTCTTGAAGAAGCCCGCGGCGCCAAATGGCGGGGTTATCGATAGCAACGACGGCAATCGTCTATCCGCCGAAAGCCACCGGTCCACGCCTCTATCCATCCGGAAAAGCTGCGAGAATGAACCTCCTGAATATAAATTAAGTGGTACGCCTTTTGCTCTTTCGGATGGAACGTGTTGTCTAATCTCTAGTCCAACCTGTTCAGTCGTCGATGACAACGGCGCCTATCTACCGGTATACAGCTCCCTTCCCGGCCAGGTGTATCCTGGCGACCGTGCGCATGACCAGAATCAGGCTAATAATCGCGGACGTCATTCAGCCATCACCACCGGAGAAAACGAGTCTCTGGCGCAAATACCCTGGATCTTCACGATCATCAAACAATCACCGCAATCTAGTCGATGAAAATGAACCCTTCTCCATATCCCGAGAATCGTTCGATTCATATCGCCGATCGTTCGTGAGTACCCCCTCTTGCGCCACAAGCCCCGAGTCTCGCTGACTCCAGTTCCCCAGGACATCTCTGCTCGCTCCCCCGTAAGCTACAGCGACACAATGCCCTCCCGTACCTCGCTCGACTCGCGCTTCTCTCGCATCACATCTACCTCGGCAGTGCAGACAGGTCTCGACAAGCAGCCCGCGGCGATGGAGGAGGAACAATTCGAAGACGTAGGACTAGACGACGACGAGGCCAAGCCCAAGAAGAAGGGCATATTCTCGCGTCTCGGCGACTTTACGAGCGATTCCCCGTCGTCGGGCAGCTCGCGATTCCACATACCGGGCAGGAAACGAGGACAGAGCAACGTAGGCTCAGAACTAGGCCCCATGAATTCCGCACCAGCAACCGACGAGGTGCGTGAGGGCTGAACCTGGATGACTGGGGATACCATTTTCTATACCGGGGGTAATTACTGGGCGTACGACAGCCGGGCGTTTTGGGGGTCGTGAAAGGCGAGGGATTCTCTCCTGCCTGTTTCTGGCGTCTCTTGGTTCATGTTGATGACGGTGATGATGACTTGGTAGGGCTGTGTGTATAACATGTAATGATTCCACGCGTTCATATGATAGACTCTCTGTTTATACTACAAGCCCTATTGATTTAACGTCTATCGTAAATAGCCAATCCTCACCATTGTGCATCCCGACAGTCAGGATCGCGGCCTTATCAGTGGTTGCAAACAAGCCAAACATCGCCGACCGCCCGTCGCGGAAGAAAAAAAAAAGCTACAGCGGCAGTAAATCGAGCAGAAAAATTACACCGCGGGCGACACTTGCTTGACTCCACCTGTTTGTTTCTTACAACCTCGCCGTTGATTTCAAAGTTATATTATAAGAAACGTCGCAATGGTCGGTGTCAAGCGTCCGGTCGACGCTGGTGACGAGCGCAATGGGAAACGGACCAAGACGAAGACAGCGCCCGTTGTCTCCAAGAAAGCCAAATCCGCGCCGGTGAAGAAGTCCTCTAAGCCCGAGCCCAAGAAGAGCGCGAAGACCAACAAGAAGGATAAGAAACCTTCCAAGAAGAAGGTAGAGGAAGAGGAGGAGCTGGATGACGACGATGACGACTTTGACCTGGACGATCTCTCGGATTCGGAGGGCGACGCCCAGGATGAGGACGTGGACATGGATTCTGCAAGCGATGAAGACGCTGCAGAGGCCGAGGAAGACGAAGAGGATAGCAAGGACGAGAAGAAGTCAAAGTCTACGAATTCGGCGGAAGCCGCGAAAAGTATGATCACCACGAGGCTCCTACGCCATTACAACATTGGACTAACAGGCTACTTGTAACAGACAAAAATGCCTCTCGCGAATCGCATGCGAAACAAAAAGCCCTCCTGCAGGAGCGTAAAGCAGCGAAACCCAACGCCGATATGATCCAACGTTCCAAGAAACTGTGGGAGCGTCTGCGCCGCAAGTCACACGTTCCCCTCGAGGAGAGAAAGAAGCTCATCGCGGAGCTGTTTGAAATCATCACCGGAAAAGTTAGGGACTTTGTTTTCAAGCACGATTCCGTCCGTGTCATCCAGACCGCTCTGAAATACGCGAATGCCGAGCAACGGAAGCAGATTGCATCTGAGCTCAAGGGCCACTACAACGAACTGGCCCAGAGCCGGTATGCGAAGTTCTTGATCGGCAAGCTTATTGTCCACGGTGATAAGGAGATCCGGGACATGATCATCCCCGAGTTCTACGGCCATGTCAAGCGTCTTATCCGGCACCCGGAGGCGTCGTGGATCCTGGACGACATCTACCGGCAGGTTGCGACTAAGGAGCAGAAGGCGAACCTGCTCCGGGAATGGTATGGTCCGGACTTTGCGCTTTTCAGAGACAACGACGGAAAGCCCGTGACCGCGGACCTTGTGGAGATTCTCAAGGCGCACCCAGAAAAGAGAACCCCTATCATGCATTTCCTCCACGAACTCATCAACCAGCTGGTGCAGAAGCGCACATCGGGCTTCACCATGCTGCACGATGCCATGCTCCAGTACTTCCTTAGCACGAAACCCGGCAGCGAGGAAGCCAACGAGTTCATCGAACTGCTCAAGGGAGACGAAGAAGGCGACTTGGTCAAGAACTTGGCGTTCACCCAGTCGGGCTCGCGTGTGATGTGCCTTGCGTTGGCCTATTCCAATGCCAAGGACCGCAAGCTGCTTACTCGGTTCTACAGAGACACCATCAAGATGATGGCTGGTGATCCGTACGGACACACGGTTCTGCTGGCCGCCTACGAAGTCATCGATGACACCAAACTTACCTCGAAATTGGTGTTCCCGGAGTTGCTGAACCAGAGCCTTGACGCCGAGGCTCGCAACGAAGAGCTCCTCTTCCAGGTCAATGATCTGACCGCACGCATCCCCATCCTGTACCCCTTTGCTGGCGACCGGGTGAAGTGGCTTCTCCCGGAGGCGGATAACGACATCCTCAAGGAGGTCCGCGATATCCGACAGGAGACCTCAAAGAAGGATCCGGCCATTCGTCGCCAGGAACTAGTCAAGGCCGCTTCTCCTACGGTGCTGGAGCTGATCGCGGCCCGAGCCGACACTCTCCTTGAGACGAGTTTCGGGTGCCAGTTCATTGCCGAGGTCCTCTTCGAGGCGGACGGCGACAAGAGCGCCGCGCTCCAGGCGGTCGCCGTGGCGGCCAAGTCCCGCGCCGACACCAAAGACTCCCCCTTCGTGGGACGTCTGTTGAAATCTCTCGTCCAAGGCGGACGGTTCAACAGTGCCGAGAAGACAGTGGAGAAGGTGCAGCCGCCGCTGAACTTCCACGGTCTGCTGTATGAGCAGATCCAGGACGAAATCATGTCGTGGGCCACGGGCTCCAACGTGTTCGTGGTTGTGGCTCTGACAGAGTCGGACGAATTCGAGAAGAAGGCGGAACTGCTGAAGACTCTGAAGAAGGGCAAGAAGGGCTTGGAGAAGGCCGCGGCGGAGTCGGGCACGGAGGGCAAGAAGAAGGGTAGTCCGACCAGCAGTGGAGCTAAACTGTTGCTGGAGAAGATCTGATAGAGTTGGATGGGCATGATATCCGGCTGGTTTGTTGCATCATTTGTTCTGTTTCTTTCTGTACAGGGTCTGCGATTATTACATAGGTTAGGATTAAGGAAACCAAAAGCATTTTCCATTTTCCTTTCATTTGTTCATTTCGCTGATTGAGCAGGACGTAAGACCGATTCAGCTGCACAGGGTCTTGGAACGGTGGAGCGTAGGACCCTAACTCGACCTATCCGATGGGAAACCCCGTATACTCCGGATATGTTCCTTACCAAGTCGCAGATGAAATGATTTAAGGGTAGAGAGGAGGACAAGTAATCAAGTCGTATGCAGGCGCATGCAAGGCTTGACACATACGGAGCTGGTGTGGTACGAGTTAACAATGAAGACGAAGCGCAATTTTATTCAGTCCAGGGTTTAATCCCAACATTCTCAATCTCTTAATAGACAGAATATGAGGTAGTTATAAGACGGCAGAGGTACCTTATCTACTCCGTATTGTACAAACGTGGACGGGTGCAAGATTTCCCCTGCGGAACCTGGGCGGTTTCAGGGGGAACAATAACAACAATAATAATAACAATGCGGAAGTTGGGCGCAAGGATGCTAACTAAATTAGCCAAGTTAGCCCCATGATTCTGGTCGGGTCCAGATGAGGATCTCCATCTGCAGGTGGTCTGGTCCACCGTTCCAGATGCCGGCGTTGTTTGGTAGCGGCCTTTGCTGTTCATCGGGGTTCTCCATGCAGGAATACGGAGTACTCACCTGTTGTCCCTGTCTATAGCGCATGTGGTCTGGATCAACACTGGACAAAGGGTTTCTTGACAGCCAGTCTGCTGGGAATGAAGTTATATCTGTCTCCCCTCTACTCTGGTGGAAATGAATCCCGACGACGGCAATACAACGGTGGACGATCTCCTCGGCTCGGATCCCTACCAGATTTGGCCTGGTAGCGAAGAGAAAAAAAGGGTTAGGAGTTAGTACATAGTTAGTACGGAGGGGACAGACGGAGCCATCGCTGGTGTCTGTATTCTTCTGTATTCTTGTTATTATTTGATTCTTGTGGTCGGGTTTGATTAGGGAGGGAGAATCCCACCCCGTCACTTGAGATCATCGTTCGTCTCTCTTTTTTTCCCATCTCCCCGTCTTGACTTGCTCTTCTTTCTGCCCTCCAGCCTTACGCTAATACCTACTTAATTCGTAATTTCTAATTCGTCCTATTCTCGCCTCTTGGTTTTTGACGTTCTTCCTTCTTTTCGAAAAAAACTCACTTTCTTTGTGGACTCCTAGCGCAGTCACCGCACGAGCTCTCTCCAACGGTCTTGCGACAACTTTCGCACCACCAATCCCACCAGACGGTGCTGCCCACCGATCTGCCTCTAGAGAATCTACCTACTCTCCCCCGACCTGCAGATGGACTAACCGGACGTCGCGTTTCTGCCCGTCCGTGAACTGGATTATTTCACGACACGCGTGTTGCTTCCCCAAACACCATATCACGTACTATGCCCAGTACTTCCACCATGGAGGACTCGCGCCCTCCTCCGCCGCCTATCCCACCGTCTCCGACACTATCGAACCCAGATATGATCCTGCCTTTCGACCAAAATGAACGCGAATCCTCCACGCCGTCTCCCCCCTTCAACCTCCCGTCCTTGTCGCATCTCCAATCGTTCTACGAGAACCGAGCCGTTCCCAATGACTACGGCGTAGAGGTGACAAGGAACAACGCGCAACCGGGTGGTGGCTGGCGACAGAAGACATACCCCCGTCATACCTGGTTACACGAAGGCCATGACGCTGCTAGTCGTCGGCTGTCAGATATAGGAGAGGAAGATACGTCATCGCCGACATATCTAGGGGGATTCGCGAAGAATTCGCATGTGCCACATGCCGCGCGCATCGCTGGATCGCCCAAGTTGCAGCTCCCGGACCATACAGAGGCAAGAGAGGCGGCGGAATGGAGCAGCTCGTCAAGCTCCACCATGAGCGCACCCAGCGAATCGCCGATGGACGGCAACACACACACGGAATCCGGAGTCGCCGCGGAGGTCCACAACACAGAGAGCTTCCCGCTGCGGGATACGGTGCGCGCCCTTCAGCAAGGTGTAAACGGGGACCCGTCGCGCCTGAGTGTCATCTCGACGACGGAGGAAGGAGGCCCCGCGGACGAGCTATCGTCGGTGATTCTGAGCAGTGAGGCGGAGAGGATCCTGGAAAATGCGAAAAAGCGGCTCACGGTATGTGCAATCGATCCCGTCTCGTGGCGTTGTTGACTGACTCGTGTGTTAGCTCATGGAGGGTAATCTGACCCGCGCTCGTTCGTCCATGCGCATGTCACCATCACTTTCGGCGTCGCCAACGCCGTCCGTTGGAAACCAGTCGCTTGGGCTGGGACAGCCAGTCGGGGGCTTGTATCAGTCGATTTCTCGTGCGGACCGTAGGACGTCGGTGCTTCGTCCGCGCGCCACGTATAATTCGTCGCAGGACACGACCAACAACAGACACTCCCGGGTTTACAGCGAAACGCATATTCCGTCATCTGACCAACCCAACTACACTGGTGTTTCGCGGTCTCTCAGTGCGCTGGGCTCGAGCAGCACCTCGAATTTCAATGGCGATGACCGCTCCTTTCGCTACGAACCGACTCGAGCGTATCTTACGCATCGCGCATCAGTATCGTCTATGAATCGACCGCGCCGCATGACTCCTTCGCCCTTGAAGGAGGAGGCCTCTGCTGATGCGTCGCAGGGGCTAGGCATATCGACAGAAGACAAAGAGAATAGAATTTCTAATATCGACGACTTCAATTCCACCTATCCGCAACAAGACCCGCCATCCCGCTCACAGTCGCAACTCCACGTGAGGGACTTGCAGGACCAGATGAAGGGACTTCACATCAAGATCTCCAGTCTCAAAGTGAAAACACAAGAGGATAACCTACGCCGCCGCAGCCTGCAAAGCCTACGGACCCCAAGCCCGTTCACAGCAGCTGATCAGTATTACACCAATGGCTTGGAGCTGAAGGAAACCCGCAGCAACCCGAGTCCGAGCCTGCAACAAGGGCGTTTCACCGAGAACCGACAGGTTCGACAGGGCGGGAATGGATCATCCAGGGCGGGTTCAAGCCTTCCTACTAGTTACGACGGGACTGATGGTTCGACGTCGAAACGCGCCTCTGGGACAGGATCCCAAGCCATTGAACCGGCAAACAACGCTGACGACGATGGACAGTCGGTTATCGAAAGTCTCTACGAGGATGCTGAGGAGGGTGACTACTATACAGATGATTCGTCGGGTTCGGAAATCGACCGCGAGGCTCTGAACGAGATCTTACGCGAGCCGCTGGATGAGGACTTGCAAGACCCGTTGGATCAGTTCCCAGCGGTGCCCCATGGCGCAGATTCTACACCCCATGAGGAACGGGAGGACGCGTTCGATTATGAACACTTCATTCTTCATAGCGCGTTGGGTAACTACACGCGGTCGAGGATGCGCCGACCCAGTGACGCTTCGGATACCTCTGTTGAGACAACCAGACCAATCCAAAGCCGTCGGTCGGTGCGTCACTCACGAGCGAACAGCGGGGCGTCATTGTCTACCGTGGCAACATTCGCGACTGCAACTGAAGGGGGTCATGATGATATCGACAGTGTCCTCTACTGGGATAGGAAATTCAACGATGGTGAGATCCTGTTCACACCCCGTCTACGAAGAACATTTAACACTAACCGCTGGCAGAACTTCACCATCGTTATCCTGATCCCGAGGAAGCACAACCCTCCAGCGGCAGTGAATCGGAGAATATGGGAACACCACGGGCTCTCCGAAAGCAACCCAGCCGCAAGAGCGGAATGAACAATCGCGGCGATGTGCAACCAGCCGTACAGCGATCTGAATCTGCGATGACGGGCTCTGCCACTCCGACGTCTCTGGTCTCTTCCCTCGTCTCGACGGTGAGAGCGGCATCTAGCCCCCATCCCAAGTCCGCGGAAAACGGCAACATGGGGATCAACGACGACGACACTCGTCTTCTGGAACAGCTGTTTCAGAGCCTCGGAAATGTGTGTATGGACCTTCAGGCGATCACGACCTCCCCGGAACCTGATGCGAAGAAAGCGCGGCTGCTGCGACGGCGTTTGGACGCTGCGCGGCGTGTTCTCGACGGAGAGCTGGATACTTAGCGATTTAAGTGTATGGTGGACTGTAGTGAGATCCTGAGGAGTGTTGTCTCGGGCAGAGTGCTGGTGTTTTTGAGCTTGATACCCATGTATTGTGGATTCTTCAGATCTAGTTCTTGTATATATTTGCTAGGTACGGCCTATTGCATATAGTTGACACAGTAGGTATTTTCTACGGTACTGACGTAGGTACTCCATAGTAAGCAATCCCCACCCGAGCACGTGGAGCCGACGCGCCACGCGACGAGCCAATTTGTTCCTCACGATCCCAATATCAACAACGCCTTTGCGCCTGATTCATTGTCCACGTCGCAGTGATCCATACGGATTCCAACAAGTCTCCATACAATCTTTGCTAGTCATCCCTCCCGGCAAACTTGCGCGCACCTGGCTCATTGATCAGTTCGCAAGCGACCCCCGCGGCTGTGGCTGCAGCTGCATACGGAGTCTAGTATCCAGATTGGGAACTGTTAGTGGCATCCAACGCGACCAGCCCCTCCATCATCATCAAGCCATACGTCACATCTGGTCCATGCTCGCGGCTTCTCATCGACTCAATCGCAAGACTCGGGTCTCCAACACGATCCAAAATGTATTCATCACACCCGTCTCGCCGTCTGCTCATCTTCCAAGAGGCGCGCAATCCGCAGAACCCGGCTGAGATCGTGTATCTGCCTGTCAACAAGCTGGGTCTGCCCATTTGCGGGACTCCCCCGGAGCTTCCATCGATATTGGAGCTCCCCCTGCGGATCCTCAGGGCTTTCACGGAGATCTTCAACCAGCCGAAGTATAAGGGGTGGTATGTTGGGATGTCTAGTTTGTCCTACATGTACTGATCAGCTTACAGGTCGGTCATGGGCGCGGGACCATACCATGATACATCGGAGGAAGGCAAATTCTACGCCGTGCTCCTCGAACAGGTCAAGGACCCATTGGCCCAGGATACGTCCAGTGTGGCGTAGGGCTGTTCTGACGCTGTATGACTGATGAGCTCTATTCGTCTTTGCATTCTAATGATTGGTTGGTCCGTTCGTGCTGAACGAACTGCGTGAATTTGCGTCTATATGGGATGGGCTTCGCCACTCTTCTATTGGTGGTGAAAGTGGACTTGCTGTTGTTCTATCTTATTCTTGTCTATATTGTGATTCACGATACCATTTTCTCATCTTCTGTTTGGCTGTGGCTCTTGTGAATTGCCTCTCTGACGGTGATTGCCATGGTATATTCACTAACTACAGTGGCGTTTCCTGTCTTCAACAGGCACACCGTCACTGTGCACATTAAAGGCGATTCCCTCTATATCCAGAGGTATTTATACCTGGAAATTTCTCCATCTTCATGCGTTTTCTTCCTCCCTCTACCATTCTCGTACATACTCCTCTTCCATCCTTCTTATCACATACCAATTCTATCCATACCGAACAAAACATATTCTTTAACCATCCTCAAAACAATGACCGTGAGTACCACACCTCCATCAACCAAGTACATCAGCTAACCACCAGACAGGACTCCGCCACCATGTCTCCCATTCTCCTCCTCATCTTCAAGGAGTACGCGGGCAAATACCACCTCCTCAACGCCCCAGGGCTGCCCGTCAAGACCGTGACATCCCTGATCAACTCGAGTAACACCAGTCCATTCGTCGACACTATGCTCCTGATGTCCGCCACCGACGTCCTCACCGACGCCCGCTTCTCCGGCTAGTAAGTCCCCATCATCTCCCCAACGAACCAACAACCACGCAACTAACCCCACCCATCAGCGCCTACAGGAGCAGCTTCTACGCCTCCAAACCCGCCCACGTCTACGTCCTGCTCGAAAAGCACGACGACCCCCTCGAAGACGACTACGAGACTATCGCCCACCCGCTCCCCAAGATCCCCGAGCCCAGCGTCGGCGTGCAGACCGACCTCGACGCTCCCCACGCCCCGGACTGGGGCACCGCGTCGTGGTTCCCCGGTGACGACAGCAAGTTCAATGTTGCCCCCGTCGCCGCCGCCAAGGGCGTCTACGAGAACTACCCCGGCGGCTACTTCTACAAGTACATCACGCCCTCCAGCACCAACAGGACCGCCGCCGCAAGCGAGAACGACGCGCAGCTCTCCAACACCACCACCTCCAGCCACACCGTTGCGCTCGCACAGTCGGTGTGCGACTGGGACCACCACCCCGCCGAGAACCTGGACGAGTGGTGTGATGCGCGCGCCGACGACGTGCTCAGCGTCGCGACCACCGAACCCTACGAGGAGGGGTTCTACGAGGCCTACTATGGCAAACGGGGCGGGTCTGGGGCTGTGGACGATGCTACCCCCGAGACTGAGACTGTTCAGACTCCTGGCAATCAGGAATGGCATCCTCGTGAGGCGTTTGTCCAGGACGAGTGGGCGAAGCCGGCGAGGTGGTAGATTAGGGGATGGTTAGGTCTGCTGGATTTCTGATGCGATGTGATCTTTCTGTTATCTATTTTCTTTCTAATGGCGGAGGATTGTAATTGATGTTGCTCTTCCAATTCCTGTTATCCTTACTTGGTTTTTGTTGTTATTTTTAGTTTGCTCGGTTTGTTAATTCAATTGGGGTTCGCGAGACATACAGACATCGTAGAAGACATGTAGGACTGATTTGTGGAAAGCACGGAAGTTGGACGTACTCCAGAGTTGACTATCTACACTAGTCCTTGTTGGGTCAGAAGAGAAATGCACAATTAGTCAGGCAATTCTCTAATCCTAGTGCCAACTAGGTATATCTCGTCAATCGCTACTCAAAGCTCATGTATAAGAAAGCTGTATGAACAGGACCCAGGCAATCTCAACTGACATCTAACTGAATTGGTATAGTTATAAGATAATGCTACAGTATTACAATAAGACTAGTCCCGGCATAACCCCCATATATTCTCAAATGATCCCGCCATTCGATTGTTGCCATAAACTAATGGTAGATTCAAGCCCGCTCAAACAAACTCTTTCATGGTCATTGGACCGGCGTCCTTTGGCTTCATCAGTAGTTCCTCCCGCGCATCAGTCGCATCAGCTGTAGGCATTGGTCAGAGGCAGCAGTTTCGCGCCGTATCGCAGGTCGAGGGAGCGAGAGTCGCTGCCGTCGTATACTGCGGCCTGTCGTTGTTCCAGGAATGCAGCTGCTCCGGCGTTAGTAAGGGTGACCCGAAGATAGGAAGGCGAGTAAACTTACGAGTAATCTTGATCATGTCGAACCAACGAGCAGCATTTTCGTCACTGCCCTCCACCGCCTTCAAGATACCGTCTTCCGGCCGCGGAGTGGCCTTGGGAGGTAGGCTGCGCATCTTCAACAGCATGTGCAGGATGTCCGAGAAGCGGTCACCCTGGCTTGCATAGTACGGCGGACGCTTGTCCAACGGCCACTGGGGGATGGGCATTAGAATGTCGAATGACTCTCCTGGCAAATCGTCAAACTGAAAACTTACCCGCTGCGCAAAAGCTTCGTCTTCCCACGTGCGGAACAGCCAGCAGGTTCTCTCCACACAGTTCAGGAGGATCAGGGCCACCAGGAATGTTTCAAACCAGCCACTCTGCTGGCGCTGGAGCAGTCGGCGCTCGAGGTCGTTCATGACCGACTTGCTCAACTGCGAAGCACGTCGCTCGGTGGCTGCACGCAGTTGGCTGCATAGAAGAGCATACGTCTCAGCATTAGCCACTTCGTCGATGGGCATACGGCCGTCATCGGACGGCTGAGCGAGCGAGTTCATCGAGGTAGGCGGCAGAGTCGGGTTGCAGTAGGTCTTCCAGCGAAGTTCCGAATCCACAAGGATATGTGTTGCAATCCAGAGCTCCAGCACCCGGTCCAAGAGCACATCCTTCTTCTGCTGGCTCAGTTCCGAGGCTAGCAACAAGGTAGGACGCATGAAATCTGACGTTTCGCGCTCGTAAAAAAGAGGTGCCGTCTTCTTGAAGTACATTTCGAGCTTTCCAGGAAGATCCTCAGTGTCGCTGTCTAGCAAGTACAGCTCCTGCATCGTACCCTGGAACTGCGTGTCATCCCCGAGTCCCTGCAGCTGAGGATCCAGGGTGGACGCGGAGGGTTTGTGGCCCTGAAGACCGCTGAATGTGACGTAGACCATGCTATCCTCGAAATGCGTCACCTCGATGCGCCCGGAGTAGTGCTCGAATTTGACATGGTTGCGGATTCCGCTGACGTCGTGATAGGCAAGGGTTGTATGCAAATCTAGGGTGGTCAATCTCGTTCCATGCTGATGGGGCGGTAGAACACATACGTGCGTTGAAGGATTCAAACTCTTCTGCGATGCGCGTCCGGATGCACGGATGCTTCCACAAACGAGCGCTTTCTACACTAGCGCATGTAGTACAGGGGCTGTCACCGGAGCACTAATAGTCTGTTAGCCACGCGTACTGACAGGACATCAAAACGGATATTATTGAACATACAGGCTTCTTGAGCATGCGACAACGAATGCACGCGCCCCGCTTCCGAACCTCCTGGACTTCTCGGCGTCTGGCAGCGGAAAATCGGCCGCGCACCTTCGGCTTCGTCGGTTTGGTCGAGTTGCCGAACTCGTTCACAAAGCCCTTTGCCTGCGAGTTCGGGTTCATCGCGATGGGGCGTGGGAAAGTCGCCGCCCGTTGAGTGGCTGCAGTCAGTGTGGGGTCGTGTTCTTGGAGGCTATCAAACAACAACTGTTCCTGGGTGGAGAGCTGCTGGTTCCACTGTCCCAACTTGGGCAGGCCATCGGGCATGTCATGATCCATCGTAAGACCCTGGGGGACCATTTCACTGGCGGACGCGGCGATCATGGACAGCTGTGACTGGCGGGCGTTCGAGGCGGGATCGGGGGTCAACGAAGCTTCCGCCAAGGAGGGCGACGCGGACGATGGCTGATCGCCCTGGGAGGTATTGGGGAGGGAAGGAAGGGCCGCGTTGGAGGCTTGAGGCGTCCCTACGGAGTTATTTTCATTAGCGCGCCACCAACAAAGCAGATCGAAGCCAACGTTGGACAAAGAAGCGGGACACGAGGAAAGCCCAGGGGGAACCGGGGGGTAGAGCGCTTACCAGGCGGCTTCACGTCCTCCTCCACGTGTTCGGACTGAGGAAGCTGACCCTGGAAGCCTTCAGCTTCGAGCGCCGGGTCAACGACGACTGTTTTTCCTCCAACGGTGACGGATTGAGTGTATGCGGCACCGCCGCGTTTGTTCTGGTCGGAGGAGACCGCGCCAACCTGTCGCGAAGCTTCGGCTAAAACATTGAGGCCATCGAAGTTTTGTCGCGTGGTAAATGGCATATCCACCCCTTTGCCTTTACCTTGACCCGCAGCGCTCGGGTCCTTATTCTGATCGCCGTCGGTGATATCGGGGAGATCGTGGAGGCGCAGGAGGACGCGTTGTCGGTCGCAAAGCGGGATGGCTTGACACTTTTTCACGAGGTGATTGGTGAGACTGTCGATGCGACCCTTGGGGAATTTCTCGCCACAGGCCTTGCACGTATGTTGATAACGATTGCTAGCGTCCTCGAGCTTCTGACCTCGAATAAAGAACTCGAGGATGAGCTGGTTTGGCTTGCGACCCATGGTTAGGGTGCGAGAGGATATGGGGTGGCAGAAAAAGAGGACTCGAATGGAAGGGTCGGGAAACAAGGGAGTCGAGAATTCTCACGCGGAGAACGGTAGGTTGGGATAATTGGACAGAGTTCTCTCAGTCTATCAATCAATGAAGCAGAGATGTTAGTTTGCAGGGCTGGAGACCTGGAGCGCAAGTTGGGGTGAGACGAGGGGTGGTGCGAAGAGGACGGCAAAATAATCGCGCCCACACAGTTGACGAGACGCCACCGGACAAGGAGAGGGGCGTTCTGGGGAGGGAAAACGCGAGGCGGAGAATAGTGATAGACGTACTCAGTAGGTTTGAGCTGTTTAGCAGTCGAAAAGAGACCGAACAAGCGCAAAATGGGGCAGAGGAGGTAGAGGCCGATGGGGGCGGAGTGGGATGAAGATGGGAAGATGCGAGAAATGAGGCGGCAAAACGACGACTTTTGCACGGGCGGTCTGCCGACCCGCAACCACCCTCCTATTGTGGCCCTTCACCGCACCCAAGGCGGTGATGAAATCGGTGACGATGACCGTGACAGCAACAGTGTACCTGTCCGTATGTACAAGAAATGCAGTATACAGACCAGTGAATTCGCAATTTCCACCGTTAACACAGATTTACAGCATACGGAAAACTCTGCATCCCAAGCGTCCTCTGCCTCCCTCTGGCATGCCAAGTTTCTGTGCAACCTTTGTTCCCATCCTCACATTCCACCTGGTGGTCTGTCCAGTGCTACGAGGTACCACCCACAGCACGATCAGGTGCTTTCGATACGTGCTATCACCGCTCTCGCTGCGTGGGTGACCGCCTTTTGTTGTCAAGGCCGACAGCAATCTCACGGTAACGATCCGAGAAGTCGGTCTGCAGGGTGGCATGAGAATATGCTTCAGCGCCACTAAAGTTAGCTATCGAACCGAAGAGATATGCATAGAAATGTTATTCGTCATTCGTCGTGCCAGGTCATGCGCTATCAAAAAGGCATAAACATAAAACATTATAGAATATCGTCTAGCATATACGCTGCTCCGGAGGTCGCCACGGAACCCCCAAAATCTCGAAGATCCGTCGCTCATCACGTCCCTCCAGCAATCGTCCAGCATTCATTTTCGTCTGTTGTGGCCCTCGTAGCACATCCGCATAGAGTCCTCGTTGGTTGAGTCGCATTCCCTTCTTCCTCGCCAAAAGTCTCATACTACGATTGAATATATCGTTCCCCGTAAAATATATCAGAGCCGCTCCAATCTCCGATCCGGGCACAAACAACAGGTCCAGTCGGCGCCAAACCCGACTGTCGGGGAGTTTGGATGCCCCATGCCACTTAGAGCCGTCGCCTCGAGACGTGACCGCGAGGCTCGCCTGGAGGAAACCCTGCTGGAATAAGTCGGGGATCACAGTGTCCATCATCATTGCGCGGATTTGCTCGATCGTAGCATCTGGCTGAGTAATGAGCACGTCGATATCGCCCGAATCAGCTGCCCCACGTCGATATGAGCCACTGATAATAACCTGCATCCCAGGGTTGACTTTTACGACCGCCCGTCGTACGATCTCGCCATGCATCTCGACCTCTTTTCTAGGGATTCGTTGGAGGAAATCATCGTAATGGTCTACTCCGATCCTTTGGGCTTGGGTCAGATGTGCTTTGGCTTTCAGATCCTCCAGTGACCGATATCCTTGAGCGAGCCACCTCGAAGCTTGCGAAAGGCCAGCTCCATAGACTCCCATGAATTTCTGGAGAATGCGATCCTCTGGCGTAGTGCTCGTGTTCTCCAGGCGGCGCAGTCGGTCTGTATACACAATCTCTTCAATCTTGTCCGCTAACCGCGTTCCGATGCCGGGAATAGCAAGAGCTTGCGTCCGAGTGGTGATTCTGTTTGACTGCTTGCGCAACGCACTGATCGTCTTTCGATACGCGAGCAACCGCCAGTGGTCATCAGTCCTTGTATAATAATCCAGCATTTGTTGAAGGACCTCGATGGTCCGGCCGTTTGGGTTATCACTGTTTGATCTAGCATCGTGGGCCCGCATACAGGCAAAGCCTTGTTGCCAGTTTTCTGTCGCACCGGCTTCCTTGTGCAAATGCTTTCTTCTCTTCCGCGCATCGGTCTCCGGATCAGAGGTTTCGAGGTCCCCTGCGTCAGACGCCTCCGCAAAAGAATCCTCGTCTTGACAGTCTAGCGACTCCAAAGGCTTTATACGATTAGTATGTAATCGCCGATAATACATTGGTGCGCATACCAGGTCCTTGACGGCTTTGGCTTCATCAATGATGTCATCCAAGATGTCTCGTTCACGAGAGGGAGAACCCTCGTGGGTGGACTGCACCTCTCGCTCCTTCACCAACTCTTCGCTCTGTGACTCAGGGATCACCTCCGCGTGATCAAAGCTCTGGGAACCTTGTGACGGTGTCGGAGGTGGAGGTGCCTTTTTAGGTGGTTTTAACGGCAACACATCGGCTGTAGCATGGCCGGTTGATGGCTCTGGGTTTTTCATTTCGGAAGACCCAGGCATTCCACGGACGCGGAATCGCACATGCGTGGTGCTCAATAGCGACCGGAACTTGATACACTCAGACGGATAGCTTTCGTCAACAAGAGCAATATTAGTCTGCGCAAATCAGCATGACTGAAAGACCGAACCAAGGAGTTGTGTTTGACTGACCGGGAAGACGTCCAACTTCAGGTGTTTCAGAACATCTTGGAATGTTAGCCCTTTATCAACGATGACATGCGTTACACCGTCTCCCCAAGTCTTTTCCCAAAGAGCGCCGTATTCTTCTGCTCGCTGGATGCGCAACCGCCGTAAAGGTGAAACGTCGTTGTTCGGAAAGAAAACTGGAAGTCGCCCATTAGGTACAAGGTGAATCGACGATGAAAGATAAACTAGGTAGCACTTACAAAAACCTAGACCCTTGAAGACCTGTAAGTGCTCAGGGACTGTTCTCGCCGGGTAAGCCCTCTTCCTTTTACCAGCGGCCATGGTCCTGGTGTTCTCCTTCGAAGACCCAGTGGTGTTGGATCTCTTGACTACAAAGGACTGCACGTTCTCAACAACACTACCGTCTAGGCGCCGACCCGGCGAAGAGGACCGTAGGACCGATGGTGTCGTTGAGCGGCGCACCAGTGCGGGAGACTTGGGAAATAGGGTCTCGTCATGATGAGACTCGGAACCTTCCTCGAGGCAGGGACCCTCCTCGTGCTTTGAGGAAGGCCTCGAGAGCGCTATGACTCGGCTGAACTCATCGTCTGTCGTGTCATCCGACAAGCAATCCAATAACTCAAGCTCCGTGAAAAACCGCTCCTTGTCAGATCTCGTATTCGCCATATCCTGGCGTCAAGTGGGATGGTGAAAGGACCTCACGTCGGGTAGATTGAGCCATGGATGGGGGAATGCCTCCGTCCCTGCCTTGCAGGTGACGACAAAATGTCGGCGGATTCGACTTTATCCCTTTCAATCCGATGGTAGACGGGGTAACACGTCCAAGAGGCAGCAACGCGTGGACCCAGGCACGAAACTGCCGCCAAGTCACGGGATCCATTAAACTTCCCGAATAGTTCTTGTCCTCCACTCCAAGAGTCCCCGACCCATACTCTCAGGCCGAGTGAGCGAGAGTCCGTCACAATGTGGAAACGCACGATGCTCCTTTCCTCGTTCACAGAAGCGTCCCTCCTCCAGGGCGGACGTTGTCTCAGCTGCCAATTCCGCGGCGCGACTCTCCGGACGAGACCATCTCTCCGGTACTACGCCAGCACCACCAGCAACGCAAGCAATGCGAAGTCGACGTCCAATGCACCAAAACCCGTCGCATCCAACAAAGTCCAATTCAACCAGAACCCTTCTCCGTCGTCCTCCAAACAACCGTCCTCCGCCCCAGAACCCGGCGATGAAGACTTCGTCCCCCCAAGTCTCGACCGACCCATCGGCACCGGGATTCCTCCCCAAGAAGGGCAAAACACAGGCGTCGACGAACGCACGCTCCGCCAGAGACGTGACGACTTCGTCAACTATGACCGGCATCTCGAGCGACGCAAGGAACTGTACGGGCCCCGACGAACCCTCCCCCAGCCGAGCTAACCCATCCAACCCCACCCACAGGACGAGACAAGTCGCCAAACCGTATTTCCGCGAATGGTCGAACATGCGCTACCACGAGGGCAAGACTTTCATATCCAACCCGCGACTATTCAAGCGCGACAAGGCGCTCTACTTCCCCAACATGTACGGCATCACGCTGGCGTCGCCGAAAGAACCGCAGAACACCACGTCCGTCCTGCGCGGCCGCATCTCCGTCGTGAACCTGTTCTCCAGCGTCTGGGCCGAGTCGCAGGTAGCCACCTTCACGGGGCCGAAGCAGAACCCGGGCCTGTACGAAGCATTCAAAAGCGCGGGGGCCGACCAGCTCGTCCAGAAGATCGACATCAACCTGGAGGAGAACGCCATGAAGGCCTGGATTGTGCGCATGTTCATGTGGCGCATGCGGGCGAAGCTGCCCGAGGCCCAGCACGAGCGCTATTTCCTCGTGCGCAAGGGCGTCACGGACGGGCTGAAGGAGGCCATCGGCATGATGAACAGCAAAGTTGGCTACGTCTATCTACTGGACGAGAATTGTCGCATTCGCTGGGCGGGCAGCGGTCCGGCCGAGGAGCACGAGCTGGAAGCCCTCAATAATGGCGTCCGCAAGCTGCTGCAGGAGCGGCGGATCAGCATTGAATCTGAGCTGCCAGCGCAGGAATGGACGAGTAGCCCGGACCAAGGGGGCGTCCAGAAACCGCGTGTTGTCATGTCGTGAGACCTTGAAGAGGAAAGTCATTGACTCACATGTATATACAATACATCCTGGGTGGGCTCTGGGACGGTGCTGTGTAACATGCAGATCACCCGAGCATCAACGCCAGAGTCCATTAGAATTAACCACTCCTGTATAATAGAGAACGAAAAGAAAACATGGCCAATGGAAACCCATAAGACGCCGTCCCAATACCGATATAGACAAGGGTGGGAGAAGAGCACAAGTCGACCGCTAATCAACCAGCAGGAGACAAGACATAACATAGCACAAGATCATCACACAGCAGCCCTCAGCGGAAAAGCAGCAGCATCAAGAAACAGAACCCGATAAACGCCCCCAGGATCAGCGCATCCCGTCTCCGTTTCGTCCCAATCTTCCCCATCAACGCATTCATCCCCGGCACCTGGCCGGCCGCCCCGACAATACGCCGGTGGATACTCGCCAGCGTCTCGCGCTGGAACCCGAAACTCTCGTTGATGGCATACGCCTGGCTCAGGACTCCGTCCATCATGTTATGGCTTTCGTCGATGCGACCCCGCTCCTCGAGCATGTAGTCCGCCTCGGCCGCGGCGGGATTCGAGGCGCGGTAAGCGTCGATATCCGACCGGACGTTCGAAAGGAGGTTGGCTCGATCGCGGGATTCGGCGATCGCGGAGCCGAGCCGTTGCAGCTCGCGGCGGTGGTCCTGGAGGACTTCGCGGTGGCGGGCGAGATTGTTCTGTTTTAGGGCGGAGGAGGTGAGGGTGGCTTCGGAGTCGAGGAGGCGCGCGAGCTGGGAGACGAGGGATTCACGCTGGCAGTGTCAGTACCGGTCTTTTGTTTCTTCTATTTTTGTTCTGCGATGAGATACCTTGTCGAGGAGTTCCTTTATTTGTGATTCAACCCGCAGTTCGTCCTCGGAGGGCGTCTGCGGCAGCTTCGTCATCGACGCATACTGGGAATAAGAGTGGAAGAGACTCTCTGTCTGTAGATGGATTTATTAGCCAAACGCCATTCCCTTCATATGAGAAAGTGTCGATCTGAATGGCACGGAGGCGTACCTGGGTCTCCAAAGAACGAGCTTGTTGTCGGAGTTGAGCCCACCCGGTACCGGTTGAGGTGGCCATGGTCGATACTCAACAAAGTGGAATGCAGTCGAAGTCGATAAATGACTCCACAAATAAGACAAGTCAGTGAGATACACTCTCTGCGCGGTGATAAGACAGGAGAAGAGTACAAAATGAGCCGAAATCGTTATCAGCGGAAACATGCCATCCACGGCTCCATCGCCAAGTCCGGTAATGGCGTAGTTAGGAGGAGGCGACGTAATACTTTTTATGCCTCAGGCATATTTCATCCATCCTCAGCCTCAGTATCAGCCACACATCACGTGCCCGCTTAAGCCGCCGCACCACGCACGCCGAAAAAAAAACCCTAGTCCCACAACGAACATCCCAAATTGACCCGGTCCATCTTCAATCCTCACCTCGACAACCGTACGATTCGACACGAAGCCGCCCACCATGGTATGTGAATCGCTGTTATTCTCGCCTCTACGTCTCGAATTTTTGAAATTTTTTTTCCCTATCCATATGATCTGATACTGACGGGTTTTGTGATAGTCGTCCAAGGTCAAGGCTGGTCAGCTCTGGGGAAAGAGCAAGGATGATCTCACCAAGCAGCTGGAGGAACTGAAGCTCGAGCTCAACCAGCTCCGTGTCCAGAAGATCGCGGGCGGTGCCTCCTCGAAGACCCTGAGAATGTGCGTTTTGAACCCTTGAACCCAGAATCCATACCAGATGCATCTGCGCCCGGGAACGACAAGACGACACGGATGGAGGGACCCAGCCAGCCATTGCGAAGGGAAAGTCTTTTCACCACAAGAGGGGGAATCCAGAAAGATCAAGGCAGAAACCGGCGCATGAATTTTACACGGACGATCCGAACCAGACCAAACCAGTACTGATAGTTGATTTTTCCAGCCACGACGTTCGCAAGTCGATCGCTCGCGTTCTCACCGTCATCAACGCCAACCAGCGCTCCCAGCTCCGCCTCTTCTACAAGAACAAGAAGTACCTTCCTCTTGACCTCCGCCCCAAGCTCACTCGTGCCCTCCGCCGCCGCCTTACCAAGCACGAGGCCACCCTCAAGACCGAGAGAAAGCGCAAGCAGCAGATCCACTTCCCCCAGCGGAAGTACGCTGTTAAGGTACGAAGAATCATCACTTGGGGTTCCTGTCGCAACGCCATGGGTGTTGGTGTCGGTCGAGGGAACTCACAATGTCCACATGTCTAGCGGTAACTAACGCTGATTTACAGGCTTAAATGGAAGTCGGGTTGTGTCCGGATCTGTATGGAGTTATGGGAACGTCAGTTGACGGGTTGACCACCTTGTGTGGGGGTCGGTTTCACCAAAACGTTTCTTAAAAGGCATTGATTATGTATCTTAGAAAGAAGATGCAGGTCGATACAAATGATGCTTTATTTGACATGACCTAATATTGGTTCTTTTGTACGGACATGATGTCTGCGAGGCAGATATGGTAATTCATGCGGTGCATGACCTTGCGACTGTTGGTGGTGCACTACGCGACACATTGATGTCGCCTTTGTCGTAGTCTATTATATGCCACTATTACACTACAGTTTCTGCATATTACTCGTTCCATCCTATCGCATTCATCATTGATGTTCTGATACGCAAATTGACCTTGTCAACAGGGCAATATCAACCTCATTGTCCGCCCCTCCCCCTTAATCCTCTAGGACTCTATAACTTGGATAAATTCAATCTCTTCATTCCACTCATATCTAGGGTATTTCCAACAATCGACCACCAGGGCCAGCCTAGAACTCACCTACCGGTTGGTTTCCGACTCCACCATCCACGCCGCACCACAGAGACAATACCGCAGGAGACCGGTCTTGTACATCATCCGGAACGAAACATGGGTACGGGAAGGATATGGGCCACACAGCATCCCGCAGCAGCGCACACACCGCCGTCGCATCTGTCCATGGCCATTGTGCTTTCCCTCCTGCCGTTCATCGCGACCAACAGGCCGCAGCGGAAGTTTCTTCACGATATCCACGTCACGCGTCCGCCGGTACATCTCCGCGCGGGGATCTGTGCCGAGGCCCAGCCAGCTGTAGTCGCTCAGGTAAATGGCCATGCAATCGATTTCGGGCCTGAGGGCAGGAATCGAGTGTTGGAAGAGAACAGTCACCGCATGAATAAGAGACTGCGGAATCCGCGCGTTGAGCAGCAGCTCCTTCTCGGCACCGGAACGGTCAGGATTTTGAATGCCCACCAGCATGTATGACTTTTTCGCTGCGGCTTCTGCCTCGGAAAGGAACTTGTCGTACACGTCGAGTCGGACTGGTAAGGAGTCTATGATCTGGCAGATCTCTGCGTAATAGACGCGCGAGTCGCCGATCAGAGGTAAAGTCGAGTAGCTAGCATATATTCCGCGCAGGGCTCGACCGATAAAGCGCAAGAGGGACCGGGGCAGGCCGGATAGAATGACCATCAGGGGAAGTGACCTGATCGTTTTTACTGTTCAAGCGTGTGAGAAATTGTTTTTTTGCAAGGGAAATAAGACGAAACGCACGCTTCTGAGAAACTGTCTCCGCGTCAGACGGTATGCTCTCGAATTCGTTGGCAAGTTCGAGAAACTCGTTCAGGGTGTATTGCAGAAAGTCCAATAACCACTTCGTGTTGCCCAGCACCATACGTATGGCCTCTGGATGCTACTATCAGTAATAATCGGGGATCATCAAAGTCATAGAACATACCAGGGTCAGGCGGTTCTCCTTGCGCTCCTTTAGTGCACTGGAGGAATAATCCATATATCATCGCGACATGGCGGATCTGGATGATTGTCCACGGGATGTTTGACGCAAAACTGCGGGCCTTGTATTTATTCGTGTAGCCCATGGCTGCGTGGATGCTCAGGCACCGCAGAATATACTGGTTGCTTAACAGTTTGTCACCCTCCAGTGTGAACTCGCAGTTCACCGGCAATGCGCGATAAGCTCCGTGAATAAACATGGATTGGGCGTCTGTGGGATCGCATTAGGCTGGGGTCTGTATTGTGGACATAGTTCTGATGACTGACCCGCTGATAGTTGTTGGCGCAGTATGACCAAAATATCGTCGGAGTTCATGTCACTCCCAACAGCGCGGCAGAACGCCATCGTCAGTGAGGCGATAGCTGCGGAGAATTTGTCTTCTAAAGCGTCAGCCAACGTACACGGCCACTCGGATAACCGAACATACTTTGATCAAAAAGGCCACTTTCTGCACCATAGGCATGCTCCATGCATCTCAGCTGCACCTGCCCTTCGCTGTCAAGCATGACGGCGTTACATCCACTAGGGGAGAAGCTAATGCTAAGACCTATCCAGCAAAAGTTAGTCCTAATCTGACGAGACCTCCACGGGCAAGCCGACCTGTAGCATAAGCAGGATAGTGGAACCCAGCCTGTGCAAGACAAGTAACGGTCTCTGCGTCGCCGAAACCATGGCAGACCGTCATAGTATTTGCGTCGTAGAAGGAAATCGAGCTGTCGTCGTAGACGACTGCAACTACATTGCCATATTCCGTCTGCTCTAACGAAGTAACATATTTGTCACAATAAATATCGTCCTGCCGACGGAGTTGGGCTCTTGGCTGGTAACATTGTCAGTGGGTTCGCTACCACACGGCCAAAGGTCGCATACTTTGATTTGGACATTGCTTTTCTTTGAAACAACTTCATCAAACTTGGGATGAAGCACCTGTGGTGTCGACTCTAACTGCCATCGCACAATGATACTTGGCGGCCCTTGCTGCTGAGGGTGGTCGGGGGAAACGCGAGGAGATATTGAGAAGACAGCGACAACCCAGGGATTCGTTGCCGTCTCCTGAGTTGCGAGAATAGCATCCAAATGGGTGAGGCGATAAAGGGGGTTCGGCGGTGGCGTCAGGTGTTCCGAGTTCTGGGCTGGGGCACGACTCATAGGGATGTCATATGGGACCTCGACCTTGGAATGCATAAACCTGAAGCTGGGGACGGGGAACTGATTGGACCCTTGTTTCATTTGAGATTGATCCCACTGAGGTGGGGTCCAGTTGATTTGAAGTCGATAGAAGCAGATCTTCTGGCATGCAGAATGCGTGACGACCAGAATACCGCCAGGGGTAGCCACGAGAGCGGCATGGGTTAATAGCCGGTCTGAGTAGCTTGTGTTCTTCAACTCGGCAGAAATCTCTGTCCATCGAAGGTCGGGGTTTTGGTAGAGAAAGCGAATGACTCCCGATCTGGTGATACAGATCAAACCAGCTTTGCCAGCGGGATGAAAAGGACCGATGGGGCGTCGTCGAAATGATGAATAGTTCCACCGGCCTTGACGCTTGTTTGCTTGACTGAAGGCTTGTACCTGGAACTGAGTTAGCATTTGAAGATCTCATAACCGTTGGTGAGGTCCGCAAGAGAAACCAGCAGGGGTTCTAGAAACCTTACCGAGCGATGGACATTCAACCACATCATACCAACAATCTGCGCCCCATCATCATCAGGATCGAAGGCTCCTTGCCGCTGGCCACTCAGAGTGTTAAGGGCAAAGGAGATGTTGTAGATGGACACCCGACCCGACGAGTCCACGACGGCCAATTCGGAACCAAGCTCGTTCCAGCAGAGGTGGACGAGAGGATGGCCACCATGGACTTCTGTGACGGGCAGCAGCTGAGTGTCATCACTGAGAACCCATTTCCCATCCGTGGGGCGACACTCTAAGTGACGAAGATTGACTCGCGATGCATCTTGAGTGACGTATGCAATGCAGCCTTGCTTTGACCAAGCAATCTTTCTGGGCCGAGTTAGTTTGGTTTGTTGCGGCAAGGGTCGATGATTTCCTAGACATACTGGCAGCATCCCAATAATCGCATCTCATCTAGGCGCTGTGGAAGGCCTCTTTTGGAGGGGGTCGGGGTCAAGTCCAACTCGAGGGAGGTGGATTCACCAAATAGATCGTCCACATTGATGCCGTCCTCCATGATCATGGGCATGTTAGGGTATCGAAGCAGTAATGGACAGGCTTAATAAGACAGAAGAGTATGTCAACGAGATAATATGATCGAGACACTGTAGCTTTGAAGTGGAGGAATGATAAGCATTGGGAATGCTAAGTGGGCTTGGAAAGGTCACAGATGGAGCCCGCAAAAGCGCTGATATGGGCGCACGGAAGCAGAACACATGGAATGGGAACCCCACGGAGCAGAATAGGAGCCTGTCAGGTTCAATTGCAAGACATGGATGAGTCCATGGTGTCTCTTCTGGGGTCTCTGCGTTCTAACCACGCATACCGCCTCGCAATCGCATCGACATCTGGATGGAAACAATGGAACAATGATAGTTGCGTTGAGTTGATCCGGTGGAGCAAACGGCCTGCTGAGTCAGCGGATTGTGTCACCTGACTACCGTATCCGGGCCAACCAGATCTGGCCAATCACGGGCCATCTCCGGTGCCCTAAACACTCGGAAGAAATCAACGATACTACAGAGTACAGAGCACATTGGGCTTGGATAGGACATCGACGAGGATGGAGGAAGCATGGAAATAGAAGTTTGGGTGCTAGTCTGGCCAGTCTTACGGAGGGTGATAGCTGAGTTCAGAGCGGTTGAGGTCAACTCCGGATCCAGGGCGCCTGAGAAGGGGCCATTTACAGTACATAGACTGCTCTCAAAGAAAAGAGAACAGAATTTCGAAACCAACTCTGGGGTTTAGAATGTATCTACTTGTGACAAATAGGAAGAGGATATCATAAGCAGGAGCTGTATATCAACACATAACCACCTATACAGGTACGTATGGATGTATGTACCTGGTAGTAACTTGGTAGGGCTTGATGCAGGCGGATGGAGTGCAGGCCATTCTCCCGCAGAGAGAGCCAATCAGTGCGGCGGGAAGAAGAACTGGAATCATCATGGATGTTCATAATAATAATAAAAATGTTGTGTTCGACCTTGCAAGTAAATGCCTCAGCGCCTTCATCATACCAACATATCTCCTCCTTGTCAGCTGTATATATACCAACATCTACATTCTACTCTATAAACAACATTCCTCCCGCATACCTGCCGTTGCTTCTTCTTCCCGGTCGGACAGCTCTTCTCTTCTTCTCCTGTCCTCTGCTACTACCTAGTACTCTCCCGTGGGTCAAAATAAACACAACAAGCGAGGAACCAGACATTCCTCTCTCTCTCTCTCCCTCTGCATCGTTGTCGTCTCTCCGCCTTGACCTCATCGACTTTTCTCGTCCCCCGTTTCCCGTCCTTCTTCCACCCACTCCCTCACCACCCCCTCCTCCGTCGCTCTTTGAACTCTCCCTGCACGACGGACGAAGAAAAGGGGGACAACCGAAAGAATTCGCACTCAATTTCTTTCGCTGGTTCCGTGTCAATTGACGCAACCGACTCATCGTCGTCATCTATGGTCCTCCTAAATACTCTTTGTCATTGACGTGGAAAAAGGCTCTGCTCGCTCCGTCTTCTCCCTGTCGCCCTCTCTTCTCCTCTTTTCCTCCTCTCTACCTCTTCCCCCAAACCACTTCTTCTCCCTTCTCTCCTCCCACTCCACCGCACTCTCCCGCAACATGGGAGATCTTATTTCCCCGGTCGGCTCTCCGTTGAGTTCGGCGTGTTCCCTGTCCCCACCTCCCAGTCCGATGGTCTATCTGTCGCCGCCTCCGTCACAGGACTCTGAGCCTTCTGCCGCCTCCAACGACTTGCCGCCCGCCAGGAAGAAACGTCGCGTCACCGCCCCTCCGAAAGAACGCCGAACGCAGCTTTTGGATCTATCTGCCACGTCCGGCCTCTCCCACGCCCAACAGCAATCTCAGATCGACCTGTTAACAAAAACCATTCGCCGTCATCGCAAGATCGTGGTCATCGCTGGAGCTGGCATCTCCACCTCTGCGGGCAGTATGCATCATCCTCCTCCCTCTCAGCCAACCCGATGGCCCCGATGGCCGAACCCGCTAACCTTGCTGATTGTGCTACCCAGTTCCCGACTTCCGCTCCACTGATGGGCTATTTAAGTCCCTGCAGAAGAAGCATAACCTCAAGGCTTCCGGCAAACTTCTCTTCGATGCCGCCGTTTACCAGGATGAGAACTTGACGGCCTCGTTCCAGGATATGGTCCGGTCGCTCTCCGAGGAGGCGGCCAAGACGTCCCCCACGGCTTTTCACCACATGCTGGCCCGTCTGGGCCAGGAAGGTCGCCTCACGCGACTCTACACTCAAAATATCGATGGAATCGAAACCTCGATGCCGCCCCTGGCTACGCAAATCCCGCTGAATGTGAAGGCCCCCTGGCCGCGCACCATTCAACTCCACGGCAGTCTCGACAAGGTGGTCTGTCAGAAGTGTCGCCATCTGACGGATTTCGACTCGGCCATGTTCGATCGTCCCGATGCCCCCGAGTGCCCGGAGTGCTCCAGGAATAACCAGTTTCGCATCGAAACCGGCCAGCGCAGCCACGGCGTGGGGAAGATGCGCCCGCGCATCGTCCTCTACAACGAGCACAACCCTGACGAGGAGGCCATTACGTCGGTCATGAACGCCGACATCCGCTCCCGTCCCGATGCGCTCATTGTGGTCGGCACCAGCCTGAAGATTCCTGGTGTTCGTCGCCTCGTCAAGAGTCTGTGCCATGTGATTCGGAGTCGTCGCAACGGCGTCACTATGTGGATCAATAATGAGCCCCCGGTCGGCCGCGATTTCGAGGATTGCTGGGATCTGATGGTCAAGGGGAACTGCGAAGAGGTTGCTCGACTCGCCAATCTGAAGCGATGGGATGATCAGTCCGATTCGGTGTTCGACGAATGTAGCCTCTCCGAGGTGGAGCGGGTCAAGAGCGAGCAGGATGTATCCATCGTGGTCCAGACGCAAACGCCGAAGAAGAAACAGAAGACCCAAAGTATTCCCCTCACGCCATCGTCCAGCAACGACGAGGAAGCGTCGCAGCTGCCGCGCAAGATTCCCAACCCTGCCAGCCGTGGACGGAATCTCAACGAGGTGCTTCAGGCGACCAAAGCGACCGGACCGAAGAAGAAGGGCCCACAGAAGGCTGCACCGCGCAAAACCAACAAGAAGGGACAGGCGACCAAGAATGCGACCATCAATTCGAAGTTCAAGGCTGCCAAGCCCCAGAGCGTTGCGACCGACAGCAAGGCACTCAAGCCGGAAAAGGATGAACACAAGCCAATGCACCCTCTACCTTATGGTGCCGCCCGCAATAATGGACCGATGTTTCCCAACCTATGCCAGAGAGCAGGCACGCCAACCAAGAACACGTGGTGCAAGCCTGAGACGATATCTCCCAAGTCGGTTCCAAATGGCATGGGTAGTCTGTTGGATCCGTGAATACCACGAGCGCTGTCGTCCGGAGTCTATCTATGTACTATTTTATTTTCTGCCACCATCTTTTCTTTTCATCTTTATTCTGTCCTTCTTTCGGACAAGCCTGCCCGTTGAGGCTTGTCTTGTGAATGATCTTGATACCAGGATAGACCATATCTATTACCGGCGTTTGGATGGTTAGGAGCAATGCAACGATACATGCACGGATTTCCTATCACCTCTTCAGGGGATCTCATGGTCAACGTTTGGGTTGCATTATGTGGTCAGACGGCGTTACGATGGACATGCGTGTGCAATTGCGCTCACAGGATTTAATCACTTAGTGGATAGGCGCATCAGTTATGCGGGTCCTGTACATGATAAGTTTGAGCTGATTTGAAGCAATAATACGCCCACCCGAAGTCGTGCAATTCATGTAGCATATATAGACTAAACGAGGTAAGGTAGCAAAGCCTATCCCAACCCCAGATCCCCTCGCAGTTGCGACCCAGGCCCCGATTCCTCCTCGTCACTCTCCGTCTCATCACCCGCAGCATCTGGGTCCATCATGCGCCTCGCCCGGGCATCCCGATCCAGATCCTCCACGCGATCAATATCGTCCTCCTCGTGCTCCTCCGCCTCGTCCTCGTCTTCCTCCTCGCCATCCTCCTCCTCGACCTCGGTTTCATTCTCATCCACAGCCTCCGGCTCCTCCTGCGTCTCATCCCCGTCCTCAACATCATCCTCCCGCCCAGCAACCCCATCTCCATCCTCCGCACGCTTGACCCTCTTCGCGCCCCGCGCGGTATCCTTCACCGTCTCTTCGGCGTCTTTCGCCCCGTTTTCCGTAGCTCCAGCACCCTCACCCGCACCGTCCGGCTTCTTAGCCCGCCGCTTGCCGGCTTTGATCTCGGTGTACGCATCCAGCTCTTTCTCCAGGCGCGGACGGAACGCATCAAACTCCAGCTCGGAGATCGCGCTGAAGACATCCGACGGCGCGACGGTCCGTTTCAGCGTCGCCTCGTTGGCACTGATCCGTCAGCACACCATACACGCACACGACCCAACCCTTAGCGGGAGAGGGCCAAGGGGGGAAACAGTGTAAACCATACTGTGAAGATAAATAGGACAGAAACACCGTCGCCGCTTTCTGGATCGCGAGCACGGCGTCCTTCTGGATGGAGGTGTTGGGCGGGAGAACCGATTTGGCGAGGCGCAGGGTCAGCGAGCGCGGGAGGAGGTAGTCCTATGAGGATGGTTAGGAAAGCGTAGACCGTGCGAGACAGGACGTTTATCTCTGCGTTGAGTGTTAAGAATAGGTAGCACGGGAGGGATACGTACCTCGATGCTGACGCCCCCCTCGGCCCGCGCCTTGAGCTGCTGCTCTGTCGCCTGCACGACCTGCGCGTGCGACTGAGCCGGCACCTGCACTTGCACCTGTGGCGAGACAGCTTCGTCCGCGTCCCCCGGTGTACTGGAGGTGGATTTTCGCGGCATCGCGGTGGAGTGTGTGGGTGTGTTCGGACTTGCGTCTGTCTGTTTGTGGCCTAAGGATGAATTATCGGGGTTGACGGAATAATGGACGGAACAATAGCAGTGATTCGGTCGTGGTGAGCTCGTAAATCGTTATATAAATGCAGTGGTAGAATGCGACGTGGTGTCGGGGTCGAGGTTGGCAGAAAAGATGGAGGTGAGGTGGGAAATTACGCGACGCGGTGGATGCGGGAGCGCGTGGCGATTAGAGGTCTTGTCTTGGTATGTATACTCCATTAGCATAGGATTCATTGTGAGCATTTCCTGATGGGGTTTAATTGATCTGACGTTCACTGGGTACTGTATGGGTAGTATTCAACTACACTAACACGAGTCTGATAGAGAAATTATTGTCCTTTTGTTGTATCTACGACGTCTGTTATATGCTCCAGGCCTAGATCTATGAACGGGCGTACTAACAGCAGTCTACATTTACCTATAACCCATCATACCGGCAGACATCACTCATTCGCAATGCCGTGACAGCGTATATCTAACAATGATACTAATATACTGCCTATTTGTAGGCTGATCACTCAGACAAATCCAGCAAAATCCGCCCAGTTTGATATATGCAAAAATTGGAGCCTGAACCAACCAATGGCAAGGTGGGAGAGTGGTTAATCCGTCAGCCTCGAATTGGACAATGTCCGGCTAGCTGATCCCTTTGGGGTCGTCGGTTCGAATCCGGCCCTTGTCGTCTTTTTTTCTTTTTACCTCCCTGGCCTTCGAGGGAGTTGACCATTCAATAGAGTCGTAATTGCCGCTGAGTATCTAGATACACAAGTCAGCTTTTGGCATGGAAAGGATCAATCATAGGCGATAAACCTCCTTGTTACATGCAGAGATAACGTCTTATCGGTGGTACTTTCCACGCGAATCTTTCAAAGTTCGGGCATAGTTAACCGGAGTCTCAGTCATTCAGTAATATACACCAATATCATTCATAATTAGTTTGCTCAGACAGTGAGGTCGTTGTGCCATTTGAGACTCCTGGGGATCAAGGTCAGAAAACTTCCCACGATAGAGCCCCTCCATCACCTCCACCGGGAAGCAGCGATATCATCACATAACATATTATTGGCCGTTGGGAAGCGACTCCCTGGAGTTGTGGATGAATGACTACTTACTGGAAACATATCTTCAGGCAAATCTGCAGGCAGCAACAGGCAACATCGGAGATGGCAGGAATCTCCACTATATCGTATCTGCTGTATATAAGACCACCCCCCACAAACACACCTCAAGATACGCACACCCACACCCTACTACATACTGTACATACAGAACACAATGACAAACCACCCATTCCACCTCATAGACTCCATCGACTGGGCATCACTAAGCCACGCCTACGGCGAGGCCACCAACGTCCCAACAGACCTCCGAGCACTGGTATCGCCCAACCCTGAGGAGCGAAAAGCCGCCTACACCTCGCTCACAGGGACAATATACCACCAAGGCTCGCGGTACTCCGCCAGCGCACCCGCCGTGCCATACCTCCTCGCGATCCTCCAAGACCCCTCCACGCCAGACAGAGCCCGCCTCATAGACTTCATCATGCATCTCGCCCTCGGCTACGACACGATGCATCTCCCAGGAGGAATCAACATGCGCGCGTGGCGCGCGCAAATCGCCGAGCTAAAGTCCCCCGACTACGAAGCCGTCTGGAATAGGCGCATGGACGAGTGGATCGCACAGGCGCCGGACGACGGGGCCCGGCACTGGCGGCGCATGATGCGGGCGATCGGGTTCAGACAGGGGCAGGAGGAGTCTCTGCATGCGTTTGCGACGTATGAAGCTGTCCGCGAGGGTGTCCCTGTGTTTCGCGGGTGTCTGGAGGATGAGAGCGAGGATGTGCGCTTGTGGGCGGCGTATGCGCTGGCGTGGTTCCCCGAGGAGCGGGCGACGAGTGCGCCGCTGCTGGAGGGGGTGCTGGATCGCGAGCTGGGTGCTGCGGTGCGTGCGTGTGCGATCATTGCGCTGGGGTTGCTGTTTGGTTGTCAGGATGGGCTTGGGGATGGGGCGCCGCCGGAGGGGGTTGAGGCGCTGGTGTCGCGGTTGCGTGGGTATGCTGATGATGCGTCGTCCTTGGTGCAGTGGGCAGCTGCTGTGGCTCTTGTCCGGTTGAAGCAGCAAGAGCCGCGCCATGTCGATATTGTCGTTCGGTGTCTGGTGGATGGTGTTTCGGTCGAGAACGCTGGGGAGTTGGGATTCCCGTTCTACGATGGTAACATCGTCGACTATAGCGCGGAGGTTGTCGCAAGCCTTGACATCGCTGAACATCCTGGCGCGGCGCCAGCTGTGCTGAATGCTTTGTCACGAGCATCCGGTGTGGAGTCTCTTAATCTTGTTTCTGTTGTATTGAGGCTGGCTTTTGGTTCGGCCCCAGGCGAGACCATACCCTTCGAGCAACTTAGCGAGTTCCAGCAGCGGACGGTCAAGGCCCTGGCGAACATGGGCCCAGAGACATGGAGATGGGGGAATTTCGTGGCGATCCTCAAGGAGTATAAGATTCCCTCCAGCCAGGAGGGTTGTCGAAAGTATGTGGGGTTGTAGTAGGTGGTGGAAGAGCTACTAGGCAGATATATATAAATCCAGGCACCTCGGTCAGTTGACAGTAAACCATGTATTGACATATCTAATCATCATTCTACCATTTTTGAAAAAACCAGGCAACGCCTTTGGTATCCCTATATCATAGCAGAAAACAAACCATTTACTCGGCCATCTCCTCATCATCCGCGCCATCACCCCACAGCCCTTCGATCTTGAACTCCTGCGCCCATTCGGTGACGACCTGTTTCGTGTCCACACCCTCGGCAGCAGTAGCTCCCTCTGTCGTAGTCACCACAGGGATCACAGGTGCGTTCACCCATCCCTGGATACGTCCGTCTCTCCAATCGTTGATCACGGTCATGGCGGCGGCGTCCAGATTCGGCACGCCACCCTTGCCCAGACGACCACGCTTCCGGGCGACGTGGATCAGGAAGTCTGTGGTCTGGTCGCCGCCACTCGGGAACAGCGGGGGAAGGTTGTACAGCTGCAGCAGCTTCGACATGAGACCCTCCGAGGCCGACAAACGCTTGATCAGGAGAGTCACGGCCGGAATGGGATCCTCAATCTGCTTCGGGGGGATAGCGTTCAGCAAGACCAGACGGGCCTGCTCCTCCTGCTTCTTCTTGCCCTTCTTGCTGCTTTTCTCGGCGTTGGGGAAGACGATACCAGGCGAATCGATCAGCTTCAGCTTGCTGTCCAGCTTCACCTCGCGCAGACTGGTGGTGACGCCAGCCTCGGCGCCGGTGGGGCAGGCGTTGCTGGAGCCCTTGTTGAGGCGGGCCGTGAGGGCGTTGATGACAGAGGACTTGCCGACATTGGGGTAGCCGATGACACCAACAGAAATGGCGCGCTTCATCTGCTTGTTGTGCGCAAAGGTCTTGAGCGCGCGGAACAGCGTCTCGGACGTCCCCTTAACGGTCAACTGCTTGTGGTCGAAGGTGTGCGCGTTGCCGCCACCGTTGGTAGCCTTCAACGGCAGCGTGGGGAAGTACCGACGCAGGTGCACCAGCCAGCCCTTCAGCACCGGCGGAGGCACGAGATCAATCTTGTTCAAGATGAGGATCAACCGCTTCTGGCCGTTCGCGGCCGCCACAACCTCCCGCTCCACCTCCTTGGACCGAGTACCCTCGGGATCACGGGCATCCAGCACATACAGCACAACGTCGGCGGCATCGACCACCTGCTTAAACACTTTGTCGAATTGTCGCCGCGAGCTCTCCTTGGAGAAAGAGTTTGCAACCAGCTGAGGGGCGATCGAATCGTCCAGCGTTGCTCCGCCGTCTTCGTGGTCCTCCTCCATGCCATCCATGTCCTCGTCGTCCTCGTCCATCTCGTCGTCCTCCTCGTCACTCTGCTCGTCATACTCGGCGGCTCTCGCCCGCGCAGACGCTAGCAGCGCAGCCATGGGGTTCGCCGAGTCCCCAACATCCTCGTCCATCTCGTCATCCAGCATGTCGTCGCTGTCGATAGCGTCCTGAACCTGGGGAGCGTTGGGATCGGCCTGCTGCCCGGACTGCTGTGCCTTCTCGGCGGCGCGACGGGCGCGAGCCTCCTCCCGAATGCGCATCTGCTCCTCCGCCTTCAAGCGTCTCTTCTCCTCGATTTCCTGCAGGATCTTATCTTTGTGGGGGAACAGGTTGGGGATGCCGGGGTCCTTCTTGATCTTGGAGCGCCATTCTGGGTTCTACAAGAGATTAGCGCTGCTCATGATAGAGCTCCGATCAAAAGAAAGAGCGCACCTTCTTCGCAAGCTTTCTCTGCTTCCGCTGTTTCGCCGCAGAGGCTTTTTCAATCTTGTGCCGTAGGCGGACGGGCGTCCGCTTGGAATTCTTGCCTGCGAGGATTAGCCAGAGCTTAGACAGAGAAATACGAAAAACGCACCGAGCTTGACCATTTTGACAGACTTGTATAAACCAATCTGTCTTGAAAAGAAAAAATGGTAGACAGAGAAAGTGACCGGCAAGCAAAAAGCGGAACAATTTTCAGCGGCGCTAAGATAACCGGACTAATTGAGCGCCGATCTCCGACGGGTTTTCTTGCATCGCCGCATTTCCTCTCCAGCATCATTATCATCATCTTCGCTTCCATTCTTTCTTTTGGGCTTGTCCCGGCGTTCTTTACTACCTTCTTTTTTTACAGATACAATTATCGCATTTATTCTAGAATTTGTCTCCACCTCACTACGCACCATCATGACGAAAACGCAGAGCTCCTTTTCTGCCCCTCCGCAAGTCCTCACCTTCGACGGGCTCCTCTCCGATTTTGACGGCACCATCGTCGACTCGACAGACGGTAAGACCATGCTTCTCTACACATGTGCAACCATCCCAAGAACCAAGCTGATCACCACAGCCATCGTCAAGCACTGGCACAAGTGAGCGCGCCCGCCACCATCGCAGCCATCTCCCGTTCCCAGTCTAACAACGCATAGAGTCGGCGCCGAACTAGGAGTCGACCCGAACGTCATCCTGGCCACCTCGCACGGCCGCCGCAGCATCGACACCATTCAACTGTACGACCCGTCCAAAGCGAACTGGGACTGTACGCCGCCCTCCCCTTCATCAGACGGCCAGGGCCAATACTAACAAACGCAGACGTCAGCTACGTCGAAGGCCGCATCCCAAAAGATTTCGGCTCGGACGCCGTCGAGATTCCCGGCGCGCGCTACCTCCTCTCCTCGCTGGACGAGGCCGGCGCCAAATGGGGCGTGGTGACGTCGGGCACGCGCGCGCTGGTCGACGGCTGGCTGGCCGTGCTCAATCTGACGCACCCGAAAATGCTGGTCGTCGCCGAGGACGTGGAGCTCGGAAAGCCCGATCCGCGCTGCTATCTGCTCGGCCGCCAGCGGCTGGGGCTCGAGCACTCGTCTGCGCTGGTCGTGCTGGAGGATGCGCCGTCGGGGATTCGCGCGGGCAAGGCGGCCGGGTTTACGGTGCTTGCGCTGACGACGACGCATTCGGTTGCGCAGCTTCAGGAGGCTGGAGCGGACTATATTGTGGAGGATTTGCGGAGCGTCTCGGTTAAGGGCGTTGTTGATGGGCGCTTGCAGCTGGAGGTGCGCAATGCGTTCCGGTGAGCGAGCAGTGGTGATTGTTGCCCCCCGGTGGGATGTGCGGGCTCATAGACCGGGTTTGGCGCCATTCATTGTTGGTTTTTCCTTATGGGTTTGTTATGGTATGGGAAATAGACATTGCATTGTACATAGACGCTTGTATATTTTGACAGGGTCCTGAACATATTTCCCTTGGCTTTCTCCTACTCTGAGAATGAAACTACCTGATAGATTGTACGCTAATTCTGTAGATATGCTGGATGGTATTGAACCTCCTACCTACTTGACAACTCAACACCCCAACAATCCACACCGATTCTTCCTCTTGCCTGATTTCAGGCTCAGCCCATAACAGTCAAGAGACAAGCGAGACAAGCACGGCGACATCTGCAACGCACTGCACGCCACACATATGACACATCAACACCCAGAACATGTATAGAAGCGCCTTGCATAGCTTTTCTGTCTGGCCAGGGCGGTCTCTCGACCGCCACAGAAAAGGGCACGCTATGGGGCGACATCTACGGAGAACATGTTTATCTTTCTCCAGTCCAAGCGCCAACGGTACAACGGGCCTGCTGCAGCGGGGACAGAGATCGAGATGTACAAGAAAGGGATAGCAGATCGCCCGGCTGCGTCCACGGCCCGGATCCACAGTGATATCTTCACCGCAACGTAGGCCTAGACGGACCGTCGTGACAGTCAGTTCTCCTTTACCGAATGGAGTGGTTGAAGAGCGCCAGAATGGGCCACAAAGGATATTGAGTTTAGGGGGCTCTCCTGTCGAAGATTCCAGATTCCCTTTTCGATCCGCCGGGCAGAAGCCTACGGTACTAAGGTTAATTGAACGGACGTGAAGCTAGACCGATGAACCGGTCGATCCACTGACGACATTCTGGTCAGGGAGTCGCCCTGCGGTGGGCGGTGAATGCATGCAAAGATGTACTCCGTACGACGAACGGAACCCTAGGCAGTTGTGAATACAAAGCGATTGTCCTGGGCGGTCCCGACCCGGCAGGTAGTCCCCAGACAGTGCCTCCAGATTCGGTAAAACGAGGCCTGCATGGTGTTGCCGTGGAGCGTCACCGCTTCTCGCCCAGTATGATCGGTCTCGCGGGTCAGCCGGATTAAGGTACGCTGCCGGGTCGGTATAACATGAAACCAGCATAAAGCCCACAGTTTAAAGTTGAAGTATCGGCCGCATATGTAGGTAAACAGGTTGGCTACCGGGTCGTTCATTGTATTCGAGGGGCCTCCGAGTCCTCACCGACTTCTCGGGACTGTCAGTCGGTTGACCGGTCTGTCTCTGGATTTGCACCGAGCTCTGGACAGCGGAAAAAGGGTGGAAACAAGGAGCACCGAGTCATGGCAGAACCCGAATTATTGCATGATAGTGGGTGATACATGTAATCCACCAGCGAGAGCTCGAGGCGAGAAAGCATTGCGTAATTGGATGTCTTGAAGTCTCCCAGGGCGCATAGATGTCGAGTCTGAGAGGCGACGTACGCCTCGTCGTGAAGTGGAATCAGCTCCAGTCTCGCCACCGACACCAGCTCAGACTACACGAGCTGAGCTCCGTTGCAAAACTGGCTGAAGAATGGGACTGTGGCAAGCGGTTTCAGGTTCATTCCGCCCATGGCAATCGCCTCGTTGCTGGAAGGGGACGATCGGGTTCTGGAAAACGACGTATCCAGTCCATGCTGAGGTTCATGCAGGCGGACCAAACCCGATCGACATGAGCTCCTGTTGCATTGAAAGCCAGGGAGATCTCGGGGGAGAAGGTCAGTTACCAGTGCCTGCTCTCACGGCGCCGATTAGACTCTGATACTAAATGCAAGGGAGGGAAGAAAGGCTGCCTGTTCCGCCGTGCTTTTGCCATCCGGACGAACGGGTGGACAACAAAGTACGAGCGACGCAGGATCCAGGAAAATTTTCTTTGTCTTCCTTCATCCTTGTACATCTCTGCATCCGCACGAAGAAGGAAATCGATTGCAGCCTTCCTGCGAAGCCTAATTCAAAGAGAAGAAACACAATTGGCGGATTTCGAGTCGCCTCGATGTGACCTCTGATACAAACATACATGAGCAGATCCAGACAGATCAGTCGTCACATCCGTCTAAGCCCGAGCAGTCGCAGGGACAGTTTCCGCAGCGACCCTGAGCGTTTGGGCACAGTCGCACAAAGACAACCCAAACCGCTGTGGCGGTGGTGAAGGGATTGACCCGGACGACTCGATCTGATTTGCTCAATTGCTCCGGACTATTGTTTGCTGAATGACAAATTCCCTTCCTTGGCCCATCTAGGCCCAGGTAGAGGTGTGGCTGAGAGCCTGATAGTAGAAGATCGACTGCGCACCGCCACTCAGCCTCGACTTGACTCTTGGCTTTGATGTATCTGAACGGATTGGGTGTGATTGTCAGCTCGTAACGGTACAGGAAGATCCCCACCAAGATCGGCAAGTCTCAGAAATGAATGCATGGCACCAAGGGGGAGGGACAGGAGGGCATTAGTAACAGTGATTGTCGTTGTTACATCACGGCCCCAAGATCTACGACAATCCCTATCTGCGAGTCTACCTACCCCGACCCGAAGGTATGGTAATGTGCAAAGATGGCCCGGACGTTGGTTGATGAGGCTTGAGACGAGTCCGGAGTGCCAAGTCAACCTTATACCCAGACAGGGTGATGGTGGACCTCGGCTTTGCTTCAGGAGAACGTTCAGCGAGCCATCATCCGACCAACTATCCAAAGGTTCGTACTTTCAGAGTCTTATCGGCCGTAACCCCATGGCGTCCGGGAACCTCGGCGAATTTCTTCGCAGGGTCCCAATATTTGAGATGCTCCCCCCTCTGGCGGCCAACAACGGCCTGTAACAGGTCCAATCAATAGCACTCTTGGGGAGCGATCCGTGCGGCAGTTGGTGGATCGGCCCAGGGGTCATCAGCCGTCATTTCATCCAAGACAGGGCAAGTCAGATCCTCCTTTTTAGGGGGTGATGTGGTTTGGGTAAGTGCTTCCCAAAGCTTGGAAAGAAAAGTTCCGACGTCCTCCGCCCTGTGTAAAACATGGCACATCACCTGGATGATCCAACGGGGCTGATTGGTCTGGCCAGTTGTGAAAGACTCGCATGGCGCACTTCCAGGTCTTCGACGAAGTCGACGGCGCATGGAGATCAGTCATGCCGGTGTACATCATGTTGGTAACGAACCACCGCCAGCGCCTTTGTCGGATCCTGCATACAGGAGGTACACGTGAACCCACTCACTCACTGGGGTTCGACACTTGGGGGGGTTGGACGAACATCGGCCATCCTGGCGCATCTGCAGTCGTGACGAAGATGTGACTATCATCGTCACGAGCGCGATTGTGGGCTGACGAAACTGGTCTGGATCAGTTCGAGACGGAGCACCGCACCCCAGGTATCGCCCTGTACTTGTAATGATTTCTTACAGACAGCCGACGAAAATGCTGTCATCCGCGTTGTAGCGTGGTCTGTGGGGAGACCGATGGGATCATTGGCCCCCTTTCTTCCAGTTCCACTGACCCCAATCCCCCGTCTTGAACCGCAAGACAGACTACTCCGTACAGCTCCTTCGTCCCATTGCGACTACGGGTATACTGACTGCCTAGGCTTGGCGGGTGGTACCTGCAAATGACGGGCGAAAATCCGTAGATCTTGGGTAGGAGGAGGAGAAGTGGGAATCGTCCCAGGCTGGCGGATCCCCAGCTGCGTGACTGATGAACGATCCGCGAAGATTTGACTTTCGCCAGTGACGAGAGCGTTGAACTGTCAAGAGCCGGACGGACGCTTACCGGTTGAGGGCGGCGGGAAGGGGACAAAGAAAGAAGAGATGAAGGATGCATATGATAGCCTCGACCCAGGGCTTCTCTGCTTCGGATTTGTCGGGGGTGATGTTCTGATCCCCTCCCCCTCACATCGAGGCGGGACGGCGTTGCCCAGTGCATGGCAAGTGGTTGAATCGGGTGCAGGCTGCGTCACCCTCGTGATTTGAGGTGGACTCACTTGCACATCATGAGGAAGTTAGCGCGGCTGACGGGGAAGGACGCCGTGACAGAACCAGGAAGTCGGGAATTGACGAATGGTGGGAGGAGACGATCAAGGTTCCGATCCATCCTTAAGGTTGCTGTATGGAGGTAAGCATGTATGTAACTAATTGTGACGGGAGATGTCTGTCCTGCCCTGAGAGGGGCACCAGAGGACGCGAAAATGACCGGGACATGGACTGATCCCTGAGGCTGATCGACAAGATCGGTTGACTATTGAATTTAAGTGGGTCTTGGCTGAAGGAGGCGTCGCCAGTCTGTGGATAAGACGTAGGCAAGAGCATTGAAAATTTAGATTAAATTAAATTGCTCTGATGACAGATCTCGATTTTGTTCGGCATAGTTTAAAGTACTGGCAAAGGGGCCGATCTTCAGAGGTCCAAGACCGGGATGAAGCCTGGATGACAGGCAGAGATGGAGAATGTATGTAGATGGCCTGATCCGTACTGAACAGAGGTCCCGGGTACAGAACGGATCTCGTCGGGCATGGAGGATCACCGCCGGGGAGTTCGAAGCGCGAATCGGAGGGGATCCGGATGTGCTGGATGAAGAGGTGAAAGAGGATCTAGGGACTCCGTAGGTAGGCAAGTAGTGATGGTGGTGATGAAGTCGGAAGGAAGTCCAAGTCCCGATAGAAAGAGGAGAGGACCTTGGGGGAAAAGCGGCCCGTGGACGCTAAACCCAAGACGGCATATGTACGGCGAATCCATGGGCAGAGCCCAGAGCCCGAACCCCGTGATCCAGTCGATCGTTCCCCACTTCCTTCTCCAGCAAAATCACAACATCGCATCCCTTCTCCTCGCGCACCCTCTCACTATTGACCACCGGCGGGGTTCGCATTTCCAGCGGACGGACGATAACGGATAACAGACCCCTCCTTCATCCACTCCCTCCCACCTTGCCCTCCCCGGTCAGGAAAATGAACAGACGAACACAGACCCCGTAGGCCAGGGCGCTAATGCAGGAACTGACGAAGCTCCCTGAATCATGAATGGTGGATGGACAATGCGCCCGAGTCACGTCCGGACGGGGATTGACTTCGAGGAACCAAAGTCTGAGATGCTCGGATTACGATGATTTTCATTCGAGGCAAGCTCGGAATCGACATGCATCGATCCAGAGTCAACTAGACCGTCGATCCACAGACAGATACAGCATGACTTTGGTTGACATGATCGTTTGGAGATGGACCGTTGATATTGACACTTATACCGACATAAATCGAGAATTTACCCAGGAGGACCATAGTCCCGATCGTATGATTCTATTTTAACATCATGGAATTTTTTTTTAAAAAAAAAGATAAAAGAATAAAGATTAGAGAAAGAAAAAAAAAGTAAATAAATGAATCGCAAACTTGGTACGGATGATCGGGAGGGATCTGATGATAACCGAACCAAGAAAAAAGCAAATGCATGGCGTTTGTAGATGCGTCGATACCTCTGTATTGGCTGTGACCGTCACCGCCACAGTGGTCGAGGCAACACCCAATTGTTTATTCTCGGACTGAAGTTCAAGTCTTCTCGGGATTGTCCTCTGTTCTGGAACGATAGTCAGGGTGATGAAACTGCTCTGCAGAGCGATGATGACATGAGGACTTTTAATTCCCTAGGTTAGTTAATGGAAGAGCTCCCCGGCCGCCACCCCCTTAGAGCACAAACCCACTTGGTTGATACCGTACCTGATACCGCCCGGTACTGCTGGACGGTACGTCAGGTATCTACCTAGTACCTATACCTTTCCGCTGGTCCACAGCTACCAGGGACCTGGAGGCCGCTAAAGCATTCCAATCTCTGGTTCATAAGCTTAGAAAGCTTCACTCTATTAGAGAGGTGCAATAATTACCTACTAGGTACTCCGTTATACATACGGTACTTCTACTTGATCGGGGTAAGGTACCTATGACTGTATCGGGGTCCGAAACCCGAAGGTTCCCCGGACTGGAGGGTATTACAAGTATTGGTAGGAAGATACCACGCTAGTACGGATGGGTAAATCCTCCAGTTCCGAACGGGGATCTGCCAATCACCACCGCGCCCCTCCCTCCCCCTCAGGCAGCCCAGTCTCAAGTGGTTTTTTTTTTCCCTCCCGGACGAATATTTACATTTTATTCTGCTTCTTCTGCTTCTTCTCCTTCTCGATCTCTCCTTTTTCCTCTTTGGTCTTTGCTATCACCGTCACTCCCTACCCTCCTCTCTTTTCTGCTTTTTTATAATATCTCTTTTTATTTTATTTTATTTTCTCTAATTTTCTTTTTTACCCAAAGTCCCCTCTTTTATTTTTATTTTTATTCCTATTCCATTTTCCCTTCTCAGCCAAGCTCTACTGTCGCTCCCTCATCCTCATACCATCAGATTAGTAGTACCTTAAGTACCTCTCATCGCACTAATACACACCTTCATTGATCCTTTTCCTCTGTCACCTCTTCTTCTTTTTCCTCACCATCAACCCCAGTCGCTACCCTCTGTCTTCCTCTGTCCGCCGCACAGACAGACCTCCTATCCTGTCATCCACCCTCACCCTCATTCCTCGACATCGGCCCAGCATTCCACATTCTTCGGCTCCGAGCTTGATCTATACACCCTCATCGACCCCCTCTGCATCCCATCCTCCACCGTTCATGGTCTGAAGGCCCGTTCTTATCCCGTGTTGTTGCCTCTCGCGCTGCAACTTCCCCCCATCACTGCCGCATCCTACTCTCACAACCATCATGAACTACCTACACCAGCCGTACCAATATGTCGCCCATCCAGGCATCCCAATGGACCAGCCTATGTCCTTCGACCCGACCATGGGTCATCCGGCCATGATGCACCCCATGGACGGCGGTTATCTCTACCAACATCCGCCGTTCGACATGGTCGACTTCTACCCCATCATGGACTACGAGGAATACGCAGAGAACCTGTCCCGTCCCAGATTGACCAAAGAACAAGTCGAGACTCTCGAGGCCCAATTCCAGGCTCATCCGAAGCCCAGTAGCAACGTCAAGCGCCAATTGGCCGCTCAAACAAATCTCAGTCTTCCCCGAGTCGCGGTCAGTAACTCACCCCTCCCCCTTTTTTCCCACCCCATATCATGCCACGGGAGCGCCCAGCTGACCATCCCCCCCACAGAACTGGTTCCAAACAGACGGGCCAAGCGAAGCAGCAGAAGCGTCAGGAAGAATTCGAGCGCATGCAGAAGGCGAAAGCGGAGGCCGAGGAAGCCGCCCGGGGCAAATCAGAGAACGAACCCAACGCGGAATCCACCTCGGACTCCAAACCTTCCACAGACAACAAGACCGACAAGGTCACGCCCCAGCAAACTTCCAGCACGGACACGACGGAGGACCAATCCAAGACCGCGGCGTCTGCATCGTCCAGTCGATCCAAGCACAAGAAAACACGCAGTGAGTCCGCTCGCGAGGCCACTTTTGCTTCGCTGCAACGAGCGTTGAACGCCGCGGTTGCAGCTCGCGACCACAATAGCCCTGACAATGAACATCGTCCAGCTGGAAATCCCAACGCCGAGGGTTCCATCTCCCCCGCAACCCCCTTCCTCGACACACACGCTCCGAGTCACCATTACGCCGACGCCCAGAGTGCCCAGAGTGCGCTCAATACCCCCTATCCCGACTGGGATCACTCGAAGCATTGGGCTCCGTCTCAGAGTCCTGCAGAATCTCTTGGGTATGGCTATCTTGCATCATCTCCCGGATTGAAGAAATGGACACTGATCGTTCCCATATGCACAGCTCACAACATACTCACAATGTCATGCCGAGCGTACAATTCCCCTCATCACAGAGTGAAGAATGGGCTGGCCAAGTACAGCCAACGGACAACTCATTCCACACGATGCAGTATCCTGTACAGCCGGAGATGGCACTTTCGAAGCGAGGCTCATCGGAAGAGCTGGCAAGCACGCTTGAAGGCATCGGCATCCACACCACCGGGTCGAACGGCCTGTCACACCTCTCCACGGGACCGGAGCGTCCCACCTGGAGGGAAACCGGCAAGGAGCTCGACCTTGCTGCGCGCCGTAAGCGCCCACGACCGGCGGCGATTGGTACCTCCAGATCTTCCTCGATGCTCGCGGGATCGTCTTCCATGTCTCCCACGACAAGAGTGCCGAGCTATGGCGCCAGTCACGGAGTGAGACAGTCGAAGTCAACACAATGCCTCAACTCCGGTATGCTGGGTGTACGCAAGCCGTCCAGCTGCTCAACGTTCAACCATAGAACCTGTCCAACTTTCGCAAAGGCTGGGGGCTTTTGGGTTCAAAGGCGGAATGGTCGTTCGATTGTTGCCACCCGCTGTCACGACGGGTGCATTGGCACCACCAACACCCCTGACGCCTGAAGATTTGCATCACCTGCTCCCAAATACTCCCACCGATGGGGGATACTGCCTGTCAGCCCAACCGACGAGTGGGTTGTTCCCTACCACGCAACCCATGCAGATCAACATCGCGTCTCCGCCTGCGACACCGTTGGGGGTTGACCTGATGTCGTCTTACCCGTACAACAACGTCGCGCCCCCGATGTCTGCCCCTGCCCATTACACGTCGTTCCCAGAGTACGTACACTGTGACTCGGCAACCATGACGGGGCGGAGCTGGACAGATGCAACATCGATGCCTTCTCCGGAAGCTTCTTTCCAAAGTCGCTGTCCCATGCCGCAGCAGGCGGATGGGTCTATGTCGTATGAGCGCTCTGTCGACACGGTCCCTATCTCAGAGTCTCCCTCTTTGGTGTATTCAACTAGCGAGGGCGACCTGTCGGTGCACGCTGACTCCAAAGGCATGGAGTTCTGCATCCAGGAATTCCCTGAACAGCAAGAAGCTCATCGATTCGTTGCCCAGCAAATGTCCCAGAAACCCAAGGCGTACACATTCAATAACCAGACGCCCAATGATTTCTAGAGGGCAGACGGTTTTGCTGTTCCTAACTTCGATTCTCCGGGGTCACCCCCCAGTTGAACCTTGTTGGTTCTGTGTCATTACCATTTGTGTGATACTGCCTTTGCTTCAAAAATCTTTGGGTTGGCATTATATTCCCCTTCCTGTGCTATTTGTGGGATTTTATATACTATCTGTGTTGGTTTGGCCCCGTTTGATTCCCAGAGCATGCGTGTCGGTGTCTTTCCTTTTGGCGTCTGCCATGGTTTTCGATCCGTTTGATTTTTGCGCTTTGGGTCTGATCCCGTGGATCTGGTTTCTATCTCGCTGTGGCTTTGCATGTGGTTTTTGGGAGCGGCTGCTTGTTTAACTGCGATTGTTTCTTTCCCCCTCTTGTCTACCTGGCATAGTCAGAGGGTTCTTGTCACGTATGTATACTGTCTCGCTCTTTTGGCCGCCCGTGCTATACGGTATAGTGGCTCTACCTATGTAATACATATAATTTGGGTGATGGCGATGCGTGGTGCGTCGGCCTTGTCTCTCGTTACTTGAGAATGGCTTCCTTGTAGATTGCATGTATTTGTGTTTGTATGCACCTGTGGATATCATATTGTGATGGGTATATCATGTAACCCTCCAGCAATGTATAGTAGCATCACTTCGATGCAAACCTCTACAAATAGATATCAAAGGGTTTACTTTATCAGCATCAATTAATGCATATACCATACGCCTGTACATCGTGTAGGCAAGATCAGAAACACATCTGGAATCCTACAGACATGGAACAGAGGCGAAAATGAGACCATAGACAATGAGAGGGGGACGTGATCAAATTAAAACCCCAGAGCCACAATTTGCACACTATAAACACAACAGGGTGAAGGTCATTCAACGCATCATCGCAGTATGGGAAACCAGCATGGGGCCAGAGCTAAATGGCTGTCATCAACAAGTTAGATGCTCAAATACAGTGCAGGCGAATGGCAAAAGGAAAAGCGCGAGTCATCAAAACCAATCCATCTCCACGAAAAGACCGCCGGTCCTCTATCATTGACATATGAGAAATGCAAAGCTTCCATACTCATGATTTGACCCTGTAAACCTCCTCCCCAAAGACCCAAACGAGAAAACGACAACCAAACAATCGGGTATAACTGGGGTATAGAAAAATGATATGCACAAATTACCATTAACCGGATCCTTCACCTCAAAAAAGGTACCAACGGGCTCGACAACGATGCAGGATATCGAGAAGGGGGCAAAAGGACGCGGAAAACGAAGAGAAGAAAAAGTGTTCATGAACCAGAGTCCGTTTCCTGACTCCCTTCAAAACCCACAACACCCATTCAATCCCAGACGCCGCTTCTTCCTCATAAAACGCCAAAAATCTGGACAACGCCACCCATGTGATATGATTTTCTTTGTCATTTTCAGTTTGTTGCTTAGCTTTCGCCTCAATAACCGGACCATCCCAGAGGTGTTCCAGATTGACCAGGCTGAGGGTGTCCCGGTTGGACGGGCCCGCTGGGTGCCGGGGCCCATCCGGGCATACCGCCGGCACTCATGCCCATGGCCATGCCTTGCTGAGGAGTCCCGGCCATGAACGGCTGACCACCGGGGCCCTGTGTCGAGGGATACATGGCACGAGCCGCCATGCCCGGGTAAGGAGCGCCGGTGACGCCTGGAAAACCCATCGACATGGGTTGTTGCTGTGATGTTTGAGGGTGATGCATGGGGAATGACTGCGGCATTTGGGGGACGGACGGGCGCGGCTGATTGCGTGGCGACTGGGAAGGATGTTGCTGCGGCATGGAATGTGCCATTGGCGAGGGGGACTGCTGCTGCTGCTGTTGCTGCAACTGCGGCGCATACTGTGGCATTCCGACCCCCTGAGGACCGGCAGAGAGCGGCGATGGTTGGGGCTGAGGAGGCGGCTGACCCCACATGTGCTGCGGCTGGGTTGGATACCCATAAGGACCACCCGGCGGCTGTGGAGTGCCTCCGGCCAGGGCTGGATTCGAACGTTGGTGCATGAGATCCGGACGAGCCGGCGCCATGCCACGCATGGGTGATTGACCCACTGGGGGTTGCTGATGGGCTACGGGGGGTTGAAAGCCGGGTTGGCCGCCAGGCATCATCTGTGCTTGATGGGGTAGCATTCCCTGTTGCGCTTGGATCGGGTTCATGACTCCGGATGACATCTGCGGCGATTGTAGAGCTGAGAGACCGACGGCGCCGAATCTAGTTGACCCTGTTGCGACTGCGCAGCCGAGGCAGAAGCCTCCCTTTGTTTGGAGTAGAATTCCTCCAAGCCCTTCTGACGAAAGCTTCGTTGGGAGCTCAGTATCTTGTTGAAATCGGCCGTGTGTGTCGCCTGGTTCAAGATTTCTGCCGCGGAGCTGGGCTGCGAGCGGTCTTGGTATGGTTGGCCTGTTAATTCTTGGCGGGCGCGTGGCATGCTGTTGTACTCGCGGAGCCGTGGATCATCAGTTGTGGTAGCCATGTTAATCATGGGCAACGGGGCGAGGGAAACGCCGCCGGGTCCTCCTAGGCCCAAGCTATGTGGCATCGACTCCAGCGCGTTGCTGTAAATCACATCTCCGTGGGTCAAAGCGGGTAGAAGATTGGCTGCGCTCGCCGCCTCTGCCGCCGCCGCATCCCGCGCCTTTGCACCACCCGGACGTTTCTCACCGGCCAAGTCCTCCTCCGTAAAGCCTTGCTTGCGAGCCTTGCTTTCCCAATAATCATCGCGGACCCGTCGCCCGTTGACAATCACGCGGCTGCCGAACTGTCGGAACATCGATCTCGCGCTAACGATGGCGATCTGACGGGACCGGTAGGAATA